CGGTTTGCCTGGACATTTACTTGTCTTGCCGGAATCGACCCACTGCTCGGGGGTGCCACGTGGAAGTTACCGTCGGCACACCACGCCGCTTGTGGCTCCGTCGGGAGGAAGACGTTATTTCGTTGAACAGCAACGGCCCGCCTTCTCGCATTCCGCCGCCGGCAGTGCGTGCAGTATCGCTTGAAGAGTACCCTGCGCAGGTTCTAGCTCGTAAACCAGAGGAAGAGAGGCTAACTACAAAGCTCGATGCGAGTGGGCTGCCGGCGGACGTTGGCCAGGTGGTGTTGGATGAGCCGAAGCAGAGCCGAGAGTGGTGGCCAGACTCCGTGGAGGAGCTGAGGTTCGGGAGTCGGTTCAACCATCCACTCGACTCTATCGAATGGCCCGCCTTGGTCACGCACCTGTCGTTTGGCTACCACTTCGATCAGATCATCGACGAAGTTTGTTGGCCGCCTCGGTTGCAGGAGCTAACCTTTCGGCATGCTTTCAGACGACCGTTGACCGGGGTTGTGTGGCCTTCGTCTCTCCAGAGGCTGAGCTTGGTGGGCTTCTACAACCAGCCGATAGCGGAAGTCGAGTGGCCGTCCTCCTTGGAGGAGCTGCGGTTCGGGGAAAGGTTCAACCACCAGATTCAGAGCGTTTCTTGGCCGGCGTCTCTTGTACGACTGAGCTTCGCGGGCTTGTTCAACCAGCCAATCCATGAGGCGTCTTTCCCCGAGTCGCTGCGGGAGCTGAGGTTAGGGCACATGTTCAACCAGGCCATAGACGAAGTTCGTTGGCCTCCTCGGTTACAGAAGCTGACCTTGAGCGAGAAGTTCAACGGAGAGGTCAGCGGCGTGGCTTTCCCCGATTCGCTACAGGAGCTCCACTTCGGGTTCAACTTCAACCAACCCCTGCACAAAATCAAGCTACCGGAGTGTCTGGAGACGTTGAGGTTTGGCAACAACTTCAACCAGCCGCTAGCCGAAGTGTCTTGGCCGCACTCGCTACGGGATCTAAGCTTTGGGCACAAATTCAACCGAGTCATCGAAGAAGTCCGTTGGCCGCCCTCGCTGCAGAACCTAGCGTTTGGTTTCTCCTTCAACCAACCTATTGGCAAGATCGAGTGGCCATCCTCGTTGAGGTCGCTGAGGTTCGGACAATACTTCAACCATCCGGTAGATGAAATAGCGTGGCCATCTTGTCTGAAGCGGTTGGAGTTGGGAATGTTCTATCGCCATCAAATTGAGAATGACGTGTGGCCTTGTTCCTTGACAGAGTTGGTGTGGGGAGGGGCGACCCACCGTGTTGTCAACGGTGTTATTATCAGTTAACACGTGCAGCCAGCAACGGCCGTCGGAAAACTTCAACCCAGAGGCTTGGTTGGCAGATTTTCCCGTTATGACGAAGAGAGGCTCAAGTTCGAGCAACGAAATGCAACTCCTTCGGATACACCATGGTAGTTGACCCGAGCGTGATTGAAGTCTGTGAAGGTGGTTCTGGTATGTGGGTGCAGTGTTTAGCGAGAAGGAGCGTGCCGTACAAAGTACTGGTGTATGTAAATCGTTCGGACGGCCATTTTTTAAGCATGTACCTATCTTCTCATTCTTGTTGTCTAGAGTGGTTGTGTTTCCACGGAACGTGCCATGCCTTGACATGCACCCTGCCATGCGCTAGAGAGATGTCTTGACTCGTAAGGAAAATATATATGAATTCGTATGCATACATGTATCGAACAATGCGGGGGTCCGCGCGTGGCCTTTCCGTTATTTTCGTGAAGACTGATGGTCGAAGGGTTGATGGCGATCCCACACAAGGCGTGTGCACCGTTGTGTTTCCCCCTCAATGAATGTTGCAACAGTGGTGGACGAGGTGCAAATTGGGTCGTCATCGCTCGAGAGACAAGCCGTTCCCGGGACTTACCACAAAAATGAGAGACACCGCCGTCGCTGGTAAACTTTAACTAGAACAACGACCACTCTAGCCACTGGAGTCTGTAGAAAGGACCAAAAGATAAGGAAGCTTGGTCCGTACGCCAAACCACACAAGATTGTGAGGTTCAATCTACCGTGCACTTACGAGGGAACTAAAGATTTATCTCATTGAGAACCGGATGAAGACATCATGTACCTCAATTGGTTAGCAACGAAGCAACCCAATCCTGAAGCGTCAAGAAGTTTTACTGCTCTCCTCCACATAGAATACGTTCGTTTGTCTGTAGGTTACCGCCATTCTCTCGATAACCGTTGCATAGGTCGCCAACCCAGCCTCTAAAGCGAACCTCACAATACCACCGACACACGCCGGAGCCCCGTATCTCCAGGAGCAGTAAAAACACCGCCAGTTAACGGGTGTAACCATCATGTATCCCGACAACGTAGAACATATTTTCACGAAGAGTCACAGCAGTGGAAGGCAGGCCCGCCCGCAATGCCACGGGCGCGAACTGAGCTGCCGCGTCGGGTATCCCGGTGAGCCTGACACACGCAAACTAAGCGCGTCGGTGCAGAATGCATCGCACACGTCGGGTTACGTTGGTAAGGATCAATCCGGACGACCCATGATCAACATGCCCACGCACCCAGCAGGGACGCCCGTTTGCCAAAGCCCGTTTCTTCTTCAGGGACGGCGAGCGTCCAGCACATCAACGGGAGATCGAACGGGATACGGCGATGATTCGGTGTTATACTCACAAGCGAGCATGCGGTTGAATTCCCGATGGCCGCACGCTATAAACGTCCTTGCCGCACACCCGATGTTTATTCCTCGGGGCTCAGACTTGCGCAAATGCCTTTCAGCCTTAATACCTGGTCCGTCGCTTCGACGACGGTCATCAGTACGCGCCAATCTCTTCAACATCACTTGTCAACGCACGCGGTGAAATATTCAAAGCTCTGCCGAACACGTCCCAACCCCTTCGGCACCGTACCAATGGCGATCGTCACCATGGGTCACAGCAGTCATATCACCTCCAAACAGGTAAGTCTTCGATCTACACCAGAATCGCGCGGCCTTCACGGACGGAGAAAGCAGAACACAAAATGTGCTATGATACAACACCGCCAAGAAAACCGCCTTGGTCGATCGCTCGACGAGTATGTTCAGCAAATATTGCACGGCATGCCTGTCGTGTTGCTTGACAGCCTTACACTATGCCGTGCGTGCTGCAGACGAGAGGACCCCACCTGCAGAAGAAGTGCCCGCCAAAAGCGCAGAAAAGTGGTAACAAAATGAGAGACGTCGAACGATGGCGAGCTCGGTAACGAAGGGCCGTCGTCTGGAGGACTCAAAAGGCATGGGGTCGGAACGAAGTTGTAAACCAATCGATGCCCTCCGGGTGCAGCGAGGGAAACTCTCTGCTTCAGCTACACGGTATCCTTCAAGAACACGGTCGCGCCTGTGTAAGCCCACGACCCGATAGTTGTGTCAACAACGGACTACAGTAGGAGACCAACGCCTAGCCATGAGGGCTTGCGCTCTCTCCGGTCCGACCCGACCAGGTACAGTAGACACGCGTTGGGGACAAAGCGAGCAAACATACTTAAGCTAGAGAAAGAGAACAGCAACGAACAACAATGTGCTGCTGTATGTTTCTTGTTGCGTGAAGGACGAGAGCGCCTAACACGCCCACTCTGGCGGGAAGTTGACATACTTCAACATCCTGGGAACTCGTGCAAAGCCGGCGCCTACATAGAACGAACGCAACAAAAACAAACACACAACATGATTTAAGAGGGCCGGCAGCACAACAGTAGCCGTCCTTCTCCAACACTGTCCTGCCTGAACAGGAGGCAAACACCCGCCCCTCACCTCCATCTCTCCCGGCCAGGAAGGACAGTCTTCCGTCTTACCTTAACTCGTTGCCACGCCGACACACAGCCGAATGGCGAGGGCTAACCTTACGCGTTGTGCACAAACATCTCGACCGGCTCCCCTTTGGCAGAGGAGGTCTGGCGTAGTCAGGGTGGTGCTCATTCAGACCCGATTCCCACTCCACGAACTCCCAGGCCGTTTAAGAGAGAACCGAGGGTCGCCAATACCAGCATCGCCTCATTCGGGAGCGCTGGTAAAACCATCAGGATGCTCTTGCCCGATGACCACTACGCCTTCATTGGACGCATGGCCCGACGTCGCGTGCATCGCCACCAACCTCTGGGCGTGCTGGCAGCCAATTCACGATTGCTGTGTCCCTCTGCCGACCCAAACGTCGGAACTCTTGGTGATAGCCACCTCTCTTCGTTGCGGACATCGACCGACAACTCGGCCCTTCCTTGTCATGCCTTGAGCAGAATTCTACCTTCATGATACCGGCCCCGCTATCTCGCCGCTTGGGTGGCTGTCCTGGTGTCCATCGTACCTTTTTGTCGTCCACCACAGAAGCCACCACCTTTCTTTCCTCGCTGTCACCAGTCAGCAGCGTTCTACTCAGAACTCTGCCTTTTCTGCTGCTGGTTACTGCTGTGTAGCATCGCCCTGCGAGGCTCGCTCGATACAGCTAGCTGTGCTGCTCACACCTCATACTGTCGGCACTGACACGCCGAGCATTCCCTCTTGGACACCTTTCGCCGCACACCGGCATCGCGGCGCGGGCTTGGTGGCACAGCAGGCCTTTCTGTTTGAAGATTTACCTAAACTGGTGCCCGTTTGTCATCGATTCATGCTGCTGGGCGCTTCGGCAACACTCTCCGCAGGCCCTGGCAAGCCATGTACCGGCTTCTGGGTTCATTCAACCTTCAAAGCAGCACTCTTTCGCTAGACTGGTGTTCGTGTGGGCTTCTGCTGCAGAGGGAGCCACCAGCGATATGGGGAGCAGAGAGAGAAGAGAGCCGAGACAGAGAGGTCGGTGGCGTGCTGGCACATGGCCATCGCATTTTCCCGAGGGCCCCGCGGATTGGAATGTTTTATTACCCCGCACTGCGGGGGAGCTATTACCCGTGCGGGGGAGCTAGCTACAGTAGGACGCGCACACCCGGCACAGGCTGTCTAGGAGAAAGAGACAGGGGAGCGAGAGGAGGAGAGCCATGAAGACTTTCGGGACTTCGGAGTCCAAACGCTTGCGATTTGTGGTCAAGGCAAGTGCCACATGAAGACACGACAGCCATATGAACCGTTGTTTTGAATGCCGAAAACCAAGCGTTTCCGCTGGTCCGCTGGTCCCGGTTTGACACATGTCTCCATCTCCCAAGAGGCAAAAGCTCTCAGCAGCGCCTGTGTTGCCAGCGCTCCCGAGCTCGGCCATCACCACCCCCGCATATTTTCCGTCACATGTAGCACCTTCTGTATCTCTTGAGTCCTGTAATTCTGGAAGCAGGGAGCGTATGGGGGCACCAAGTCACCAAGCCAAGTGGACTTTGTCCGCGAGCAATCCCACCGCTGCCACCCATTACTTTGGTTTGGGAGCTGTCTCTCACGCCTGCACGCTGCCCCGCTGCATCACGTAGCACAACACAACACCATTCCCGTTGTCCATCCTGTTTATGAATGGGGGAGGGCTGCTGGTTGGCAGCCGCAATTCCGCTGCATGCTGTAAGTTGGGTACAGCTAAAGACCACACGAACACACCCATTTGGACTGTACGGGACTGTCAGGTTCTGTTATGCCATCGTGCCATCATCCTCGTACTATTTTTTTACAACAGTCGTACGTGTATGGTGTACAATGTACAATAGCAGGTCACCTGTATCCTTCTTTTGCTTTGTGTGTACAGTAACTGTGGTACTTTTTGGGTTCAAACGTTCGCAACGTACATCTGGAGATGAACAAAGCCTTCGTATCATACCCGTGCCCAACAATCAGTTGATCTCTTTATCTAGTATCAGTACAGCGGTACAGATTTTTTCCGCGCGAAAAGACGAAGTCAACGTCAACTCGGCGGGCGCACGCAGCTTTCACCATGCCGCTTCTGCACGGCGTATTCTTGCTCTTTTGAGCCCTGGACCACTAGCGACGATTGTGCGTCCTTTCTTATCGAGCTGCCGCTGTGTTATTAACGATAGCAGCATGAGCAACCGCCGGGTGGCTTTGCGATATTCGTACTGTAGGTCTGCCTGGCTGGCTGCAGGTATCCTCACCCCTGACACCAGTCAAGATCGTTCGTGACACGTTGGGTAGATATATGCACACATGCATACGGCGTCCGAAAGTGAAAGTTAAGAAACACGGCAGTATAGGTAGATCAAATGAACAAAAACGTAACAAAAAAAAACAATCACATTCTATGCATGTCGTTTGCACAATCTTGATAAAACATGTCCGTGTTGAGCACAGCAATCCTATTCTTGTAAAACACGGCCCACTTTTGACCAAAACGTCGAACTGGACGATCCCTTTCTCGCGCCTCTGGTGTACTGCAGAACCAGTTCGAGGACGCCAGCGACGATGATGACGACGACAGGACAACGACCGCCGCTGCCGCTGCCAGCACCACCGGGGAGGGGCCGAGCACTACGCAGGCGCCGGCCAAGGGCAAGAGCAACAACAGGAGCAAGGGCAACAAGAACAGCGGTGCCGACAGGGCGGCAGCGTCGCTGTTCTTCAGCGACAGCACCGCTCCTCGCCACAGGTGATTGGCCACGCGGCATGTGGTTATACATAGCTGCTGGCGTTGATGTTTTCCTTTAAGGAAACAACCATACAGTACAGCTGTAGCTGAGTTACACCCCTGAGACTGGAGTGACAGTGAATGGTTCTGGCTGGAGGTTTTCGACAACCTTTCAACACACACAAGAACGGTTTAGGACAACTTTTTTTCAAAACATACAAAAACGATCTGTTTCCGAGGCCGATGTGCCATCACCCAACATCCACCCGGATATGCTTGCGCTCCAAGGGCGCTAGCATAAGTGTACCATTACCATCACCAACTGTAATGCCAATAAATAGTTTGTTGGTGCAACCCACACGCGGGCATGGCGTGCTTCGATTGCCACTTTCCCGTGACATGCGTGCTTCTTGTTGTTCGTTCGCGGTGGTTCATCCCTGTGGTTGTCGCCAGCGGCGAACGCTTGTCGGCGGCGGACGGGTTGGACTCCGCTGAGTGGGAAGAGGCGGCTTGGTCTGGAAGCGATGGCGGCGACGAATTGGACCAGCTGGAGGTGTGTCAGTTGTTGTTATATCGATTGGTGTATTGGTGTGGTTGTGTTTCGTGGTGGCGGTGGATGTGGTGGTTGTTGTCATCGTTGCTGTTATATTGGCGATGGCCGTTGTCGCCGCTGTTGTTTATTGGTGATGGCTGTAGTTGTCGTGGCCGTTTTTTTTTTCTTGTTTCGTTCACGCTGTCACCCGTTCTGTTCCTTTCCAGCCGTGTTGTTGTTTCGCTGTTTACAACCAGCCTTTTCTCGAAACAAAAGGTGTTTAGCCGTGAGGGCGGGTCTTGTATTGTATTGTATTGTCATGTCTTGTCACCGCAATGTTCCATCGAATTGGAATTCGGAATGCCACTGGTATATCACTGATTGGACAGCGGACCCTTGTTCCGCCGCCGGGGTTTCGACGTGGAGAGTTGTGTTCCGAAAGCTAAGCGATTGATGGAAAAATCAAAAAGGTAATTTGAGACCCATGTTCATAGTTTCAAAATGTTGGAAATATATCTTCAAATGTTGTCAAACATTTGCGCGCGAATATCTGCCAGAGAAACATTTGAGTACCGTTTTTATGCGCAAAAATATCTTATCGTGTGGTTTTCTCGGAATTCATCAGAAGTGCGGCGGGAATCGTGGTCTACAGCTACCAAACAATTTGTGACAGACAAACCACAAATGCGTGATGGAAACTGAATGAAACGAGCTCGCAAAGGGCTCCCCACAACCCTTGATGCACTGAGCTGATCATGTGGCGATAGCGCTCTGGGCGTGCGAGAAAAAATGTTCTCGGTGTCAAAAAGAGACCAAAACGTGCGTCAGCGCTTCCCAACGGCGAAAAGTCGGCCGCTTGAGAGGACACGTGAGTACAAAACTATCCAGCTCTCGCCCGTTAGACCATCGATGCATGTTTTGTCTTCTTGGGTGTCTTCCCCATCAACGACTATCATCCGGTTGCGCGTGGGTTGGCAGTGGCCGTGCTCAGTCGGCAGGGAGTCACATCGTTGTGCGCGCAAAGTTGTGGACGCAACGTTTTTTTCGGTCTATTTGTTCACTTGAATATAGAGGGCTTGTTCCTCCGTCCCAAAAAAGACTTTTGCAACACATGGAGTTCACAGCGACGCGCCTCCCTGCCTGTTGAGTACGTCCACTGCTGAACCGCGCATACCCGGATGAAAGCCGTTTATGGAGAAAACACGAATCGATGGTCAAGAGGACGAGAGCTGGATAGTTTTGTACTCAAGTCTCCTCTCAAAGCCGACTTTTTGCCGTTCGGAGACACAAACCATGTTTTCTCCGTGCCCTCCAAACCACCCCTGTCTGTTTGTTTATTTGTGCACGCTTGACGAGCTCCCGCCATGTATGAGCCGGCAAAACGTTGACACGGTGACTCTAGGGTTGTCCGGATCCCTCTATGAGCTTGCTACGTTGAGTGTGCGCTGTGCAGTGGTTGGTGTTTAGGACGGAAGGGGCGGTCGGCTACTAATCTCGCCGCTCTTGTAGAAGATTTTCGCGACATGCCCCATTTCGAAATGTTTTGTCAAACAGTTTGTCAAACGAGCGACTTTTGCCCCATTTCAAGATATTTGGGAAGATTTTGCCGAAGATTTTCTCCCAGAAGCAGTGAAAAAATCTTTATCCGCAAATCTTTGAAAATGTCGACATTTTCAAAAAGATTTGGCGACCGTAAAAATGGGTCTGAATAAATCGAAATCAAGTATCGAAAGTGTGAACAGGAACATCAAGCTGTTGCTTGCCCAGCTAATTGCCAGACTCTCTGGATGTCGGAGATGCTTTCATTTCGCTACTCATCTCGCCACCTGCAGACTGCTTGGCGATGCAAGAGACACCTTGGCAGAAAGCTGACATCCAGCACGGCATACTTTCTTTTTTGAGCGAGATCTGCTCTTTACTGGGAGGGAGAGGGTCATCGCCGTGAAATTGTTTCTTTACCAACGGCATCGTTTTCGGGTTTCCCGCGTCAGACGAGAGTGTTCAATCACACATTGCTCACTGAGTTCGCAGCGTATTGGTGCGAAACCAAGACTTCCCAACCCGCCTGATCACCGCTCGCTGTGGGATGCCCTGTGGCTCTCACGATCGGATACTTTCAGCCCTTTTTCGTGTTGCCCATGATGTTTTCCACTTTCGATTCCGATGCATCACCATGGGTGCCCGAGTAGAGCCAACCCGAAGTCGAAAATCGAAATCGAGTTCGATTTTAGATTTGGAAAATCTCTGGTGACAAGACCCACGTACCCGCACAAGTGCAGCATCTATTATGGTAGCATCTCACGAGAAATTTCCCTTCACTCTCGTCCTCCATTGCTGTGTTTCCCGATAAATGTGTTGGTTTTCAGACTACGTTGCTTGGGGAGGCGGGCGGCGCGGGAGCCGCAGGCAGTGGGGGTGGAGAAGCTCTGAGAAGCAGGTTCGAAAGCAAACTTAATATCGCCTCCCGCGATGGGGGAGGAGGAGGGGGGGGAGGGGGTCCTCAGTCCCAGTCTGTCCGTAACGACATCAAGAGGAGCGAGAAGTCGGGGGAGAAGACTTCGCGGCATACGGGGAGGGACGACCGCGCCACTGTCGAGCAGGTGAAGAACGGACAAGCATGGTTCTAGGTTTCGCTATTTATTTGTTGGTTTGCGCTGTTAGGAGTTTTGAGGGATGCGCATTGCATGGGATGACCGCACCATTCCGTATGGTGGTGCGATTTGACAGTTTCGCTTGCTCAGGTGCTGTACCGTGGCTCCATAGGTTGGCCGTATCCCTCTGAGGGTGAGGCGCTACAAGCGGTTTCGATTCGACGTTCCCGCGATATCACATGCCGTGCATGAGTTACGTCCCTCCTCTGCCTTATGAGGTGGCGGCATGCTCTTATGGTATGCTTGGGATTGTGGGCAACTTACTCTCGCCCTGTGCGCCCCCCCCCCCACCCTCTCTCTCTCGTTGGCTCTGTCATGTACTTGGAGGTTATGGACCCGCGTACCCGGATGATCCTCTTCAAGCTGCTGAACCAGGGGTTCTTCAGGCAGATCGACGGCTGTCTTAGCACGGGAAAGGAGGCAAACGTCTACTACGCAGTCGGCGGAGAGGTCAGATCTCCGAGATATCCGAAATGCCCGGGCTCGTTCTGTAGGTTTTGATGGAAAACTTGGAACAAACAGTTTTATGGAACTAAATTGCGCAAGTCAACGTGATCGGACAATTTGGTGGCACAACTTGGTGGAATGCTTGGGGTGGCAGGGTTGGGGTAACGACGTAGCTTTGCCTTACCCGGCGCTTTTCGGCTTGGGAGACTACCGTAGTCACGTTGGCGCGGTCTCAGTACGGGAGGGTACCGATGCGCTGCCCGTTGCAGTCGACGCTTTGCTTACCCCTAATGCTGCGCACCTCGCTAAACGTGTTTCCAGGGCAAGGAGTACGCGATCAAGGTGTACAAGACGTCCATCTTGGTGTTCAAGGACAGGGACAAGTACGTTTCCGGGGAGTACCGCTACAGGCACGGTTACTGCCGCTCCAACCCGCGGAAGATGGTAAAGGTGCGTCCCGTGTACCGTGTCCCGTGTACTGTGTTCCGTGCCACGCGGGTGTTGGATCGACGGGTGAGGAATGATTCGTTGATTACGTTACGTCGAGACTGTTCAGGTGTTTCCGTGTGTTCATATCGTGTCTCACTTCCTTTTGGTGCACAACGTTTCCGCATCGAAAATATTTTTTGAATACATGTGCTACCGTTCAAAACCAACTTATCGTCTGCTATGCAAGGTTCACGTTGAACGATGGGAGCCGTAGGCCTGTCTATTTTACGGGCAAGCTGGCCTTTAGCGGGCCTTGTGAAGGGATTAGTAGGATGCCACGCGAGCATGACAACACGCAACAGCGTGTGCCACCTCAACTCCTCAAACGAAAATCTCGTAGACTGTCAGGACCAAAGATGGCAAATAATCCCCTTGGAAGCACTCTGGCGCATCTCCTTCGTTGTGCGCGCACCGACGGCATGTGTATTTTTAGAAGGGGGTACATGATGTATGCACCCGTGGGAACTTCATTTGTCTTTGTCTTCATAAAATGCAGACGTTTTCCTTTGTTTTTGCCTCCTCTTTGTTGTCTTACTTTCGTGCCCTTTCCCTCATTATTTCATATCTAATGTCGTGTTCCTTGGCGTGGTCAGGTGTGGGCAGAGAAGGAGATGAGAAACCTCAAGAGACTGGTCGCTGCGGGCATCCCTTCCCCCGCACCGGTGCTGATCAAGAACAACGTCCTGGTGATGGACTTCCTGGGGAAGGCAGGCTGGCCGGCGCCGCGATTGAGGGATGTTCAGCTTGGACCCAAGAAGATGAAGGTAATAACACTCTTATTGGACCGCTGGCACAATGTTGTTGGGTGTTTTGAGGGGGGTCCACTTTCTCTTGATCGGTGATGTTTTGAAGGCTTTTCAAGGGAAATGACCTACGGGGCGGTTTTCTGTTCAAACAGAAATGTACACAGCGACTGCTGTATAGCCGTTTCAAGTAAGGAGGGAGAACATTCTGAAACGCAAATGAAGGGGATGATAACCCCGCACAGACGGGGCCATGACTGCAGCTCCACCGAACTTATGACGGCATGTTGTTAACCGTCGTTGATGCGACAGTAGTGCATAGCTTCGGTCTGTGCCTGTCAAGAAGCATCAAATGAAAACGTGAGGTCACGCCATGGTATGATTAGCTTTTTTTCTCACATGCAAGTACCGTATATGACACAAGATAACACACCCCCGGGACCAATTTTCAAAGCTCAATTACGCCACGACGAAGAAGATGCATAAACGAAAAAATAATTTTTCGGAAAGCTCTCGACGAGACAGCTTCAACGCCACCGTTTTCGGCGCTGTGACTCTTTCTGCTGTTCAGAAATCGAGATTTGAAAATCGGTCCGGGGGGTGTGTTATCTTGTGCCATTTACGGTAAGGCCTAGACCAAACGGTAACATCACGAGAGAGGACGTTGCTGATCGGAAGCCGGGAAGAAGCCGCTCGTAGAGGAATGTGTTGTTCTCTGGGTTTATATTCTGCCTGCCCTCTTCTTCTGTGAACCGCAGTGTGCTTTAGTTTACTTCGACCGCTCTGCTCTATCCGATTGGTCAATGACAAGAAGTCGATCGGTCTGAATTGCGGCATGGAATCCGCGAAAATTCTCCATGTTTCGTCCACAGGACGCGTACATCCAGTGTGTGATCGGCATGCGCAACATGTACCAGAAGTGCAGGCTGGTGCACGGGGACCTGAGCGAGTACAACCTCCTCTACATGGAGGGCCTGCTGATCTTCATCGACGTCTCGCAGGTGTGTGTAGACGTGTAGACGTGTAGACACAGCACACGGTCGTTGCTTCACGCGCGACTGACTACTGTGGATGACACGAGGCACGCTGTTGTACTGTGTGCAGCAGTCCTGCTGATAGTGATGGCGCGTGTGTTGTAGCTGTTCATGTCTTGGGTGTCGCTACTAGCGGGGTGCTGGGGTCGTGTACTGTATGATGGTTTCGTCGTGGCCCTTGTCCGTGGCCATTTTTTTTTTTCTCGCTTTCAAAGGATAATCAATGACCCTCGGTCCACAGAGTCTGCTTCTACGCCCATCCTTCAGACCGTGCTATTTTTTTGGTCCTATTGCCCATATGCAGTTTGTCCCCGTTTTATTCATCTTGGCAGGTGTACAACATGCAGCATGCAGCAGTAAGGACTCTTCCGACAGTCTCGATACTATTTCGTATTTCCCAATATCTCGTTTTTGTTTTCTCAGCTCCTTTCGTGTTTTGTTTGTTTGTTTTCGAATCGCAGTCGATGGAGAACGACCACCCCCGGGCCATGGACTTCCTCCGCATGGACTGCCGGAACGTGACCGCGTTTTTCAAGAAGAAGGGGGCACAGCCGGCCGCGGCTCGATCCCTCTTCGACTTCGTCATCGACTCCGACCTGCAGGAGGACCGGCAGGAAGAACGACTCAAGGTACGGCGGCAGTGGAACGGCAGCGGTGTGAATGGTGTAGGTGTATTATTCGGGGTGAACAGGGAAGCTGCTGATGGTTCATTCCGGTAGTGTCGAAGCGGGGCTCGTATTGCGGGACAGTCTACGGATGCTTGGTCGGCTGTGTCTCCCTGATGCAGACTAGGAAAAGGAGGGGACGGTTTGTTGTGGAGGCTATTAGTTGTTGGTAGTTGTCCACAGGTTTGTTACTGGGAATGACCTGGCGAGAAGCGTTGCTTTATCGTTTACCTTGAAGTCGCCATACAGTTGCGATTAGACCACCACCAGACCCACCACCAGCAGTCATCAATCGACGACGAACATGCCAACAACAATGATCAAACTCCACAATCCGAACGCGGCTCTGCAGGAAGTGCTGGAGAAGGAGTTCGACGAAGCAGAGGCGTTTGAAGACGAGAGCAAAAACGGGGGTGTCAAGAGCGAGAAAGGCGCGGAGATGGCGGCCGAGCTAGAAATCCAGGACGCCGTGTTCATGAGCTCATACATCCCCAGGAGCCTGCACGAGGTGGGCAGTTGTTACTTTTGCTGTTGTTGGTGATGGTTGACAATGATGGCGATAGCGTTGTTAGTGTCTCTGCTGCTGTTGCAAGGTGTCGTTCTTGTTCCTATTGTCGTGGTCGTTGTTGTTGTCATTGTTGATGCTATGCTCGTGTTGCTCCTGCTGTTCTTACTACAGTACATTCGGTTTGGCTGCTGCTGCTGCTGCTGTTGCCGTTGCGGCTCAAAACGATGTGTTCATATTGCTTGATTTATTCAGGTGGACAACGTTGAGGATCGACAGAGCCGAATACAGCAGGAGCAGCGAGAGGGGGGCAAGGGAACAGCCTACGCCATCGCGGTCACCCACATGCTCAAGCAAGACCCCAAGAAAGACAAACACCCCGCCATCAACGACTCGACCTCCCCGCCACCAAACTCCGTCGCCGCTCCGGCGGCGGCGGCGGCGGCGGCGGCGGCGGGTAACCCCTCCGGGAGACATAGCAAACCCTTACCCAAGGCTGGCCGTGCTGCTGATTCGTTATCGGGGAGTACTTCCGCCGCCGTTGATACAGCGGGCAGTGGCGGTGACGGTGGTGCGCCGGTGGCGGGGGGTCAGCAGAGCGGACTTGTGTCTGAGGGCGGGGGTGGTGGTGGTAAGGCGGGGGTGCGGTTCGCGGGCGTGGGAGAGGAGGACAGGGGACGAAACGGCGGTGCCACTGGTGCTCCCGCCGTAGTGGTGGTCGAAGAGGAGAGCGTTAGCGTTAGCGTTGTCGCCGGCGGTGGTGGTGCTGGGAGCGACGGGGACAGTGACGGTTACACTAGCAGTGGCGCAGACATGTCGGGGAGCGACGACTTCGAAGACGATGACGAGGAGGAGGGAGAGGGAGAGGGGCACACGAGGAGGAACTGGGCGGAGCGGAGAGCGAGGCTCCGGAAGGACGGGATGCACGGGAGGAGGCTGCCGCCGCCGCAGGCGGAGGAAGAGAGAGCGACGGCCAAGGCTGAGAAGCGCGAGGTGATCTCGGTGATTTCACTTCACTTCGCTTCACTTCATCGATTCGCTTAGATGCATCCATCCATTGGCCGACTAACGGCAGATGCGGTACTCAAGAATCTGTGCCCTGGGTGCTGTGGCTGCTGGCATTTGTTTTGGGCATGCTGTGTCCAACAACTTGTTTTTCTTGCGGTTGTACTGGTGTAGCAAGTTTTTTTTTTCGAGCAAAGCTGAAAGAAATCTGAAAAGCGCACAATCCGTTCGAATGGTTGGTTCGATGCGGGTGCCCCATGCAAACGGAACCAACTGTAGACATTGCCAGAGATACTGAAAATCCATCTCGAGTGAACGATGCAATGAAGCCGTGCACTGCTGTGTTGTATCACCTCCCTTTTTTTGTTCACAACTCCAGACCAAGGTTGAAGTTCGTGAGTGCCTACGGTACATTCTCACGAGTGTTATTTTGCGTAGGAATACTCCTATAGGCCTGTCGAACAGCTGTCTGTCGCATAATTTCGCCTTGAAAGCGGTTGCAAGTAGAGCGTTTCGCACGTTGCTTGGCTGTCGGCGCTCTCCTCTGTTTTCACGCATCGTTACTTGTGTTGTCGAGACCGCCCTGTTATCTCGCGGCCCCGCTGAGCCCACGTGCCGTTCTCTGTTTGGCCGCGTTATGTTTTGCAACGGTACTTTTTCAGGCGAAAAAGGCGGCGAAAGAGGCGCAGAAGGAGAGAAGAAAGACGAAGATCAAGAAGCACGTCAAGCAGCAGCGCATCAAGCACACGTCAGGAAACAAGAAAAAGTAAACCAATTCATGTTGGGAATTAGCTCGGGTAAAATAGCGCTCGAGCGATTCAAGCGGTGCAAAACTGGGAAGTATGACGCCCCGATACGCATGAAGAAGTTTGGGTCGTTGTCCTGCGACGTCATCCAACAAATCTGTCTCGTGCCGGTTGTACAGAGATATCAAAGGTATCTTACGTAACATACTCGGAGTAAGTGTTGGGGGAATGTTATGTGGAAGAGTGGCACGAAGGCTGACGTGTCGAGCCTGGCGGCCCAGCCCTTGAACGTAGTAGTGCTTGGTATGCACTTGTATGCAGTGGGGGTGTCGCAAGGGTACCCTTCGCCCCTCTCTTTGGGTAAGAGTGTCCCTGTTGGAAGTGTAGTGTCTCGTCAAGCCTTTCGAGGCTCAATACCTCCCGGTTGTTGATGGATCCCGGTGCGCCAAACCTGCCTCTTGTTGCGTGTTGTGTCAATGTCCCGACCTAGACAATACAAGCGTCTCTTGGTCAGTGTTTCGTGACGTGTCTACAGCAGTAGTCTATGCATACAATTGTTGTCGGTAGGAGAGTTGGGAATTGTCGGTGTTTGTGCGCAACAAGATTTGAATGCCTGGTATTGCAGCAGCGGCTTGGGGTTCGAGAACCGTCACGGCAGTCCGTGTGTGTACAACGTAGCAGGCGGAAGCCAGATGTTTTGCCCCGAGCCGAATGGACGACGGGCAGCCGTTGCGAGTCGTTGTCTTCACGCCGACGGCCGGGTGGTATTTGAGCAGATTTTTTTCTTGGCGGGTACATAGGCGGGATGAGATGACGTCCCTTCTTTCCACGGAGTGCCACAATACAGGACGGCGATGGCTAGCAGAAATGTTGTTTCGGTGCAACGACGCCCAGTTCCACAAGCGCGCGCGCAGGGGGGGTATTTGGGCCCACTGAATCAATGCCAGACATGGAACTCTCCTCTTTTTTCGTTTCGCTTGTTGCTGCTCTGACGTACAACACGCACCCAACAAACGCAGCAGGAGCACACCAAATAGTTTCTGCGTGTTTTTTTGTTTGGAGTCGCCGTTTTCTTCCCACAGCAGTAGGAAGGAATCTCCATGCTGTACCCGGACTCCATCGAAATAGACCACAGCAACACATCAATTTCGAATTTCCATTTCTCTTGTCATGTTCCTAGGCTCTTCCGGAATCAGTTGCTTCCGCATGCGCGTAACGCTTCGGATGCAGACAAAGGAACACAGAACGAACACGGGGCCGACGTCATCATATTATGGTTCAACTCCGAACTCTGAGGCCAAATGAGTGTAACCGCCTTCTGACGTCATCGATCCCAACGAGTCAACAAAGCATTGGCTTGCATTATTACCCAATGAAACGTAGGCTGGTGATTTCCATCCTTTCCATAAAAAAACAAAAAACAAAGAGTGTAACTGCTGTAGCTGCTCCGGCACTGGCCTCTTTAAAAAACGACCGTGAGTGCCGAGCGCAAACCACATCCGCACCGGAGCTGGAGCCGAGTTCAGCGTTGTCGGGCCCTATCGCACGGCACAGCATCGCCGCACCCTCCACTGCTAGACAACATCGTGGACCCCGGTGCTGCCTGCTTGTAGCTAATTGGTGTAGAGATAGATCCATGAGGGAGGGGAGCCCTGAAAAATAAACACGGGCATGCTTGTACAACCAACCAACCAAACCTTCATGCACACCAACACTCGACTCGACTTGCATTAATCCAACAGGAGCACCCAATTTATTTGGCACGTTGCACAAACATCGCATCTGGCGAGACCGTAGCCAAATCGAGTCGTGGCCCGCCCAACAGCCCAAACCGTTGCCACTCGTTGATAAAATTGCCCCGACTGCTTCGAAGGAGCTAGGAGTTTATTCTCAACCCCGATCACAAAATGGCACGAGCGGTGTCATGCCCATGCTCGGATACGCTTGCTCCGTTCAAGGTTGCACATGGTTCCAACAATCCGTTCTTCAAAGTCTGTTTGTTCACTGGGCAAACACCATCTTGTAGCCGCTACACCCTCAGGTATCATGCTTCAGCAAGCTTGGCCACGTTCTGCTCCAATAAATTTGCGTCCGCCCCTGACATGCTGTCGATCTCCTGTCCCCCCTGCGACAAAGCACATACCATGGTATATACGTAGATTCATCCGTGGATTAGCATGGAACAAGAATGATCTATGGTGTTGTTTCGTGCGAAGAACAGAGCTATTGCCATGCACATAAGTAGACAATAAAACTTCAGTGGGGGTTCCGCAACAGTGACGGGTCAATCGGAGCAACTGCACGGTACAGTCAGTGCCGGGTGCAACATCATGCGCAAGTCGGGCCACAAAGGCTTTGATGTAGTTGGAGAAGCGGAAGGACTAAGGAACGACACAAAGGTTCTGTCCATGCCGTGTGCACATGTTGCAAGCCGGTTGGGAGCAAAGCGAGAACAACCAAATAGCGCCTTGCTGAGAATTTGGGGATTGCTCCCCCCCCCCTCCCCGTGTCACGGATGTACACTGTGTTATATTGGTGCCATGTTACAGCCAAAGCGTGCACAACCAAACACGGGTGTATCCACAACAGTATGCAAAATCACCAGAATGACAAATCGCGCTAGACTTGCCAAAAAACCATTTTCGTCCAAGTCCAATGAGCTACAAACCGCTAATGTAAAGAGTGCGCCATTAGCGCGTCTGCCATGTGGTAAACATTTACCGGGTGCTCTATCGGTTGCTGCGGAAGCACACGAACACACCACGATGAAGAATACACGGGAAGACGAACAGCTCTAGGACACGAATCAACTGGCACGCGAAAAAACATTGCAGAAAGGAACTCCTGCGACAGTATTCCCATTATTCGCACGGTTTGTTCCACCCTGCTCGAAGCTCAATCTCGGTCCTCGGGAAAAAAAATACCATTTCGGTTCTCAAACTGTTCCTCCATAAGACGACTTCCTTGCCTCCTTGGTACAAAAGAGCAATGCGCGCATACGGCCCCCAACTCAAACTTAGTTGCTGCTGCTGCTGCTGCTGCTGCTGTTTGCTTGCCTTGAAGAACTTAAAAGTTGGCACCGACTTGATGTGGGCCATTTGCGCCGCCTCCTCGTTGTCGTCGATGTCAACCTTCCCAAATGAAACCGCCGGAGTCTCCTCGCTCAGCTCTGCCAAGAACGGACCAATCCTTCGGCACGGCGGGCACCACTTTGCCGTAAAGTAAAGGACGCTCTTCTCTCTGTCAACAGAAATCAGGGAGGGGGGTGGGAGTCGAAAACACACGCATCAACACCAAGTGTACCTGGTACATATGTTTAGAAGAGAACAAACGTGGCATGCAGCCCTGCGGTGTTGTGCGGTTCAGTTGTTTGTTGTCCAACGATGTGTGTCATGCTTGTGTAGGAGGCAGGCCGCAAGCAAAGGTGAGCCTACCTTGTGTATTCGTATTAGAGTCATCCGAGAGCATGGGTATGTGCCCACATGTGGCCTTTCAGCTTGCACGACGTGGTGAGATGTGTAGAATGGTTCCGGCAATCAACTGCTGTGTCTGTATGTGAGCTACGAGACCTGCAGGCGGGATATTTAGCTTCGTATTAATCGAGCATCACTTCACTTTCCTTATTCTCTTCATTCCATTGACGGTAGCGAAATCGCACGCCAGTGTGCTGGAGCAATGTCGTGTGTGTGTTTTTACAATTAACGTATTTCGTGCTAACCCCCCGACCAACGAAATTCCATGAGTCTTACGGAACATCAGTGTGGCTGAAAATAGAAGGCACTTCTAAAGGCCACGATCTGGGACCCCGTGAGGAGGCGTCATGGGTATTTTCTTGAAGAGCATTGTTCTTGTGCGCTACCACAGCTTGAGTGTGTATATGTGATCCTTGCCCACCTAATCAGGGACCTAAGCGCGATGGTCAAGGAGGTACCCATACACTGAGCAGCCGAGCAAGCAGTCAGCAGCACATGGGCTTGAGCAGAGAACCGCCAAAAGGGGGGCAAACGTAGACGAGTAAATATCACGAGACTCAAGCAAGTAAGTAGCCGTCAGAGCCAGGACGACGTCCCATCGCTCACGCACACTTCCTCTAGTTGTCAAGCTTGATTGCGGCTATTATAGGGTGTGCGTGACGCGCAAAAAAACCACGCACACACAAGCGTCATTCGCGAAAGGTGGGTTTTCTAGGCAGCGTTTTCGGTGAAGCCGTTCTACAGCAGCTGAAAAGCAAATGAATCGCTCTAGGATAAGTTTTGGTTTCAGAAAATACATTCAAAGATAGGCATGCAAGCGCTGCACGCCTTCGAGATAATACCCGAGTCGACAAGGGTGAGTTCTGGTTTTCTGATGCGATGGTTGGTACCTGCACGGCACACGCGCAATTTGGTTGACTTCTCCCTGCGTGCAATGCAGGACCTACAAATAGTTGGAGAGGCGGCAGAGCATATGTACGAAAAGACACGCCAGCCCGAGCCCACACGCATGTTCAACAGGACAGACAGACAAAAGGGAAGGCTGACGCAGCCCGCCCAAAGACGGTCTGGCGGTGCACCCCGTTTCTGCTGTCTCTCGCTCTCTCGCTCTCTGTGTCTGTCTGTCTAACCGGTCTGTCGTCATCTTGTTATCGTCCTCTCTTCCCCCCACTGTCTCTCTGTCTCTTTGACTCGCCCTCTCTCTCTCTCTGCCTCTCTCCTGCCCTGTGTGTTGGCCCTTGTTAAGTAGCATGACCGCGCTGACCAATGGAAAGACGCCAGTCTTAAAACGGAACAAAAAACACGAACATTTTTCTGTACTAGTCGAATGGGTGAAGGGTTCTACCCAAACCTCCAAAATATACAGCAGAAGTCACATGACAATTATTTCTCCGATCGTTTCCACTTCACGCGTTTTTTCTCTCCCCCTCGCACGGTATGGGTGTAAGGTAAGATGAGGTTCAACACAAACGATGTCCAGTATGCACAGACTATGGATATTCCACCGTGCCACAGCAGTAGTGTAGCTGTGCCTGACGTGAATGAATAGAAGGGTCGTCCTCTGCTCTTCTTCTTGCTACCAAACAACCTGCTGGCACCACCGCTACACACTAAACAACGTATCATAGAGCGCCCCCTGGTACGTTGAGGCCCTACATACCCTCAGCTGTACTGCGGAAGCGCAGAGATGCAGGTAGCTGCGCGGAAGGCGGAAGGAAGAGGGAAGGCTGCGAGCTGGGGGAGCGGAGCGTTTTTCGTACCGTATAAAATTCGGAGTTCTGGATTCGGCACACAAGGAGTCGTTGTCATGTCTCTATGTCTCTATGTACATACGTCACGGTTGTCCTCACACCTGAACAAAACATCACCTGGGAAAGTTGACGTAGTCGTCTTTCGTGCTGAGCTCTACAAGCCGGTCTCCCCCACCCGCAGAAAAATGTCGCACACACGGCGGCGTCGACGCCTGTGGCACCCGCTGACGGCAATGCTGATGGATTGCTCGACCTGCTGTGCGAAGCATTGTTTTTTCGAATTCCCCCCCCTCTGATTGCAGTCCGAATGCACCAGCCTCTCTCGTGCGTTCCTCGCCCCCGGTCTTCTCCTTCTCTCTCCCGCTCTCGCTGGGACGGGTGTGTCACGCTGGTTGCGTCGTTTGCAGCGCGGTTGTGGAGGAAGAGGGGGCCCACAGCTGAAAATAATGGGGGTATGTGTCCGAACACTCTGGAAGCGGGAGGATTTGAACATTTGTTCCGCAGCTCTTGTCCGCGCCTTGGGTGTCGTCTCCTGTTCTCTCTGCTCTGCCTGCGTCGTGTCATCGCATCGTCTAACCAACTCCGCAGTCAGACTTCATTCTATGGTTTGTCCGGACACTGCGGTCGGGCTCACGCAGGAGCAAGACCAAGAAGAGAGGAATGATGTGTACGAACCGCCGGCGATCGCAGCAGGAGACGGGCACACCGGATGCACACGCTCTCGCTCACTCGGTCATGGCATTTGGAGTCATGTACCGGCCAATGGAATGGCGTAGAGTAACGAATGGCTCATCAGTTTTCTGACTGCCGGCATTTTAGCGCTCTGTTGGTGTCCACTACTGCGTGCGGATTGTGCCTGCTCTCAGCTCTTCTGCATCCTCGGCCGTGGCCCTTGGTCGCGGGGAACCAGAAATCCAGCTCTACAACTCCGGGGACAAACGTTTCGTGTCCCCTATGGTCGACTACACGCTGATGGCGAGGTAGCGCTACGACATACCATACTGCCGTTACGCCGATGGGGGACGCCGACCGCAAGATTCCGGCCGTGAAGTTGTTCGTCTCCCAGCTGAATAGCGCTCGTCAGCCCGTCGAAGCCGCTGATGTGACCGGTCTGGAAGAGAGCAACCTCGTCGGGCTAGTCCTCATGGGCATTGAGTTTACTCGAGTGTGGGTCCAGGTACGCAGCTGTTGCAAGCTTGCCTCAACGCCAGAGAATGCAGATTCCAACGCTTTGGTTTTGTTGTGTCACTTGTTTATCATGCGGTCGTGCATCGGCTTTTGTGGTTGCCCTCTCATCGAAAAAACGTTGCAATCTCTACCCAATCTGCCTCAACACCGTCGTGAGCGATGCTATGTAGACGTACGCATTCATACATATCCCGGTACCGGCAGAAACTCATTGGATTGGATGCGTTTCAGGCTGTGCCTGATGGTCCGAAAACCCTGGAGGTTGACTTGTCTACGTAACGCCCACGCAGTGTTGTAGCCAAATTTGCAGCGGTGCTCATCAAGCCAGTACAACCACCCCGCTATCCATACCTGGGCACGCCGGCAGCAACTCACAAAGCCGCAAGTTTTGATATTCTACATGGCATCAGATGCTGCCAACGTGAAGCCGCTCGGGTTTCATTTTCAAATTTACCCCCAACTTCGGATGGACATTTGCGATCGATATTCTTCTGTAGCTGTTTCGACCCCAGCGCCAACCGTTAATATGGTGATGATCGCCCTCTGCATACGTAGGCCCATGGGGTTGATGATACAGCACGGCGTGCGTACACCACTGAGTGTGTTCGCTGCGCACCGACATGTCTAGCCATTACGTAGATGAGAGCTCACGAATGATATGCGTACACCCGGCGACTTAGTGATGCGCGACTCGTAGTTGAAACTCGGAAACAACGTCTAGGGGTTGGCAATCCAGATATGTCTTGCTACAAGTCTCCTATTGACGCTGCCCCAAGTCTTGAGCACCCCAAGATTTGGCGGCACTTGGTGGCCGGTATTCATCCCAGCGATCATCCTACAGACCTCCTCACTTCCGCCCATCCTGCGTGCCCCAGCAGGGCATTGTGATCGAGGTGAATCCTGCCGAGCGTAGCTTTATCGTCGACGATAACACGGGAACCGTGACAGCCGTTGTGCCCGGAATCGGACTCGACGGCGGCACCAACGATGCAGGGCATGGTGTTCGTGATGGTGGTGCTGACGGCTTGCCCAAGAAAGGTGTGTATCATGTGCTGTGGACCACCACCGGTATCGTGAAATGGCTGACGTGGATTCATGGTCGTGAACGATACTTGTGCAACAACAGCGCGACCCTCATCGGGAGTTCATGTGACTTGCCCCCCAACGATTGCGTCCGTTGTATCTCTACGTTTTGTCTCCTGCTTGCATTTTTGCTTGCTTACTGCTGCTTGTTTTGTCGTCGCGCGTGTTGGCCGTTCCAATGGTTGGAATTTATCTCCTTTGATCCGAACAGGACAGCACGTCCTAATGGTTGGAGCGGTGGAGGCTCCGTGCGATGATAACGGGCAGGGTCGGCGGGTGCAGCGAAGAAGAAGCTCGTGCAGGCGATATCGTGTGCTTTGTGACGTTGTCAAGGTACGAGCGCCTCGCCCCCGTAGGACAAGGCACCTTTTTGGTAGGGTCTCCTCGCACCAATTGTTTTTTTTTTCCCAACCCTAATATCGTTTCTACACATAATGTAAGCACGGTGATAGAATATCACCAGGGATATCAAGGCGTCCCACCTCGTGTCTACAACTGGGAAGTATCTAACCAGGGAGTGGGTACATTTTCTTCACACCCACGGCTTGTGGGACCACTCTATTTTCTGCTTGGACGAATAACTGAACTCCTTGCCGTGATTGGCAAATAATCGGCTCTCTTTATTCTTTCAACGCTACCTCTTCCTCAAACGTGCCCGTGAACCTGACGAACGCCGTTCTCGCCCTTCGATTGTTCGCCTTGCACCGGCCTCGTGTTTGCCGCTCGGTCTCGCGTCTCGTCCTCTCAGGATGTGGGCCCCGAAAGCCCGAACAGGGATACATTGTGGGGTCTAGAGGTCATAGATTTTTGGATGAGTCGACCGCGAAATCCCCAGGGCTAATCGGACGAGCCAGGCCAGCTTGTAAGTAGAAATCGACGAACCGACCGTAGTACCTACGGTCAGGTCGTTCATGAACGCAGTTTCGTTTGTTTGTTTTTGTTCAGGTGTACTTGTTGAGGACTTTGGTGCGTCTTGAGCCTCTTCGTGCGGGCGTTTGTAGTTTTCACCGCGATACTGCCGTGTTGTTAAGTACCTTGCCTTCCTTTTAGGGGGCTCCAGCTTATTCAGGGCGCGCGTACCTTAGCTGCTCACACGACAACGTTAGCGTCTCATTCGCTAGCTAGCTAGGTGTCGCCAACCAACTACCCCTTCGACAATAGACACCAGGTGGGACAGGCTAAGTAGTGGGGCGGAGGGCCAAAGGTACTCAAGACCCGTGTATGTTGTGTCCCGTCCATGGGGTGGACAGGCGGGGTGGCTTCTTAGGGTCGGTGGCGTTCACGATGCGAGAGCGCTATTTAGATATATGTCCATCGGGAAACACACGCATTCTCATTTGCAATTCTCTTGTTTTTGCGGCCGAGGCCACGAGTTGTTGTGGAATACAGCTGTCCCAACGGCCAACCAACGAGTACTATTGGTGTTTTATCAGCAGTAGAGTGACAAAGGGCTGATGAAGTGGGACTCGATGATATTGGCCACAGGGAAGGAGGTGTCCTTGAGGGAGAGACGTGGGCAACGGAGGGAAATGGTTTCGTATATGTAGGCCCTACAAGATGGCTGGTCCTGTAGATAGGTCGATGGCCACAGCTATGATCGAGGAACGTTGGAGGATGATTATGATTCCACACGGACGTGAAACTGTTCGACATTTGCGCGGGGCGCGTCTGCACTCGAAGTGGCTCTACGACAAATGTTAATGTTGGCGTCTCGAACGAGATCTGCGCAGTCGGCGACAATTGAAGAAAACGCCGGCGGCAGACCGTCGGACGGCAGACCAGACCCACTCCGAGTTATGTTGAATGGCGTCGGGGACATGAACCACCAGACGAAGGAAAGTTGTTGGGGTTCTAGGACCGTGGGGTATCTATCGAACATGAATGGTGGCAAAAGCTTCCTGCACGACCTTTCAACAGCCTTGATACTTTATACAGGGATAACCCGACTGGCTGTAACCTTATCCATTATGAAGTAGAAGTAGAAAACTTGTGGTATTTCTCCAACCGACTACTGCTGTATGTACTTGTTGTACCAATCAAGAATGATTTCAATAGAGCAGTAGTTTAGTGCTGGTTGAGTAGTGCCCCGGTGTTGTCGGCGGGCACACACCGAATTTCCAAGTCATCCTCAAAAGTTTGATTAATGCCGATCCGGTATAGTGCCGGTAAATTGCTGGGCACTTAGTACCGCCGGCACTCAACAGGGACCTCTACAGCGGAAAAGAGTACACATCTGTAATTTCCATCTGCTGCAATCAGTGTGGAGAAGAGGTCGCAAACTCGTACTTCTCGTTGCAGTAGCCAGCAGTTGCCACGTCCCTGGCGTACTGTCTGGGATTCATTACAGCGACATATTCTCGCCACCCCCCTCGCCGTGTAGGTAGCACCAAACAATATCCTAGCCAAGAGAACCGCCGACCACGTCCAGGTTTCCAGGTGCACTGGCGCGAAAAAGCGGAGATGTCGGAGATCTCTCAAATCATTTTTTTTTTTGTGATCGCGCGAGAGGCACCATCCTACACACACATACAGCAGCACCTCGACTCCCACTCCCACAGGAACCGCGCGTCGTCGTCAAGCCAAGAGAAACCATGTGTGGTATACTGGGAATCTTTGGCTCTGAACTTTCAGAGAAAGACCTTCGATCAAAGCTGATCGAATGCTCTAAAATGTGAGGATGAGCGAGTGCTGCTGTGCGCCCACGTTGCCTCTCTGCCCTTCCCGTTTGTGCAGAAGTATTGCTACAGGAGGGTGTGCATGTGCCAGAGGCACGTGGGCCCGAAACCGTCCAAGTCCTTTGCCGACTGCTTCCAGCGAGAAGAGGACTGCTTACATTGGTGAACCGTGTTGGTTGACTGCTGGTTGGCTCGCAATGTGACGTCAACAACGGGGTTCATGTGTGCACGCCGTGCAACGTACTTCATATTTCACCAAAGAAGGTGCTGTTGGCGCAGTGCTGCTTACACCCACGCCGCCGCTGCCGTGTCGCCTCTGCCCCCAACCACCGTCCTGCCTAGGCTTCGCCATCGCGGGCCGGACTGGTCCGGGTACGAGATCATCTCGGTGTCGGAGAAGCGAAAACATGGGATTGGTCACGAGCGCTTGTCGATCATCGACCCGGAGTCCGGGGCGCAGCCGCTGTTCTCTCGCGATGGACAGGTGAGCAGAGGCCGCTGCAGCTGCAGTTGACGTTGCAGTCGCGGTTGTTGACTTGGAATGGAAGCTCAACAAGCGGGGGCAGCCGGCCCTTCCGTGCTGAACCTGCCGTTACCTGTCGGTATGCCTCGTTGGCTAGCAGACGTGTCTACTCGGTATTTGCTGACAACGTCAACAACCTGCCTTACAGCAGCCCGGCAGCACCAGCATGGATTCGAAAGTCGCCTGCTGCTGAAACGTAGTCAACGCGGCAACCAACTGGTAGTACGGCTACAGCTGTTGTCCATCGCAGTTGGAAAAGTTGAGCAGGAATAACAATCCAACCAATCCACACGACACCAATTTAGACCAAGACATATGATACCAGGAAGAGCGGAAAGGCGAAGGTGTGCGGGTTGACGGGAGATCTGGCCCTACAGCAGTACAGCAGTAGAAGTGGACCATGGCATGATGTACCAAGTAGTACATACGTGACCACCGTTGATACCCTACCAACAGGCGTGTTTTCATGTGTACATGCCACCCGAACCTATGCATCTACGCATCAACCAAGCACCAACGGCGTGTTGATGTTGCGTACACCTGTTGTCGTGTACAGCAGTACATTATACAGTAGTGCAGTACCCTATTAGCGGTACGGTAACAGTTTCGTGCTTTTGAGACCGCCGTGCTGCAGTTTGGAGCGTCCGATTAAGAAAACCGTCGTATCTTTGGAACATGCCCTTGCCGATTATTGGTACAAGTTTGTTATCCGCCGTGCGTCGAGGTGTTTATTCGCGCCGCGCGAGAGAAAGGAGCGTTTGGATTGGCAGTGATAGGGATGGGGATATATACCTCGGAACCGTTGGTGTCCTTGTATGCATACCGCTGCTGTTGAAACCTCTCTGAATTGGCACAGGAGCGGCATGTCTGATTCAGGACTTCTGCAGTTCTTTCAGGACTGCAGAGAGTTGCTCGTGGCATCAGACAACATCATGAAGGTCTTCGGAATGCCCTCATCATGTTGGTTGTGTTATCTCCCGCACCTTTCATCTACTATTTCATCTGTCACTACTGCTGTACATGCCCGTGTCAAAATATTCGAAACACCTGCCTACTTCCTTAGGTGATTCTGTCCGCCAACGGAGAGATCTACAACTACCAGGAGCTCTTGTCCGATGAGGAGGTGCGCACACTAAGCTGGCCCCGCACTCGACGCTATCTGTTGTTGCGGCGACTGTTGCTGTTGCCATGGTCGTGCCTAGTGCCCTTGTCCTTGGTATTGCCGCTGTTCCCGTCTTTTTTTATGTTGTTGTTGGTTATGACCGTAGTGTTCAATGTCTGTTGCCGTCGTTTCTTGTCTTGCACCGGTGGCACTGCAACATGCCCTCTTCTCGATTGCGGAGCCCGCCTCTTGGTAGTGACGCTTTCGCATCTGCCTGCCCGCGTGTCCCTCGCCTGTCTGCACCAACGGATGATCCCGGTTGGTACGAAAGAACCGCAATCGAATGAATGGTAGCAATTGCTACTGCCGCCCTTACAAGTCTGCGACCTCAAGAACCCACAAGCAAGGTTAATGCGAGGTTCAGCAACCAGCATGGCATTCAAGCCGGGTGTGTTCGGTGTTTCTATTGGAGTACAACAGCTCCTGACATGACATCTTCTGACTCCTACCATACCCCTATTCTCACACCCGGTGTTGCGTCTTTGTCGTTGCCGTTGGGGGGCACAAACAGCCGCTGACAGGGTCTGACTGCGAGTCGATCATCCCTCTCTACATGAAGAAGGGCACCGACTTCCTGAACGACCTGCGGGGCATGTTTGCCTTCTTCATCTACGACAAGCGCGACGACTCCTTCTTCGTCGCCAGAGACCACGTCGGCATCATCCCTCTCTACATCGGCTGGGGCGATGACGGTAGCGTGTGGATATCTTCGGAGATGAAGGTTGGCACGCCTTGTCTCATCCTTGTTTCGTTACCATATGTATCTCATGAGCTCGCCCGTGTGTCAAAGGCATACGTATTCGAAACATTATATAAAGAATAATTGCTGTTGCAACGCACCACTGGTGCTGGCTTCGTGGTGCGATCTGGCGTTACATGTGGGTCACATTATCGTTTTGCCGGTGCCGTTGCTGCTGCTGCTGTTGCTGCTGCTGCGACTTTTTCGGTGTGCCGTTTTCGCTTGTACTTGTATGATTTTGTTGTATCATCAATCGCTATCCTTTTTCTGCGTTGCCCCTATTTCGTAGGGTTCCCTCCTAATGGTACGTATTATCATCAAACGTCAGCCTTCTCCCTGCGTGTTCTACCTCTGCGGTTTTCTGTTGTCTTGTGCACTGCAGGCGCTGGTTCAGGGATGCCGCTCTCTCAGGGCCTTCCCCCCCGGGCACTCGTACTCCTCCAAGACAGGAGACTTCACACAGTGGTACAACCCCGTGTGGCGCACCCTCAAGGAGGTTCGTTTACGTACCTGGTACCCGGTAGCTTGTTCATGTCAAAGCTTCGCGATCGTACCTTTTCTCATGTCAAAAGCCTCGTTCCATACCGTGAAAATACGGGGTGTGAGTTGCCCGCCGTTTTATTTTTTCTCCCGCCACTACGCGTGAATCAAGAGTTGACCCGCTTCACGGTGCTCAAGGGTGCGTGCCTATCTATCGGGGGGTTGTTCGGTGTGTTTTTTTGTTACGAATCACGCAGCAGAGTCGCTTACGACTAACCTCGTGCCGTGCAACGACAACATTTTACTTTTCTTTTACAATGTGTTTACTTTTTTCCCCAAATGTTGTGCTCGCTAACTGCTGGCAGCGGTTTTCGATGTTGCCGATGAGTGTGGGTGTCAAAGTCAAAGGATGGATGGCACTGCAATCAAATGTACTCCGCGTATGTTGTCCTTTCGAAAATAAAGGCCAAAGCCAAAGACTCCGTAGTGTGGACTAATTTCGCCCGTGTGGCGAACGGCGCACGTACGTGGAGTCCGGTATGGGATGCGCCTTCCTGTGTTGCTCTGTGTGCGGCTGCTCATCTCATTTCACCCATCCCTCCTCTGAGGTACACGTACTTATCGACATCCCGGACCGTGCTCTTTTGCCTTGTTCCTTAAATCGCATCCCGGGTCATGTCAGTCAAATCGATTTCGTCATACCCCCCCCCCCCAATTCTCACCCCTGGACCCCCCTCCTCTTCCTTGAATCGCATCCCGGGTCTTGTCAGGCAGTCAACCTCATCACCCCCCCCGCTCCCCCATTCCTCCTCCTCTCCCCTGTATGGCATGGCATCTCCAGGTCTTGTCAGTCAACTCGATTTCATCACGCCCCCCACCCCCCCACCCTCGCAATTCTCAACCTCGGACCCCCCGCTTCCCCCTCGCATCGCCTCTCCGGTCCGTGTGGCTTGACTCTCAATGTATATCTGCAGCACCCGACGCAGCGCGTGGACCTTGCGAGGCTGAGGGAGTCTTTCACCACGGCGGTGGTCCGCAGGATGATGACGGACGTGCCTTGGGGAGTGCTGCTGTCAGGTACGTACAGTACTGTAGGGCACGATGATAGTGAGATCATGGTGCTGTATGTGTGTGCGTGTTTCGTTTGTTACAAGCATGCGTGTGTCGGTTTGTTGGTGCGTTTTTTTTTCGTTCTTCGTTTTTTCATCCCACTTGTTGGATCGTGAATATGGATGTGCTCTGTGCTCGTGTCGGGTTGCTAGCGTGGAAGTGTGTATATCTGCCGTTTCCAGGTGACGCGTTTCCTCGGCCCAGCTCGACCATACCGCAACCTTCTTCGCGTTTGGGATGCAGGCTCGAATGCCGGTGCAGTCACGCGTACGGGGATGATTTTCTCGTACTCTTCCGAAACAATCTGGAAAGCGATTACTTCGTGTCTTCGCAACACGGTCTTTGAGAGAAAGGAATGGAAGAATCCCTCCAATGACTGCGGTCTACCTTGGTGGTAGCTTATTGAGTTCTCCTGCTCTTACTGCGCCCCGTTTGTCGAGTATTCCCTCTTCTCAATTGCGGATGGTTCCATCAACCGCTTCGGCGAGCCCCTTCCGCGAGCACTTCCGGTGGCCGCTTCCGTGAATCTATGCATATTCGAACACAGTACGAACCAGAGTCTTCCGGATGTTCCCCGTCAATCGAGCGAACCGTATGGCGGTTCCGTAAACCTCTTCCGTGAAGAAATACTGTACATGTTGCGCCGATGACAACCCACCTTGTCGAGGGAACTGTCCCGTGGACCGCTTTTGTGAACCCCTGTCTCCGTGAGCAAAAAACCACATCTCGAATTCACGGTTCACACCCATCTACCATTTTTTCGCCCGTTTTTTCCGCGGAACGATCTTGGCGTGCTGAAGATTAAACGTTTCATGAACCGGCCTCCTAGAATTATTGGCGACAACACCCAACACCGTTACATGAACCAGCCTCCTAGGTTTACAGGCGACAACGCCGAACACCCAACACCCAAGTCATCCAATCTCATGGTTTCCTCCGGTGCTTGATGGGGTCTGTCAGGTGGACTGGACTCTAGCTTGGTGGCGAGCGTAGCGTGCAGGCATGTGCGGGATCACCCTGACTCCGGTCGTTTCAGCGCCTTCCCGAGGATACACTCCTTCAGCGTGGGTCTCGCCGGCTCGCCCGACATCAAGGTGGGTCATCTACCTGTCTTGCAGCAACTGTTGTTGAACATTGTGGCAGTGTGATGTATGTTTACCGTCCCTTCCGTTTGAGATGATGTGGAACAATGGCAAGAGCGACGTTGGTTTCCGCCACTTCCGTGTGACATGATTGTGGCGATGTTGAGATATCTTGTTTCTGCCGGCATTGAAGACTGCGTCGACCTCGCTCGGTCTTGAGCCGGCGAATTGTTAGGGTAGGCGTAAGCAGAAAGAGGGTGGTGGCGAGAGCTGGCGGATTGTTTGTATACATGGTGGGATGTGAGGGTGGTATGGCCTGGTTGTTGCTCTGATCTGCATGTGTAGCATGTGCCTTGTGGCCGCACTCATGTCGGAGCACGATTGAGGCTACTTCCACCGCAACGGGATCGCCGATAGCCACCATTCCATCACCTATCCCAAATGCCACCCTGCGGAATACCGTGTCATCTGCGTAGTTTTTAATACGGTATGGAAAGCGTGCTGGAGTTGCGCCCATCTCGGGGTAGATCCGAAAACGGACCGGGTTCATGCATGTTTTTTTGCCGTGTTCTACCCCCCGGACGGTTGCTGGATCGTTAGCAAAGCGTTGAAGCCTCAGAGGCAGAGACAGACAGCAAGCAAACACCACCACAAAGCCCATCGTGTCCTTCCCCCTTTCATCTAGAAGGCATTCTGCTGACTATTTTGCAATATGTTAACATACAGCAAGACTCCTATTTTTCCTTGTTTCCATGGTGTCCTTTGACGCATGCATTTTCTATTCCTCGTGTTTCCTTCCTTGCAGACAGTGTTACTTGCAGCGTGTAAGCCTTCCGTTTGTCCTTGTTTCGCTTTTCGTGTTCCTCCCTGCTTCGTTCTTTTTTTGTTTCCTTTGTGCTGTTTTTGTGTTATTCTGTGCAGGCCGCTAAGGAAGTGGCTGACTTCCTCGGCACGGTTCACCACAGCTACGTCTACACGGTGCAAGAAGGGCTGGACGCCATCCGTGAGGTACGCCCGTAAAAAAAAGCGCAGAAGCTAGACACCCAAGCATCTCGTCTGTTTAGTACAACAATCACACGACACCGTGGAGTTCAAGCTGTTCGGCACGCGTATGCACTTGAGGGCACAGACAAACTATTGCACCCATATTAGCTTGTTTCGCAATTATTGTCCCTGTTGCAGCTTCTCTGTTGTACGCATGATCGAGCACGACCTTTGGCTTGGTTCACAATGAACGTTCGCTCTCGACAATCGTTCCTCCATCTTGCAGGTTGTACGCATGATCGAGACGTACGACACGACCACCATCCGGGCCTCAACGCCGATGTTCCTCATGTCAAGAAAGATCAAGGCCATGGGTGTCAAGATGGTGCTTTCGGGGGAAGGAGCCGACGAGGTATGCTCACCTTGTGGTCTATGACACTTGCATTACAAAAGTTGGCCGCCATTTTCAATATGAGTGTTTGCAACATACCCTCGTATTCGTTTGAACGATGAAACAGTGTGTCGTGCTACCTTGCGGACAAGGATCCACATGAAACGGATGGTGGCTGGTGGTCTTGCCGTCTGTACTTGAATCGAATACTTTGGGTTGCGTTTGGGACCACTTGGATTCGAATGGATTCGATTTGATTCTGGCTTTGTTGTCGTTGTTGGTATCACATGTCGATTTTGTTGTGGATCATGCACCTTTCTTTGGCGCTCTTCGTACATTGTGCCAATCTGGTTGTGCCGGAATGTTGTTGTGTCATGCGTTCTTATAATACTCTACGTTCCTTGGATGTATCTCTTGTTCGTCATGTGTGTCTTTTGTCTTTTTCCGTCACGCAGCTCCTCGGTGGGTACCTCTACTTCCACAAGGCGCCCAACGGGCAAGAGTTCTTCGAGGAAACACGCGACAAGGTGCAGCACAATGCAATACAATACGATACAAAACAATACAATACAATGCAATACAACAAAGCGCTGGATTTCTTCCCTACCACCACTAGGCTCTGCAGTGTCCGTGCTTTCTGTTGTTGTTGCTATTATCAGCATCTACCACGCTAGCCGACTCGCCATAGAAAAATCTCCAGTCTCAGTGCGGCTGAAAACAGAAATGCGTGCGTGTGTGTGTTTTCTTAATGTGTTGTCGGGGCATCTTTCTTTCTTTCTGGTGCCAGTCTCCACCTTTCGGTATATTCTTGGCGAATCAACCAGGGCCACACACGAAGAAGGTGGCAGAGACCTTCATTTTTGTTTTTTTCCACGCCGATATCTCTGCTGGATACACTCGGAAGACCGCACAAGCACCTCGAATACCAGTAGCCGTGTTGCACCGCCCCCGTGGTTTGTAAATAAAGTAATACAGCCTTCCATCCCTCTTGGTGTTGTCCCGATCAATCAACTTGTTCGCGCGGCTCGGGTCGATTCCACGCCGCAGCCAGCAACCTGTTTTTTCCTCCCCGCGTCTCTCACGGCGCTTCGTGTTCAAAATAGATAGTCCAATAGAACAAGTCAAGCTCTTCCCGTCAAGACAATCCTATGATACCATGACTTTACGTGTCGATAATGAACAGCCTCCGCCTGGACCCAGAAGTCAGACTCTTTGCCTCTTAAGCAATGAGTTACTCGTCAATACATGAAGTAGTAAAAAACCGGAACACTTCGTTTTAACTACGTTTCACGCGCACGTTTCACGTTTCATGTTTCATGTTTCAGGTGCTGGCGCTGCACCAGTTCGACTGTGCGAGAGCCAACAAGAGCACCGCCTCGTGGGGGGTGGAGGCACGCGTGCCTTTCCTGGATGTGGACTTCATCGAAGAGGCCATGATGACCAACCCGGAGGACAAGATGGTTGCTCCCGTGAGTCATTCAGTCAGTCAGTCAGTCACGACTAGGTCTTGTTGGCGGTCGGGTTTTGTTTGAAGGCCACGGTTAGTTTCCCCGCAGGTGATGGGTTGTATGTAGCATAATACGCCTCTTCTGGCTGGGATGGTTTTATTCGACTGGTGTATGCATAACATGTTTTAATTTTCTTTTAGTATTAGCGGCTGGCTGCATGGTTCAAACGGGGGAGTGTATGAAAACTTTCATGGGTACGCTCGAAGCCCATGATGGCCAGGCAAGCGAATAAGATTATCAGGAACGGATGCATCTCTTGATCTGTCTACCCAGGCATTTTTTGGTTACAATGGGAAGGTACGTTGTACACGATGTTCAATGCGTGCCTACTGTGTGCTGCTCAGCGTTTCTCGAGAGGAAAGTTTTGCCCAAGGTTCTCTGCTCGTCTCTACAAGCCAAGAGCTCAGGACAACATTACCGTAGTGGACATACACATCCTCCCATGCATTGTATGTGTTGTGGAACGTCTAAATTCAAAGCAGCTGTTGCGCAACAAGCCATGATTAAGAGAGGGCCAGATGAAAACGTTTTTCGCCTGCTAACCACTCCGTTGCGTGCCTGGCGTACGCCACTGATGAGCCATTTCCATTATCAATCCTGCAGGAGTACACGGAATTACTTGACATGAGTCGTAGTCCGATGTATTGTAGCGTGATGGTGACAATCCGACACAGGGGCACGACCGATGAGTCCATCCTCGAACGCGTGCCGCCTCTTGGGTGATGGTCTGGGGTGTGTGGTGGTGTTTTCTTTCATGTATAAAGCTTTGGTATCATGTGCATCGTCTCCTGACCGACAGCGACAAAACAACACGTGTGACGTCTCGTTACCGTCAACGACAAAATAACTAACAGGGCAAGATCGAGAAGTACATCATGCGCAAGGCGTTCGACACGCCGGAGGATGTCTACCTGCCCCAGCACATCCTCTACCGCCAGAAGGAGCAGTTCAGCGACGGAGTCGGCTACAACTGGATAGACGAGCTCAGAGCCAAGGCCGCTGAGGAGGTGAAGTGATGTTCATGCTTCAGCTGAAACCTTTCGTGGGATGAAAAACCTTCGCAAGACTGTTAACCCTTACGTCACGGGGATGATCTGGTTATTATTTGTGCCTCCCCTCGAGAGAACCGGCTCCAACATCTTGTTCGTGAGCACAACATCGCGAAGGTGCACATTCACGAATCACGGCGGCAAGGATGATACACCGACGAAAAACCTTCCATGTGTGTTTACGACCTTTCTGCAGACAACGTAGAAATCGGAACTTTGGTCACATGATGGTTAGGGTGTTGGCGCTTGGATGGTACGCGGTGCTCCTTCGTGTTTTAGAATCAACCAACGCCAGGGACGATTCGCGCTGACCATATTTTGCCGCTTGGTACTATTTGTTGGCCGCTCAATGACTAACCGTTGGCAAGGCGTCAAAACTCGAACCGCTTCACGACGACGTTTATACATGTGTTCGACGTCTGTTGTATTCCTCTGTCTACTGGTTGGGCCCGTGCTTTCCTTCGATGCCCGTTGCACAGAACTAACTCACAGTACGGCTGCCACAATAGTGGTGTTGATTGCGCTTATTTCCGTCTTGTTCCTGTGCAATGTCAATGTTCGATTTTCAACCCCACAGGTGACGGACGAGCAGTTCAAGCACCGGGCCAACCGCTTCCCGCGGGACCCGCCCGCCACGAAAGAGGTGAGAAAATGAAATGGGGAAAGATACACATAGACGATAGACGAGAGAGAGAGAGGGAGAGAGAGAGAGAGAGAGAGAGAGAGAGAGAGAGAGAGAGAGAGAGAGAGAGAGAGAGAGAGAGAGAGAGGCATGGGAAGAGAGAGACAGACAGATAGACCAGCATATAAAAGACAGATGATGACAAATAATATCCAGGGGAACGGAGAATTCACCTTTTTCGTATTTCTTGCACATGTGTGTCCTCTCTCTCTGTGTTTTTGCCTCATTTGTCTGCTTTGCGCCAAAAAGGAACGTTTTGCGGCAGTCGACCCACCGTCTTTAAAGTGGAAATTTTGTTTTTGCGCATAGACGTCATCTGCAGATATCCGCTGTTGCATCTATTAACACGATCAAGCTGATTTACTCACAGGTCCTCGAGGACAGGATTTGGGTGTTCATCGCAGACACGGTACACACGCACTGGCGAACAAACCGCCCAGCATATCCCTCGCTGAGTCACCATGCCTGTCCAAACGGTTTTGTTTCTGACCCCCTTTCCCCCTACATGACAACCGTAACTGCTTGGCTGAATGAAGCCCTAACGCCAACCGTTGTACTTGGTTTTGTCTGCCGGACAATATTGTCGGACATCTTCAGTTCTTGACCCATTCGATAGTCCTTTCAGCCCCCACGCCTGCTGTCCTTACCCTTGCTCTTAACGTTTTTTTTCTCATTCCTTTGCGAACCGTTTTCTGAAATCTTGGCAGGCGTACTTGTACCGCAAGATCTTCGAGGAGTTCTTCCCCACCCCTGCTGCGGCGGAGACCGTGCCCATGGGAAAGTCGATCGCATGCTCTACCGCCCGCGCTCTCGAGTGGGACGAGTCTTTCAAGGTGCAACGCCAAAAACACGAAGGACGCGTCTGTTGACCATGCAAGAGTTTTGGGTCTTGTTCGATTTTAGGATATCACCCGCCATTTTGGTGCTGTTTTCTTGCCCACCTACCTAACAAGGAGAGAAGCAGCATTCTGGGTGGTTTATTAACCACGGACATCATACCCCCCCCCCCCCCGCCCTCGCCTCGACCTCCCTTGCAGAACCGCGCGGACTGCTCCGGCCGTGCCATCGGTGGGGTGCACGATGACGCCTACGGGGACGAGTTCGAGGTCGGCGCCGATGGCGCTAAGAAGGCAACTGGTGTAGCCCACGCGACAGAGGCTTGATCTTTGATGGATCTTCCACCGCGTGGTGTCTTTTCCATTCCGTACCGTCAAGTACAATATGCCATGGTATACACGGTACCGCTCCTCCTGTAGTTATGTTTTCCGCCAACAAGGCCACCGGGGTTGATCTCCAACGCTGTTTGGTCTGTTTCAAGCTTTCCACAGCGCAATATGACGTGATGGTGCATACGCCGTACCATTAGTCCGGGCAATGCGCCAGCCACCCTTAAGTCATGGTTGCACGGCGACGCGCACCTATTCCACTGCGCGAGTTGGTGTTCCAATGATAATTTTTGGTTATTTGCGTTTTTCAAGCGGATGGGAATGAGAGCGTTCGTTTTTTCAAGTTAACGGGGGTTTGTACCGAACAGTCGGTCCTGTATGCGTTTCGGCGGGGGTGGGTTAGTTTATGGCGGGGAATGATCACATTCTGCAATGAAAGGCCTGCTCAAGGTCTCAACTTGGATTGTTGCAATAGTTGGGTAGTTTAGGGGGTTGGTTTTGATTGTATCCCGCACAGTAGCTGGATGAACGTCGATGGAGCGTCTTGCTGCGTGCGGTGGGCTAGTTCCTGCCGTGTGGACAATGAGAGAAGCAACACACTTCGCGGGAAGTCCTGTTCGCGTATCAGGAGAGAACGGAGCACGTGAGCTGGTGGTGGCGAGAATAAGGCGCTGCCTGCTGTTGTTTTGTACGGCAGTACCTCCCCGTTGCTCGGGTTATCAAATGGTGACGGTTGTTGATGCCGTGGTTGTGGTTAGGGGTGGAGGCCCGTTGCATCTGGAGACTATTGGACCAGAGTATTTTACACTAGGGCCGGCGGGCGGAATTGTGGCGGGAAAGAACGTACGTCTTGGTGGTTGCGCGTGATCCCGATGAACGTGGCGCACTCTCGGTAGGGCGTTGTGTTGTTGTTGAAGACCGGTAGGTCGAAAAAGTAAGGCGTTTCGTACCTCGATGATATCCGAACGCTTAAAACGTTACGATATTGTATTTTTTGCGCGGCCGTCTGTTGCTCGTGTTTCAACCTCACAATGTGCCCTCGTGCACGGTTGGCAGAGGTACCAATTCTTGAGAGTGGTCTGGCCTCACGCTGACTTAGGCGACTGAATTCGTTTTTGAATTGTTCGCGGTTCGAAGTGGAACTCGAGTAGTGAATTGTGCAGTTTTGTGGAGAACAAGGACAGCCATGATGCTACCCCTTGGCTAGGTACTACGGCTAGCGCCCGGGTTTACGAAACGTCAATTTGGGGCCGAGGCTCAATGTCTTATTTTCTCACCACTGTCGAGCAACCAAAAGTAGATAATTATTGAGAGTGTAGTTGGGGATCCACAGCTGAGGTGTATTTCTCGGTCGAGGTTTCTGATTTACAGCAATTGAGCCTTCATTTCTGAAAGGGTCGTTTCTCAATCGCGGACGCTACACTGCGGTATGGATACCATGAATAGGCTGGAACTGTTGGGCCGTAGTCCTGCCTGCATGACGTCGCCACCAGCGATACCATCCGGTGTGAACTGACTTGCTCTCAGGGCGCCGTAGACAACCCCCCTCGAAAAACAACAACAAATAGTTAAGTTGTCCCTGAGGCGGAAGAGAAAGGCAAGACCCACTCCTCACGCCCTCACCACCCGGGGCAGTAATGCCCGACGGCCGGAACCGGACGTCGCCGGTGAAACTAGATGCCGCAGACTCATGATGATCCATAGCACACACCGATGGCGGGGAACAAAAATACGAGGACGCACGGAAGGTTGATTCGCTCTCTTGACACGTTCCTACACGTGCGGATGGTTCGATATGAACACCTCAAGACCGCAAGGCAATATATACGCGCCTGAAAATTGTTGCCCAAACCCTGCAAAGTTGTACGCGTACAAGGGGCACTACACACAACACAAAGCCGCCTAAATTACGAATAAATACGTGTGATAGTCCCGAGACCGGCGAGGCGATACATGTTTCGTAAAGAAATCCTAACCCTGCAGAGTGGTACGCGTACAAAAGGAGACAACACACAACGTAGAGCCGCTTGAAATACCGAGCGTAGATGCCATAACAATCGCTGCGGTAAAGACATGCGTGACTCTCTGAGTACAGCATACACGTGAGCGCTCGAAACACAACGATTGCACCGTAGGTGTCCTGGAAAATATGTGCTGCAGCACTAGAGTGGACCGTTCAGCATGACCCATGCCACGGTAGGGTTGCCCGTTTGGCTAACCCATATTGGAATGAGGTTGGCTCAGGAATGTTGTTGTTGTTGTTGTTGTTGTTGTTGTCTTCACATTAAAAACCGTTCCGATCTCTCTCTACCCAGTACCTTCGTATGCCCGTACTGATCCAACACTCGACGCGGTCGATTCCCGTGGTCACGGGTTAACTTACCCTAAAAAGGTACACTCAAATAAACTGGCCCCGAGGGGTCCGCAAGTCAATGGAAACCAACGACAGATATTCTGGAGTCCTCCACTCCCTCTACGCGCTATGCGAGGTATCAACTGAGGCTAGGAGTCACTATCACGGGCCGGAGAGAAAGAGGTACACCCCCTTGGTTCGATCTTGGTACTTCACAACGCAAGCAGAGACAAGGCCATCTGGCACAGAAAAAGAGAGAAAAAGAGAAAAACATTAAAAGGACACAGTAATATAAGGAAAGAGAAAAAAAATGAAAAAGAGCGAGGACAAAAAGGAACCAGGCCGAAAACAACAAGAAATAAGAGACAGAAAAAGGCACACGGTGGAGAGATCACTAACGAACGAGTAAACACGCAAACATGGCCACCAACCAGCGATACATGGTAATGGTACGTCATCACTAGTGGGGGGTTGGTGCAATGGCGCAGCGTTGGGGGGGGGAAATTGGCTAAAAGAAATTCAATCCGGCACGTATCGCGCCACTCAGTCCATCTCTTCTCGCTTGCTTTCTTTCCTCGCCGTCTCGTCCGTCTCCTGCCCCCCTCCCGCCCCATTGGTTGTTGGCTTGTGGTTTCGTTTGAGCGCTCGTTGTCGGCTGGCCTCTTCTTCCTCCTTGTGCCAGGAGGTCATGAACCTCTCAGCTCCCTGCAGCACCGCCGCATGACAGGGTACTCCCCCCTCCACCTTCGCGGCTTCCATCCACTTTAACTTCGGTGTCGCGTCTTTCGGTACCGGGATTCCGAGACAGCATGGATCGGTTTTCGTAGATCCGTGGTCGGCCCCGACTGCCTTCAGGTCGTCGAGCACACACTTCGGCCAGTTCTGTTCCTGTCCCCCCCTACGTGGCTTCTCCCCCCCCGCCAGTTCGCCGAGCATCAATCGTTTCGGGAGTCGCCCGTCCGGCTGCCTTGCCAGTGCTCCCGCGAACAGTAGGCGTCGTTGTCGGATCGTGGCTTCAACGCTCTGGCATTCGAACCTCTTCAGCGTCTGGGCGTAAGAGAGCTGCCGGTAGGTGCCTTTCTTGCGCTTGTACCCGATAACTCGAAGGAGCAGTCGGTGGTGTGTCGACCGCAGCGTCTGATAGTGGCCGCTGAGTGGTGACCATGTCATGCAGCCGCACAGCAGTGCCTCCATCGTCTCCGCCTGGAGCAGGTGAATCTTGAGTCGGAATGGCGCTTTCGGTCTGTCGAAGAGCTCCCGGCCATATCGCCTGAGGCACGCCCATGCTCCTCTGCTCCTGTAGTTGATCTCCCGGGTGAGGTCGCCATGTTCGTTGACGAGGCCACCGAGGTACCGGAACTCGGTCGTCTGGGCGTAATTCTGTCCCGCTGCTTCGATGGTCAGCGGTGGAGGCGGGGGGGGCTGTGATGTTGTATTTTAGTCGGCTTGTCCTTCGCGCGCATCAGGAGCGTCTCCGTAGGATCCACTGAACAAAGTTGAACTCAGGGATCATCTCGCCCCTCTCTCTTTGGCATGCTTGTCTTGATTGTTGATGAATCTTGGTTGCTTCTTGAATGCGATATGGGGTTCCCACGTACATAAACGACAGGTGCAGTTGCTGACGACATGAATGTAAATAATCTTGTTGCTCTAACAGCTACCGCTGCCTGTTGAGGTGTCGGCTGAAAAGTTAACTGTACTATCGCAAGATCCGCTTCTGCCTATGCTTCTGCTTCTGAAACCCCTCCTATTGCCTTGACTACCCCGGCGCTCATGATAGAGTTGGCGCACACTCCATCGTAGATAGTAGCAACGACGATACCCACAAGCTCGACACCTTGCAGGTATTGACCCGCTGCAGGCATCCAACCCGACGTCGTTAGGCGTCATGAACGCCGCAAGTCCGTGGAGGCTGGGCAGAATTGAAGAGACATTGGTCGCCTAGATCCAGCTCAGCGACTACGTCGGTGCTATCCTCGCTAACTGGCGGTTGCTCAACTGGCGACCGTTTGATCGGGCCTTCAGTCACCCTGTATACCAATGGAACAGCTTGGCGTCGAGGGAGCTGATCGTCCCGCACATGACGAGCTGTATTAGCACTGCGGCTCTCCGAAGTCTGCGTCAAGCAGCTCGCTGAGGTATCAATAGGGCGTGACAGAGGCGGACAGGCAAATCGATTGAGCGACAACGTGGAGGACCTCGCTCTCAGGTTTGACCGGGAATGCCAGAGACGGACGGACTCCATGACGTCACCATACCTAAGAACGAAACGAAAAAGAAGAGTAGTATAGTACCCCAACCAAGGAGCAAGAACTGCTTCCGGCGGAAAACATTGGCAAAAGTAGTACATGTATGGATGGTGTGGTGAGCGAACGGCATGAGGATGGGAACAGACATTCCGAAATACAGCGGTAGTGCCACAATCGTCCAATAAGACGTGTTTGTTTTACCACACATTTCGTGGAGCGTTCCCGTGCAATCACTCGACTATTCAACAGCCTGAAATCCAAACCATTCTCAGAGAAAATATTGACGGCTCAAACTTGCTTTCAAAACCCCGGCCAGTTATACAGCACGGAAGTTATCAACAGGCAACTTATGGCTCTCGCCCGCTTGTGCGGTTGCTGAGCAACGACGTTCACAAAGCAAAGTTGTCGAAGACAGTGGCTCGAGAACCGTTCTGAAAATTTCTCTTCACATTGCAAATCTCTCTGTAATCTTCCAGCAGCTCTCGACCCCTTCTTCAACAACCCCGCCAGCACTGCAGTATCCAGAGGTGGAACACAACAACACTCATGGTTAATTCTTGTGACTCTCACCTGCAGTCTCAACAATTCCGCCCGGTTGCTAAGCGCTGCAGCATAGCTGGGGTGTTCTCTGCCTACGGTTGTACCCAGAATATCCAGGACCCGCAACATCAAGGAGTCCGCCTCTTCGTACTCGCCCTGGAATGTATGGTGTGTATGTGATCAATCAAGACAAGTAGGTAAGCAGATCAAACTGGCGACGAACAAATGCTCGATACCCCGGCCTCGTTGTTGAGTTGTTAAGCGACTGGACCACATCGGGGTGATCGGGACCCAGGAAATTCTCTCGTACAGCCCGCTCCCGTTCAAAGAGTGGTTCAGTCTCAGTGTCTTGCCCTGGCGTGCAGGGACATAACGGTGGACAGCGTGTCAGGGTGGGGTGCGAATGAGGCCGGATCGAGGGCTGCGGAGGAACTTTGCCCAACGACCTCAGCCTTGAGTTGAGCGTCACGGTCACATGCCGATACTCGGGGCCGACAACCTGTTCGTATATCGGCTAAAAAACCAATAGATGGCTCAGCCTCGGCATACTTGCCCTGGCATGCAGCCGAAGATAGGGTGGCACAGTACCATGCATAGGTCTGCCAAGGTGGGGTCTACAACGGCGGAGAAAACATTTCTCAACCACACCCGCTCGATTGTCGACCGCGTGGGCCTCATCCGGGTGCTCGAGGCCCAGTACTCTGGGAAACCTCTGAAGGCTTTGACTTACCTCCTTAAACAACCCGGCCGGTTGCAGAGCACGGAAGATTTCAAAAAAGCATCAAACACCTTTCTTGAAAATTTCGATCCCTTTCACTTACTTGTGCGATAGGTGAGCATTGACACCCACAGTGCGAAAACGGTCTCCCAAGTCCCCCGCAGAACCGTCTTGGAACACTACCGCCTTTCACACATAAATAAATTTTCCAGCAGCTACCACCGGCTGCCTTGCTTCGATTTCCCCACCAGCATTACAGCGTCCAGAGGCCAAACGCACGAAACGTGCTCGAACGGCTCGTGGCTCTCACCTGCAGCTTCAACAACCCCACCCGGCTGTTAAGCGCTGTAGCATAGGTGGGGTGTTCTCTGCCTACTTTTGCATCTAGAATTTCCAGGACCCGCAGTAACAGGGAGGCTGCTTCTTCGTACTTGCCCTGGAATACGTGGGCAAAACACCCATCCCATCGGATGGATCCAAATTTGGAAAATGGAAAAACGGTTTTCAGTTGGGCGAGCAGCTTAAAGCATCCAGCGAGACGGTCGTGGTGGCAACGCATCCGGTTTACCCGAACCTGTTCGCGCTCGGCGCAGTTATGGAGTACATCAGGACCACTTTAAGGTAGTTCTACGTAGGAACCTAGGACCGGCGCAACGGGGCAAGGTCTGCCTCTTTGAGCGGCCCGTATAACGGCCACCTCCCAAAGGCATTTCCGGATAGGGGACGTGCTGGTCCTTTCATGATGGATTATTTTTGCCTAGGAGGCCTAGGAGGCCCGCATATATCTCGCCGGGACGGGGTTGGATGAAATCATGAAGCTCTCAGCGGTTGGAAGATGCAGCCGTGGGGAGCAAAACATTCAATATGGCGTCACCACCACATAGTGCACAGGTGCACGGTAGCAAGAAGCACCGCGGGCAGAGCTACGCCGATGCTAGCGAGCTGCTTTTGCCAAGCACGACCTTGTCGCTTGTGCGGGTCAACAGCGACAACATAATATTGCCCTGCCTTAAGGTGTCGAAACGGTTGGGGCGAGACCACGACGGCCCGCGTCAAATAAGGCAACGGAGTACGGGGGGGGGCACGCTGGTGAGAAGCCCGCACCCTACCCAATTGGTGCAGGAGGCCACACCCAACCCAATACTAACACTGAGTGATGCTCGGCGAGGAGTCAAAATGCAATCGAGAATAAACGTGGTACGAGTTTGAGACAAGAAATTCCATCTGCGCAGGAACAAACGTTCAACAACCCCGCCCGGCCAGTACGCGAAAGCGCCACACTGTTGGGTGGTCCAGGCTCGGACCATTCTCTCGAATGACTGTGATCACTCAAAGTGGCTCGGCCTCAGCGTACTTGTCTCGTGGAAAAGTAGTGCGAGTTTGTTGAGGCAGCGCTCCGAAACTAACAACACTTCTCCAGGAAATTCCTAGGGCTCTCTCTTCTCACCTGACGCTTGAACAACCCCGCCCGGTTATTTAACGCTTTGGCGACATTAAGGTGTTCACAACCCAAAGCCTTCTCGTAGATCGCTTGGCATCGCTCAAAAAGTGGCTCAGCCTCAGCGTGCCCTGTGCATAAAAGTATGACGTCGTCGGTCAGCCAGCTGTCTACGAGAAGAAGAAGAAAAAAAGAGAAACATCGACAGCACGAAATTCCTCAGAAACATTCCTTGAGCTCTCATTAAACTCTCTCCTACACCACTGCAACACCCGGTCGCTAAGCAATCGAGCGACATTGGGGTTTTCCGAACCCTGTGCCTTCCACCTCGAAGTGCCCGTGACTGTTTAATTTATCACTGGCGGCCTCAGCAAACTCAAACAAGTGCTACGAGCGGTCACGCGGTTGCCCACTGAGAACAAAATCTAATCACCGTCAAATGTAGACCCTTCAAAATTTCGTTTAGCTATACCAGACCCTAAAAAAACAACGGGCCGACACGAAAAAAGAGCAGAGCAAGCACAGCAAACATTTCCTGGAAAACTTGACAGCTCTCACCTGTCCAAGCAGCAACCCCGCCCGGTTGTTGAGTGTTGTGGCCAAACTTGGGTGATCAGGGCCTAAAACCTTCTCCTGTATCGCCTGGCACCGCTCAAAGAGTGGCTCGGCCTCAGCGTTACCCTGGAAATGATGGGAGAGGTGGGAGAAGAGTCAAGCGCAAGGTGAAAGCTGTTGCGGAGGAACACATTCTCAACAAGCACGCGCCCGGGTGTTGAGGACGGTTGTCACAGTAGAATTGGCAGGACCGAGAGACCCCTCCCATATCTCCGTCGTCCGCTCCTACAAAACAAAATATCTTCCTCTGCGTACTTACCATGTACAGGAAGCAGTGGCGCATTTGTCACGAAGCGGTCTACAGTACCAGGATTTTGGAAGGGTTCACTGAGAAACGCGGACGCGACGAAATCTCCGAGAAGCTTATCACGGCGTTCACCTGTTGCTTCAACAAACCCGCCCGGTTGTTGAGCGCTGTTGCCACATGCGCATGCTCAGAACCGAACGCTTTCTCGAATATCGCCTGGCACTGTTCAAAGAGTGGCTCTGCCTCCGCACACTTGCCCTGGAGTGAAGTAATCAAGAGTTTGCCAGAGTCAGATACGATGTAGTCAAACTCGAGAGTATAACTGCAGGGTATTATTTTCCCTCCACAACCTCAGTTGTTGGGTGCCGCGGCGGCACCGCTGCAAACATATGAAGGCTCGGCTTCGACGTGCATGCCCTGGATCGCCAGGAAACAGCGCCACAGTGTTGTGGTCAACGCTTGTGTGGCGAATAGAAGTTAGTGAGCATCAGCGTCCTTGACATGGATTTACTCGTTTACTCCAAGACAACTGCGATCGCTTCTCGACGCGCACCGTGAGAACGTTTGAAGAAAACGAAATTTCGTAACAAAATCTGGAACAATCCTCGTTCGTGCACAAGATGTATCCTATGGTTAGGTGCATCCTTGTCACTACTGCATGTAGTTGCAACCTTAACGGAAGACAATCAGGCGTTTCCTGGGGGGTTCGCTTACTTTTCATCCAGACTTCCCATGCAACAATATTCCTGCAAACCCCGTTTGGTTTTCACCTGCAGTCGCAACAACCCCGCCCGGTTGTTGAGCGCTGAAGCATATTTGGGGTGCTCTCTGCCGACTGTTGCACCCAGAATTTCCAGGACCCGCAACAACAAGGGGTCTGGGTCTTCGTACTTGCCCTGGAATTTGGGGGGAAAACGCGGCAGGATTGTGATCAAGGCCATCAGACAAGCAGGCAGAGCCACATGCGGAGGAAAAACGCTCCACAACCCCGCCCGGTTTTTCAGCAATTGGGCCACATCGGGGTGGTCTGGACCCAGGACCTTCTCTGGAATAGGCCCCTGATTGTTCACAGAGTGGCGCAGCTTCGGTGTCTTGCCCTGGCATACAGTGGGCACGGTAGACAGCGCTCCAGAGTGGGGTGCCAATCAGGCCGGATCTAGAGCTGCGGAGGAACATTGCTCAACACCCACCGCATTGTGTTGAGCGTCACGGCCACATGCCGGCAAACCGCGTTTCAGAAGTTGATCAGCCTAGGTATCCTTGCCCTGTCATGCAGTCAAAGACAGTTTGCCAGAGTTTCATCCATAGTTTGGTCAAGGTAGGATGTACAACTGTGGAGAACCATTTTCTCTTCCGCGCGGGTTCGTTGGGTGCGAGCCTGGGTCACATTCGGGTGCTCCAGGCCCAACACGTTTCCTATTATGACTTGTGGCTGAACAGTGGTTCGGTCTTGGCATAGTTGCCATGAAATGTGAGGACGAAAACGGTACAGAGCCGGATTCAATTCGATTGAGATCTAGCTAGCATTCCGGAGGAAAACCCGGAGGAAAAACAAATGTCTTCGAGAAGAATCTCCAATAGAACCATCGTTTGGTGCTCACTCACCTGGCTCTCCAACAACCTCGCCCGGTTGTTGAGTGTTGTTGCCACCGCATCGTGATCAGGGCCAAGCGATTTATCGCGGATGGCGAGGGAACGCTCATACAGAGGTCTGGCGTCGTTGTACTTACCCTGGAGTTCCATGCAAAAGCGAAAAAGAAATGTTGTCAGGCCTCGACATGTGGAGGAACCACTCAACCCCGACAGGGTTGTTGAGCTCTTCAGCCACATGGGGTGCTCCGGACCCGGCACCTTCCGAACGTGGCTCGGCCTGGTCCTATTAACCCTGAGCAAAACAAATGGGTTCGGGTAGCAAACGTTCTGCCAAAATTCACCACCCTTCAAGACGCAGTTTGGACCGAAGGACCCATACGGGAAAATACCTGAGCTCTCAACAACCTGGTTCGTTTGTTGAGCATCAACCATCATCCACAAGAATCTTCTCAACGTCTTGACGGTTCTCACCTGCACTCTCAACAACACGGCCCGGCTGTTGAGCGTTGTGGCCAAGCTGGGGTGCTCAGGACCAAGAGCCGTCTCCTTGATCGCCTGACACCGCTCATACAGTTGCTCGGCCTCTGCGTACTTGCCCTGGGAATGTGAGGGAAAGACGGATTAACGGTCAGTGTAAGTTAGATTCATCGCGGGGGGGTTGCTAAACAACCACGACCAGGTTTGAGCGCTGTTGCCCCCGCAGGGTGATCAGGTCCCAAACCTTTCTCGTAAATGGCAAGGGACTAGCCATTCAATGATTCGGTTCAACTTTTTCGTATTCTGCCGTGGAATACGGCAAACGAGTGCAAACGGAATGTGGCGAAGAAAATATCCGCGGAATACCAAACTCTCAACAACACTGCAAGATCTACGTAGGTACGTCGTTTTCACGGTTGAAACGGTTTGTAGAGGGGGAGGGATGTGGGTGGAACCAACGAACATCGTGTCTCGTATGATGTATTCAAGTGTTTCCCTGTAGTCGACGGGCGCCCTCGAAATCCGAACGGTTCCACGTCACGAGCCCCCCCCCCGGTTGAAAATTGAATATGATGCAAACCTAACCGCGAGACATGGCCCGGTCAAGTTTGTTGTAGAATTAAAAATCTCGAACATGGTTGTAAACCCATACACACGGAGACACCATGGCAGTTTACACCCTGCGGTATCGCTGGTGGACAGGATGCGGCCAATTGTACCACCTAGACTACTGGTTATAGTGCCAAAGGGGTATAGCATCATCGCCACCCGTGGTCACCATCTGGAGCCCGTTGCCAAGACCTACTCGAGCCCACTGCGATTAAAAAAACGAGTACTGGCGCCGTAGCCAGCGCCAACCTAAAGTATTCTCAAGAGGACCGATAGGTTTTGGCTTGGTTCGTGACTTCGTCCAGGATATCTCTCTGCCATCTTGGTGAAAACAACAACAATCGTCGTCAGCACCACCCTGGTGATCTTCAGTAAAAGCTAACGACCCATCATCGGCTGGGGCATTAGTTGGGGCTTTGGTGATCCCGAGTCCCGTACAACGGTCAGAGCACTATCAAGGCGCGAAGGTCGAAAAGGTGCTGGATTGCAACAACCTCGGGTATGCGAAAGGTACGTACTACGCACAGAGATTGCGTTGCTGGTCGGTCCAGCGAGACGACCGTCACCTCGTCCTTGCCTCGACAAACGCCATCGGCTCCCCTGCAGAAAACGACACCTCCGTCACCCCACTCCTACAGAAAAGCATCGAAAACTCTGTTGCCGTTGCTGGATCGAGTACATCACCAGGGAGCACCTTGAAATCCCCGAAGGCGACCTTGGCTTGCTACGTGTAGTCTATGCCTTGTAGAAGTACTGTGCAATATGTAGTCTTGTTACGACGAACCCGCAGAGCTCGGTCTTGCGGAACGTGCGAGGTTGAGAATGAGCGCTCGTGTGGTGGCTCGTATGAAATCAATCATTCGTCGTGCCCACGAGTTTGCTAGCTGGGAGGTTGTGTCTCCCCTTAGACAATAGCCATATAGGCTAGATAAATGCAGTGTCGACAACAGAGTCAACAATGTCTACAAAACCGTCGAATATGTGTTACTTCAGTTACGTCCAAGGCATGATGGCACCGTGCATCCGTGTGTTGCTGTCAAGCTCTGTGCAGGGGAGAGGGGAGTGCTGCTGCTACGTTATTGTGTGGCAATCTCACTACCGCACATAGTCGTCTAGACTAACCCAATGTCATCCGGTTTTGTGCTCATCAAAACCAAACGTAACCATGCGCTGTGGACGTCGTCGTCGTTGTTGCACCAGAGGATGGACTTTTGTTGCTGCCCGAAACCATTCCTTCCCCGCTCGACAATTTCCAGCTCCTTGATCCTGCAATATGAGTGAATTCTCTTCGGCGGCCTGCAGCAACCAACACATGAACCGCGTCTTGAATTCTTCGACAATACATGAGGTTTCCTTCATGTACTACCCGCGCACTCCTTGCCCATTTTTGATGGATACGTCGAACGTGTTCAGTATGCAGTTTCGCGCCCCCCCACCCCGCGCCCACCTTCCTCTACTTCTGGGATTCGATTCTTTTCTCGTACATAAGTGCAGCCCAGTAGACCCAGCGTCTGACACTTTCGGACAGACTGATCAAATAGCAATTGCCATCACTGTTGATCCATATTGCAATATCACTATTGGTCAAACGTTCATGAAATGTCATCAAAATGCCATCACGTAGTGACAGGTACACGCATCAATAGTTGGACATGAGGAAGAAAATTGATATTTATTGTGTCTACACTACTAGTGGGTGTGCGCGTCTCCCCTCCCTCATATTTTTCCCTCAGGGGCTTGGAGCCAGTCTGTATTACCGACATGAATATGAATGACATCATCATATTTCTCTCACCGTTCTGAGGGTCACGGAGTTGTGTAACGTGTAACAGCACTCAGCAAGTGTTGACCCGCATTCATCAAGCTCGCTTGTTTTTCACGAGCGCCTATAGGTAAGCTCTCCAAAGCGGTTCAGCCCGACACGCTACCGCTGCAAGCTTGTCACCAAAACATTCCTGGTTGTACTTTCACGAACACGTGACGTGGCGTCAAAATTATGCTTGAGTTGACTAAACTTCGAACCCTTTAATATATCAGTTGAGTGCTTCGAACCCAACATACCATTTAGGTGCTCACTGTATTAACGTCTTCGGCATATCATGCACGTCAAGAGCAGAACGCGCACCAAACACAACGCCGGGCCCCACGGGGTGTGTTCCGAGATCGGTCAACCACAACCACACAAAAATTTCGGCGGACCGTCAAGACTTCCATCGACGAGAAGAGTAGGCCATATAATTTTGTTGCACAATTCACAACTGAAACTGGACTTGTGTCGCCGAACCCCCCAGGTGTCCCGTTTGCTTTCGTTCGCCCAAATTCATTCCCTACATGCCCCGCTCAAACGGAAATGTGGCGGATGCCTCTATCGCTTCCCTCTCGGCTATGTTGCCACAAATCTGTTGCGGGAATGATGGACACAGGTTGGAGTGATGTCCTACCGAAAAGTGGACCCCATGCCCCCGCCGATCCATCGCCCCACCTCTTACGACATTCGGGCCTGTCTCGTCTGATCATACCAGTCAGATTCATGCTCTTTCAACACCCACTGCACTGCCGCGTCGCCGTCACGCCTCTGCACCTGGACCATTTTCTGCTAAAAAAATACAAACACCGACGCGCTAGGAGGGGCGCGGCGCTCTCTGTGGGCCTTCTTGGTCGCCTTGGCAATCTCAAGGCGAGCAGTGTCTTCCACCCCGTGGACGAACTCCCGCAGAGAGGAATACCTTTGCCCTTCTGCTGTCTCTTATGCATGGGTGAAACATTGCGGTGACCGGGGCGACAGAAAACGGCGACAGCCGACTAGAAAGCCTGGTCACCGTAGTCTCCGCACGAGGCGCCAGGAAACCAGAGTCAGTGGTCTTGGCCGATCAGCGTGGGGCCCTCCGGGTCAATTCCTGACACTCTTGTGCGCTAATGCTGTACATTTTTCTGTCACCACTCCCCCCCCCCAAATCGTTCTGCCTTTTGCTGATTTCCAAAACCCTACATGCCCCGCGAGAGTATGGCGGATGCTTTCATTGATTGCTACGCTCTCGGCTGTGTTGATTTGTTGTGTGGATGATGACGCAAGTCACACGGTGCATGACGGTGAGATACTGTAAAAAAATTGCGCCCGATGCCCCCGCGATCCATCGCCCTACCTTTACGACACTGGGGCTGATCTCGTCTGATCGTACCACGCAGACTCATGTTCCTTCAACACCCACTGCGCTGCCGCGTCGCCGTCACGCCTCTGCACCTGGACCATTTTCTGCTCGAAAAACACGAACTCCGATGAGCTAGGAGGGGCGCGGCGCTCTCTGTGGGCCTTCTTCGTCGCCTTGGCAATCTCATGGCGAGCAGTGTCTTCCACCCCGTGGATGAACACACGCAGAGAGGCATACGCCCCTCCGTCCAGCTGAGTTGGGGTTGAAAATTGGGGGGATGGGGGTTGGTCCGGCGGGGTACAGTAGAAGGAAGAGCGGAAAACCTCATCGGTTATCAACGAAGCTACAGGCAGCCACTCGGACTTTTCGCAGCAGATGTGGGCAGATGGCAACAGAAGTGCAGAATACTATTTGCACAGTTTATGGGTCGGCTATCAAACGTCAGTCGTTGCCACACACCTGGGTTTCCGCGGCTGCATCTACGCCACCATCGTCGAGAGTTTGCCCTGCTAGCTGAGCCTTCAGCATACTCTCCATGCTCCCCAATGCCGCCGAAAACGTTTCTTCTGCAAGAGCACCGGCCCCCGACAGAGGTGCTGCAGCTATCGCGGCCAACGTGGCGCATACCACCTGCAGCACAAACGTCGCCACGCTCACCGACATGCGGAACCAAGTACGGGGGTGCTGGATATCGTAGCCCTGGCCGTTGGGCCCACACGGCACAAGTCGATGTGTTGCCGCACATACCAGAAACAGCCGCATTTTCTTCTTGAAGACCCCCTTTCCCTGCTTGAAGTCGTCCTCTCGCCACTGGCCCAGTCGTTTGACCCAACGCTCCGGTGCTTGCTCCTTGGCGGACAAGCCATGACCTTGCGCGAAGTTCCACGGGGGAAGGACGCATGCCCTGCGAGGTGTTTCGAACCCATCGCGTCTCATCGCCATCATCATCACCACGAGGAAGTCGAGCCTACCCATCACCCCATCGTCTGCATCGATCATGTCCACCAAGCGCGTGTCTACGGCTCCAATCTGCTCTCGTACATCCTGATGTTGTCGTCCCACTTGCTGCTGGAGGTCGGTAACTAACCGCTCAAGCCTCGCCATCTCGTCTGAAGCAACGCTAGCTGTGCTCGCAACAGCCTCCCCGTCGCTCGGTCCTCTGGCGCCGCGAAGTATGCCGCTTATATCTTCTTTGACGCCCTCCCACCACGCGTCGGATAGACGATGGGCTAGTTCAGGATGAAGGGCTCGCGTTGCCTGCTGAAATTATTATTTACGAAGGCAACCTCGACATCATGCTACGCTCAAGGCGTGAGGTTTCATCGGCACCTGAGGTACGAACGCCAAGCTGGTCTGGAGTTGAATGCGGTTCGAGCTTCCGACACCAAGGACAGGGAATCAGCGCCAAGCAACTCTGTGGAGAACAACTCAAAACTCGCAAAAAGACGCGGAACAACAGCATGTGGGTTGGACATACGTCGATGTGGAACACCACCGTACAACTTGTTCGGGCGATCATACCGCCATACCAAAAAAGGGAAGAGCATGCACGCCAAGGCCACGATCAAAGGCCATACAAGGGAGGAGCAAACACATTCCCCAAACACCACACGAGGGATAAAAGAGTACGTACTCAAGAGCTTTCAAGCCAGGGCTTCCCCATCACATACATCAGATACGTCATCAAGCAATTTCGCGGATCCCTGCTTACCCAGGAGGCTTTCAACTTCAATGGCATGCGACTAGGCCGGTGCGCACAAATCGAGACGTATTGAGGTGTGTGAAAATCGAATGGTCAAATCTCACCCCTAGACAAAGGACAGGGTACCGGCCCTGAGCTTTAACCAACCTCCTGTTCACCGCCCGGACGAGGTCGCCTGCCGCACGGGGAAATAGTAAACAATAGCCACGCACGCCAGAAGAATTGCAAATACACGGTGGCATGGCATACAACGCAGACGCTTTTCTCGGGGAATATTAATAGCGCTAGGACTGCACAGGTTAACACGACATATGAATATAGGGGTACGTAGGAAAATACGCCAGCTTGTTTGGAAAATTCACCGCTTCCGGCAAACGAAGAGGGTCGTCAAAGACTCGTCAACGTCAACCGTTGGGGCTATGCGATAGCGAACACTCAATGGTATTTTTTAGGGATCCAACGACATGTTGTGAACTGCTTCCGTTAGTGCCGGGTTGCGGGGGGCGCAGTCACTTTACACTGTACAACGAAAACGGCACCACTGTCCACCTTCGCGCCCACCTCTGCTCCGACGTATGTCGACCATCTCGAGGAGGTCTATGGCGGCCGCCCCAAGCCCTCCTGTCTCAGAGTCGCAAAGGTTGCAAGTCGCACCATGCAATAGCTTGTCGCCACGCCGGGTGGCCTATGGAATGATGAGGCGTACGACACAATAGTTGGCCATTCCGTCGAGTTTGGGACGGAGTTCAGCGGACAGTGAGGGCTTCACAACGCGTGCGAACAGCGTGTTGACCGCCACAGGAAAACCAAAGCCCCGGCAAAAGGGCGCGCGTACTGCTGCCGGTATGCATGCTGTAGCCGTCGAAGACTGTCAAACTCACCGTCCTGCTGATCTGCATATCTTGCTCATGCTGAGGGCATTTGAGGGAGGCGCGCCATCGCAGCCCAGGAAATTCGGAGCACATCGCCTGAAACACCGAGATGCCATAGGAGAGTGCCGCCCAGGGAGCTGCGGTCCTGATGCTGCCGTACACCTCCATGTCGACCTCACACGTGTCGTGCGAATATTCTATCAGCAACGCGAAAGTCTTTGCGGCCATGCCCCCACCTAGGCTGCCTTGCACCAGCACGCCAAAGCGCCAAAACGTTCGGAGGGTGCCTAATCTGCAGCATCGCGTGAGCATCTTTTCGATGGCCCCAGGGGGCACGCCAAGAAAAATCTTCCACTTCACGCTGAGCACGGCTGTGTGGTCGCGGCGGAAGTCGTCCAGCTCCTTGCCTACATCTTCGGGGCGTTTTTCATCGAGTCTGAGAAGAACAACAAGCCCCTCGGCGGGATCATCGTCTAGTGGGTATGTGAGTCCCAGCGAATCAAGCGTGGGGAGGACGTAGTTGCTAAGACCATCAGGCCACAACACTCCGGCAAGCTCCGGTTCAAGGACACCGTGTCCTTTCAGTCTATTCCAAGACGCGATGTGCTTGTCCTCCTTCAGCGTGATGCCTGTGTCGCCCAGGGACACATCGCCACGAAGTGGATCCTCGTCATCCCTGTGGTTCAGGAGTGGCTTCAGGATTTGGGCCAGCCACGTTACGTCAAGAAAGACGTAAGTCTCGTGCCGGACCAAAGAACCTTCGTGCTCTCTGCGGACACCGAAGTATCGCGGCAAATAAGAATCGAACGGGATGTATTGAAGGGTAGCGAAAAGAGGCATAAAAAAACGGATGTTAGCACATGCGCAGCCCCCGCAGCACCTAAAACAGACAAGAAGCAGAGCGCCAAATAGTGCTGACAAACGGAGAGGGGAAATAATCGTTTCTGGTAAATGTCCAAACCAATCCCGGAGCACTGCAATGTGTTCGATTCACGCAATGTCCTATCGGTCACATGCTCTCCGAACCAGTACATCACAATCTTCTCCTGCGGGACTTAAGGGCCGCTTGGAGGGCGGTATTCCATCCTTGGTGCCGACGTGGGCCTATTCTCCCTTTTTTCCGAAACAGGTCGTTTTCTGTTGGTAGTTTCTACTGTGTTGTGAGCCGTTGGGCCAATGCGTCGGCTGAAATTGTGTTTTCTTCTTATTGCTTGCATTCCTCCGACCAGGCGACATTTGACGTCGTTCAGTATACCTGATAAGGAGTGCGCCTTCCAAAGCGTGGTCAGGGTTGACGATTGATACTCCGTCTTCCTCAAGGGCTGCGACCACGTCATTCCATTTCGTCGAAAGGTCTGCCCGGGTTAGACCTCCTACGCCCTGGTTGCGCTGGTAGACTGCGGGGACGACCTCTGCGGCGCCTTTCGGTCCACCCGATGCGAGAACCATCTGTTGAGCCGATTCTACGGGGTCCCTGGAAATGTCGCCAAGAGAAGCTCGGTTGACACGGACTTCATGACAATGGTGCACACAAGACCAAGCGATAGGCATAAATAGCGCTGTGCTAGGTTACGACATGAGGTAGAGGTCAATGGGATACCGAAGTGACTCGAAACATAAACAACCTGTGAGCTCAGCGTTGAACTTGCCTGCCGCTCCCGAGAGCATCAAGCACCCCAAGACCGATATTCCAGCTGCGAGGGAGCACGAGAGATGCACCTCGAAGTTCACCCTTGTTGTTGTACATGACCCGGTGAAGCAAACTCGGCTGAGACTCGACGCACATTCCGTCGCTCCAGTCGCAGGCCCACGTTGATTGCTCCTCCGGACTCTCCCTCGTCCCCAACGCTGCGCCTCCATCCTCGTTAGGGGTTGACGCGAAGCAGCTCGTAAGGTTCACGCCATCCTCAACACGGACAGCGGTCATTTGAGCATCCGACCAACTCTCTATCCAATTCCCAGCACCGCCCGCCATTCTCGCTGCCGCATCAGCGGCCATTCCGGCTGCGAGATCACATTTGGTTGCGACCATGACGACGTCGCTATCGGGAATGCGAAACGATAACGAGCGCAACCAGTCGCACACACGCAGTTCTTGGAGCTTGTTCAAGTCCTTCTTCAGCTGGTCGCTGTCGGTCAAACTACCGTCCCGCTGCCCGAACGCACCGGTGTCGCATACGAGGAGACTCACGGCTCGAGGCGAGAGGAACATCTGCAGCAGCCCGGTGTAGGCGACCTGGTGGGAAGGAAAGTGAATGTGTCGTTCGGATTGCAGAGGCTCGCAAAAACAAGTCAAAGGGGTTGCACACCAGTGGAGGCCGAGTAAGTCTATTGTTTCCTTGTTGTCGACGGAAAAGGTGTCCAAATGTGTTTGTGGTACTAAGTGGGGGTTATTCGTTGGTTCCTGTTGTGTGTTCCGGCGGAAACGCGCCGCCGGCGCCGCCATACGCGACATGCTAAAAATTGAGCACATGAGAGAACAGCCGCAAGACGTTCACCTGTCCTGCGCAATCGTACACTCGAAGGGTGACGCCGTTGACGTCCATCTGCTCGACGTCGATCTGTACCGTGCTTTCCTCGGGTCCACTGGTAGGGGTAGGTCGCCCAGTCCTCAAGCTCTGGCGCAAGCTGCCCGAAACCAAGCACATAAGTTGTGGGTGGGAATGTAGTTACAAACACAAAGAAACGTGACCACAAAATATTTTCAGGAGAAAAACTGAAAACTTTAAGTATTAGATCCAGGGATGCATGTATCCAAAACATTTCTACCTATCCTGCAGCAAACCTCATCAAACCAGGTGGGGACGTGGAAATGGCGTGAACGGGTGCCTGAACAAGTTAAAGGATATGAGGGCGTCACATCAGGCATGTGCTATGGGTTGGACACACATGACTTTGCTGTGCCAATCGAAAGATAGCGCACCTATCGCCAGTACCACCAGCATCATCAAAGACGAATAGCGACACCTCACTTACCTAGTTTTCCCGGCACCCTCTTGTCCGACAAGAATGACCTTGATCATTTTTCGCCCGACAGGAGCGATGCCTTCTGCAAACAGATCGGTGAAGTACTCTCTCACTGCTGGTATCCCCTTGCTCACCACCGCTTCTGGCGGTTCTTGCCACGGGTTTGTGTGGACATGTAGCCCCAGCTGTGATAGCGTCGCCAGCAGTGCTTCCAGTTGTTTCGGTAGAGAGCTACCAGCTGAGGCGCACGGGCACGTATGACGCGGGAGAAATGGTGCTTTGGCAAATAGGTACGTATGACGCGGGAGAAATGGTGCTTTGGCAAATAGGTACAGTAGATCGAAGCAATCCGGCGAACTTCACTCGGACACGGCCACGTAACTGCTTTTCCCGGCTACGATACAAGTCATGTCGCCGCACGGCTGTGGTGTTGGCCCCTTGCGCGCGATGGGACCCTAGATCTATCCTCATCAACGCATTTAGCACGGGCGTGGAGCCGTCCATCGAACATGACGCGAAACTTATGAATAGAGTGGGTGCAGCAGACACGGGATATATTCGGCTACATATGCGTATGGACATTGAAAGTTATTGGCAGCGGATAAGGAAAGCGTCAACGTTCATACCCGAACCAAAAAACGTGCACGTCACATCCTCGCCTCCCAGTTCAGCACCGATGCTGGTTTTCGACTCGGAAGCCAAATCGTTCTGTTCAGCTGACTGGTGTTGGCAGGACAGTGCCGTTTTCGCTTTCCATAAAAAAAGCGGTTACCGCGGATAGCCTAGAGCCCCATGAAATAAGTGACTGATGTGAGCGTTCGGTGCATGCGCGAACGACTCCAGTCCTTGACGTCCTGAACGTTCACACCATTTCGATTAGAAATATACAGAAACACGTCAGATCTGAAGAATGTACGGCCAATATCAACCTCCTCCCCGTATTGTCCTGACGTACCTAAGTTCCCTTGCAGCAGCTCTTCGTCGGGTGAAACGTCTGTGCTGTGGTCCCAGAAAGCTGGATAGCACGAACAACAAGAGGGGAAACGTGATCGTCAGATGTGCAGGCAGTCGCGGTAGCGGAACTTGATATTGTTCAATGACGGATCTATGAAATTCGGCCGACGGCCGAGACGACGTGGACCCATACCATTCGTTGAATGGGGTAAGAGATCGCCGCGGCTAAGCTAGACCCTCTCTGGAACAAAACAATGGCGAATTAGAAAGAGTGGTCGTAGACAAAATAGCGCCCCATATTTCTGTGGGCCGGACGTCTACATACCGCATCGCTTACAACCGAAACCACCAAAGGGCGGCGAGAGATTGACACCAAAATGGCATTAGGCTTGGTTCGACTTGCTCATAGATAGTCGCCGTCAAACACACGCTCCCCACACTCAACAGTTGCAAAAAAAACGATGTGCATGAATTTAGATGCCCACGTTTGTCTAATTGTCCTACCCCAGATCGTGCGATCCGCAGATATCGAGCTGTTCCCGTCTGACTTGTCGGTAGGGCTCGGATCTCCGAATACATATCATTGCAAAACAGTTGGGTGACGTTCTGTTGGTATCCTTCCAGGACTGGATTCACTACACGTTTCAGTGGGGATCATGATCGTTTCTGGAGGCCTGCTGTGCCTTTCCACACCCCATCGAATCTACTGGAGTCAAACCCGTTCGTTTCGGTCAGTTTCGCCCAACCTCCAGGCTAACTCTATTTGCCCTACAGTGGTCCCCTATGATTGTTTCTCGTCGTTCTCGAAAGCCGACCGACCAGCATCTGCCGAAAGCACTTTACAGCACGGGGATATCGTATCGCTCCAACCCATTGGTGGTGTTCTGTGTCGTAAACGGGGATAAACATAAGTACGTCATACCCTGTATCATACCAGTATCATTTTTCCTGTGGTCCGTTGGTTCTCTCACCGTCGTGATCCTCCCCAGTGGGTCTGTTGTGAATTTCGACTGGGCAAAAACAAGCGGTCTGTGAAGTGATTCGAAATGGTCCAAAATCGGCGGGTCGCAAGATAAGCGGAGTAAAGCATTGTTTTGCAGAAAATGCGCAATTCCAAAGTGTTCGGGGGACGTTTACAGGCTGCAGTACGCAAGTCACACGAGGGGATACCGCGTACTGGGGTCGAGGTTCGTTTTCAAGCATCCATGTCCGTGGAAGGTTGGAATTGTGCCGGTGATGCAAGGCGTCAAGAACGGAACTGGGCGAGGGGGGGGCAATCTGCGATGCGTTCATAACGAACCCCAAGTTGCCCCAACGGAGGCTATGACCCCGTTCGTCTGCATTCCCACCTCTATTCTGCCGTTTTTAGCGTCAGGCAACACAAGAGTAGGATACCGGCCGATCTGGCTTCCTTCTGGAAGAATTGATATTTAGATAATGTCCGTCGAACGTTCGAGTGAAAACAATATTCTTGCACTCGGCAACACTTGCTCATACAAAAATATCACAGTTATGTCGGTTTAGTTACCTCCAGGCCCACATCCCTCGCAGGCGCTCGGCGGTACTCGGGCCGAGAGTCCATACCTTCCTCGGACAACATCGTCCCACAGTATCTTATCAACTCTTTCGAGTGAAAAGCGTCCCATGTGCATCGTAACCATTCTCTGAATGCGGGGGAATCACGCATCTAGCCCACCCTTCTTCACATCGCTTACCTGTCAGCTGGTTCTCGGAGAGCTTAAGCGTTCTGAGGTTGGTGAGGGCGGCCAGCTCCTTGGGGATGGAACCTGTGCGACCATGGCACCAGCAATGACTTTGACACGTTGCAGACCATAGACAAAAAAAATCACAAAATGTCCGGGGTTACACGCACCCGCAGTCAGCTGATATGTAGAAGTTGCACATTACCTGCGCCCCATCACACCCCTCGACTTTACCGTTATCATTGTTTCCCTTATCTCATTTCGCCGTAAGATATTCTCAAGCAACGGGCCCAAACGGTCTGCATCTACGTAACAAAGGGGCGAAGCACCAGCACCACGCTGGGAATGGTCGTACTGTGCGTTCGAGGAGGGGACTAACCGCGAGAATGTGTGCATTTGTTTTGGGATTCAATGAGGCCATTCGCTTCTCACGGTAGACCGGTAAGACGATAAGTCGACCATGATGCTCCCCAAAGTCGGTAGGGACATTAGTTGCGGTCTGTGAGAAAACTTGAAGAGGTAAAATGGGATCGGGGCTGCGACCCAACGATGGGAAAAGCGCCCACAAACGGCAAAAAGACCTATTCACATATTTCCCAGGGCCCACTGTCTACACACCCCACGTTGCGGAGGTGAAAGGCGGGTGCCGAGTTATACCCTGGTGCGTCGTCCTCTGTTGGTTGTGAGGCGTTGTCGAATCCCACCAGAGTCTTGTGCGTTCGTGCACTACAGGTCGTGGTGTTCCCAGGGCGTCATAACCGAAGGTGGGCTCACGGACGGTGCGTATTCTTTTAGCCCCCATTCCTCTGTTTGTTTACTATTTTCACCCCAGTTTTGCGGTCTGGCGGTGTCGGCCACGATACTGACCGATCTGGCCTTTAACAAGTTGGGAATCCCCTGCCTTGCCCACCTTATGTTCCAACGTGATGTTTAGACCATGACGTCCTTTTCCATCCTTCCTAGGGAATTGATCAGGCTGGTGCTTGGAAACACTCGTTGATGAAAGAAACATGATTAACGTTGCTCCCGCCATACCCAGACCCAACCCCGCAAACGCTCAGCGACTCTCGGACCTTCACGCCTATCTCCCTGAAGGGCACTACCCTGACTATAACCGACTCATCAAAACTTCGGAGTGTAAGCGCCCCGTGTCAATGGCAAGACCTTTTTTGAACTCAAGGGGAAAGCACGGTAGGTGCGTCTAGGCCACGCCTCTTCACGCTCCTCACCAGTTAGCTGGTTGGTGCCGAGGTCAAGACGCTCGAGGTTGGTGAGGGCAGCCAGCTCCTTCGGGATGGTACCTGCGCGACCACGCCAACAGTAAGAGCTTGGACTAGAGCAAAACACACATACCTTGAGTCACACGCGCCCGCTGTTAACTGATTGAATATGCACCACGGGCCGTGTCAAATTGCGCCCTTTCAAGTCTACCCCCCATTATGGTTTCCTGCTGTCCTCACACCGATACAACTACCGGGAAGCGCCCAAATGGTGGGCGTTCATTCAACAACAGTCGCAGCACGACACGATACAGTTTTCTTCAGTCGCTGAGTGAGGTAACAAGGTGTTCTCGGGAGAGGGAATAGCCGGGAGCACGCGTGCATTCCTTTTGGGTTTACATGGGGCCATTCGTTCCTTAGGATAGATCTGTGAAGCGTTCAATCGATCATGATGCTCCTCGGTAAGGTTTGTTGGGATACCATTGACCAGTGATACGATGCTCTCCGTTGGGACATTGTCGGCGGTCCGATCCAACAATGGGAAACTAGCACACAAACGATAAATTAATGAAGAACAATTTACATTTTCCAGGGCGCACACATTGTATGCACACCCAAATGCGTTGGGCAGTGGGAACAAGGTTATCGGGCTATACCCTGGTGCATCGTGCTCTGTTAAGGCATAGGCGATTTCGAATCGCACCAGACTCAAGTGTCCGTTTTGTGTACTACAGCTCATGGTGTTCCCAGGGCATAATATCCGAAACGAACATGGACGGCGCGAAATCGTTATTGCTCCATTGGTCTGGTCCTCACAACTGTCACACAACTTCGCCGTCTGGTACTTGGGGCACAATTCTGGCCGATCTGGGATTGAGGAGTTGGGAAAACACCGCCTTGACCAGTAGTTTTACGTTGAACGTGATGTGAAGACAAGTGCCTCCTTTCCATGTGTCGGAGAGAAGGAGTCACGATTGTCCTTCGCAACAGTCGTTGATGAAAGAAACGTGACAAATTATTCTTCCAACACATCCAGACCAAACTCCGAGGGCCCTCAACACCATTCGAACATCCACCCGTATCACCCTGAACGACACCAACCTCCCTGGTGAGATCCTACTTCGTAGTCGCCTGGGGTGCAACCATCCCGTGTACAAGGGCTTCGCGGCGGCCCGCCCGCCGCTTCGCAAAGGCCCAATGCGATGCCAAGTGGGCGATGTTCGAGGAAAGATGATATGAATAGGAAGACGTTGCCGCTACTGGCAGTCTCCTGAGCGGGCCTTTGCTTCTTGGCAGGGGACTTGTCGAAAAACTTAGACATGGATGCGCTCTCAGACGTAGAGTGCGTAGGTGCAGCGAGTGGAGTGGACGGGTGCTGCGATGCCGCCCGCGGGGATTTTCTGAGAGAAATGTCCCACTTTTCTCCGTTTCTCCGCTGGTCGTGCCCTACTGTTGGAGCTACTCTGCAGTTGTGTTGGGCGCCGCTCATAAATCACCTTGACCCCCTTCTTTTTTTGCCGCTGCGGCCAGCCATTCATCTAGCGAAATAGAGATCGCGAATTGGCGTCAAGACCGCGAAAATCGTATATGCAAGCCACTGGCAAAAAATCCAGAAAATGTCGCCGAACAAATTCCCCGACGAAGCAAACAAAATTGCTATTCACCACTGGGCAGTTTGCTCGACTGCGGTGGCGAATCGATTCAGACTCTGACAGCTGTTGAGTGTACCATGGAGTAAGATCGACAACCATTGCGTTCAGCGTTGTTTGGGACACTTGAGGCTGTGCCTCCAGTACTGGTGTGTGCCTTCCATGAACAAAACGTACACGCCAGACACGCACACCTCACAGCAGCGAATTTGACGCGCGGGCTGCACCGGAGGAACATTTGACCGCAACAGGGATATATATTTCCGCCCGGCGGGGAATTACAGTCGATACGCTCCAAAACACACGGGCAATCTCAGGAAGCACTCCACTCCAAAACCGAAACTCGAATGATGCGACTGAAACACATACATATACCTACCTCTGCAGGACATGTGGGCGGGCGGGACTGTACGTTAGGGCAATCTCAGGAAGCACTCCACTCCAAAACCGAAACTCGAATGATGCGCCTGAAACACCTACCTCTGCAGGACATGTGGGCGGGCGGGACTGTACGTTTTTAAGAATCGCGGCTGTGATTGGGGGGGCGACCGGAGAACTCGTAGACGCGACTTTGCGACCTTGCCACCACGACGCCACGGCCGTACCGATGGCGAGCCGCACACGGGCACGCCCCTCGCGACTCGAGGCTACCGACACGCGCAAGTCCGGCGGCGCAACGAGGTCCACAGGCGGAGAAATCGCAAAAAAACAGCTCTAGGGCGCCGAGAGCGCAGGAAGGCCAAATGGCGGCCTCTCACGGCTCGAGTATGAAGGTCTATAGGTCTACGTTGAAATCACATTCTGGACTTGAAGGGGAAGAGGTGTACGCGTCTTAGCTGACGTCTCTTCGCTTCGCTTACCCGCTAACTGGTTGTTGCCAAGGGAAAGGCTCACGAGGTTGGTGAGTACGCCGAGCTCCTTGGGGATGGAACCTGCGCGGGCATGGCACCGGAGAAAGCTTGGGCATGTTGGAGACCATAGCAAACACACCACTTGCCTGATGTCACACGCGCACGCTCGGTGTCCACTGAAAGAAAAGGCAGCACCACAGTATGTAGATCATCCAAACACGTCCTTTTTCCAATTCACCCCCTTTGGATATTTCCTCCTTGTCGTCTCACTTTTCGACAAACAACGGGTAACGCCCGAAACGCTGGGTTCGGCTGAACGAAGGGTGCCGCGTCACGTCATACAGTTGTCTTGAAGCCGCTCAGCAAGGCGACAAGGTGTGTTCGAGAAGGGGACGAAGCACGAGCTCGTGCACCCCATTCGGGTTTACATGGGTCCATTCGTTTCTTAGGGCAGACCGTTGAAGCATTCAATTGATCATGACGCCCTTTCGCACGGTTGGTCGGGGCAGTATTGACCAGCGATAACAGTCTGTGAGACAACTGGAACTTGTACAAAAGGAGCCAGTCTGCCACCGAACACATCGAAACAAAATGCACACAAACGGGAAAATCGCACGCACTCCAGAAGCGACCAAGTCTACACACATATACAAACGCGTTGCGGAGTGGGAACGCGGGTATCGAGCTATACGCTGGTGCATCGTGTTCTGTTAGGCACAGGCGTTGTCGAATCACACCAGAATCAAATCTCCGTTTTGTGTAGTCTTTGCGATCCCAGGGCATCTTAACCGAACTTGACATGGACGGCACGAAACCTTGAACATCCCAATCGCCTACATTAGTTTATAATTCTGTCACCCCACTTTGCCGTCAGGTTACGTGGGTCTGGCCGATCTGGGATTGACAAGTTGGGAAAATCCCATCTTGCCGAGCATACGTTCCAACGTGATGTGAAGACATTGACCTCCTCCATGTTTCCGAGTGAACGGGTCAACGTAGTCCTTGGCAGCACTCGTAGATGAAATAACCGTGATCATTTGTTTTTTCACCACATGGAGACCCAACCCCGCAGGCTCTCAACAACGCTGGGACATCCACCCGTATCATCCTGAACAACATCATCCTCCCTGGGGAGATCCTACCTCGCCATTGTTGTAGAGTGCAACCATCCGGTGAACGTTGAAAGCACGTCCTGGACCTAAGACAAACTAAGGTGCAGGCGTCTTAGCCCACGCGTCTTCACGCCTCTTACCTGATAGCTTGTTGCCGTTGAGGTAAAGGCTCCCGAGGTTGGTGAGGGCGGCCAGCTCATTAGCGATGGGACCTGCGGGACCATGGCACCACCAAAAGGTTGGATAAGTTGGAGCCCATGGCAAATACACAACGTGCCTTGTGTCAGGAGCACCCGCTGCTAGGTGATTACAATGCAGCGCTAGCTGTGTTCATCACGCCCTCCCAAAGTTACACCCAGACGATTTTTGTCTTCTCGTCTCACTTCGCCTCAAGCGACCGTCAGAGACCCAAATAGTGGGCGTCCACTGAAAGAAAGGCAGGAAACCACGTGATACAGGTATTTTGATTTCGTCTCAAGTGTGGTGGCAATGTGTTGTCGAAAAGGGGTCTTACCACTAGCTTGTGCGCATTCGCGTTGGGGTTACATGGGGTCATTGGTTTCGTATGGTAGATGGGCGATGCTTTCGATCGATCATGATACTCCCTGGGAGGGTCGGATGGGACATGTTTGACCGGTGACATGCTGCCCTCCGAAAGGGCCTGTTGAGACATTACTGATGGTCTGTGAGATCATATGACATGGTCGAAAAGGAGCGAGTCCCCGGCTCAACGATGGAAACATACACAGACGGAACACGCGTACAACTTGCGTTTTCGAGAGGGCACACACAGCCTGTCCCCCATAACGCGGAAGGGGAACGCGAGTATCGAGTTATATGTAGATGTGGTTCGTCGTGCTCTGCTAGGTCCAAGGCGTTGTTTGTGCCGGTGGTGGTGTTCTCAGGGCATCACAACCGAAGTAGACACAATATAGTCATGGACTCTACTGTCGCACCACGCTGCCATCACGCGACGTGGGCCACGATTCTGGCCGATCAGGGATTGACAAGTTGGAACTTGTCCAGCACTACGTCCAGCGTGAAGTGACAACAATGTCCAGCACTACGTTCAGAGTGAAGTGACGACAATGATCTCTTCTCCATGTTTCCGAGTGACTATATCACGATTGACCCTGGCAACACTCGTTGATGACGTACTCATGATCAATTGTGCTTCCAACACATCCAGACTCAACCCGTAGGCGTTCACAACACTCGAACATCCGCCTGCATCCTCCTGAACGACACCATCCTCCCTGGTGACATCCTACCTCGTCAAGGCTTCGCAGTGCAACCGTCCAGAGTGCGTTGAAGGCACTTTCTAACCTACGGGGAAACACGGTGGACACGTCTTAGCTCACGCCTCTTCGCCCCGCTTACCACTTAGCTCATTGTCGACGAGGTAAACGCTCACGAGGTTGGTCAGTGCGCCCAGCTCCTTGGGAATGGAACCTGCGGAACCATGACGCCGATACAAGCTTGGACATGTTGAAGACCATTGAAAAACACACAACATGCCTTGTGCCCAACGCGCCCGCCGTTACCTGACTGACCATACAGCACTAGCTGTGTGAAATTACGCCCCTTCGACTTTACCCCCCTGGAGTTGTTTCCTTCTCGTCTCACTTTTCCACAAAATCGGGCGAACAATCAAATAGCGGGTATGTACTGAACGAAGGGTGCAGGGTCAAATGATGCTGGTGTTTTCATTTCGCTAAAGTGCGGTGGTAGTACGTCGTCGAGAAGGGGGCTAACGCGAGCAAGTGCGCATTCCATTTGGAATATTATGGGGCCATTGGTTACGTACGGTAGATCAGCGATGCGTTGGATCGATCATGATGCTCCCAGGGGGGGTCGGATGGGACTTTTAGACTTGTGAGGGAACGCTGTCCTTGGGAGTGACGGTCTGTGCGATCTTTTGAAGTGGTCCGAAAGGAACGAGTCCACGGCGCAGTGATGGACATGAGCACACAAACGGGACAAGCCCACAATTAACATTTGCGAGGGCGCAAACAGCCTATTCCCCACAACGCGGAAGGGAAACGCGAACATCGAGTTAGACGTGGTTCGTCGTGCTCTGCTAGGTCCAAGGCGTTACCGAATCACACCAGAGTGAGTGTACTGTTCCCAGGGCATCATAAACGAAGGTGGGCATATTTAACTCGCGGACGGTGCGAATGGTTGTGCACCATTCGTTTGTTTTCTATTCGAGAAGCCCCCCTTTTGTCGTCAGGCGACATCGGGACGATACCGACCGACCTGAGCTTGAAAGGTGGGAACGCCCCATCGTGCCCAGAATAAGTTCCAACGTGCTGTTTAGACGACGCCGTCTCACGTTTCGAGTGAATGAGTCAGGCTGGATTCGTGCGTACGGTATCAAACCTCGGTGAATTGCAGACAAACAAACCTAAATGAGTGCTCGGAGACGTTGGACGGGCCCGTTGAAAGAAAGGGAAACTCAAGGCTTCTAGCACTCATTTCGTGTCACACATACATCCAGGTCTTGGTGTACAGCACGACGTGTCAACCACTTTCAACATGATGCATGTTACCTCCCTCTACCTGACGATGGGTGCGAAAGCACCACACCTGTTCCATTCTAGAGCTCACGGCGGTGAAAAAAGCACGCAAGAAGGAGAAAACCTACAGCGCGAAGTGCGGACTGCGGAGTGGAGAGTGCGGCTGTGGCGTGCGGAGTTCCAAAACTATGCCTGGTAGTGCGCAGCAGTAGGTAACAACGTCGCGAGCCCTCAAGAGTGAGCAAGAAGTCCACGAACTGGGCGTGTGGTCATTTCATACTGTGGAGGATTGCTATTGTTTGCTGGTGATGGACTGGCGAGCACTGGGTATGGGTTGGAAAAATGGCAGGAAGGGACATCGATGACGGATACATGTGTTCGGATAAGGTTGTCTGCTCCGTGTAGAACATGGTGTACGAGAGGTCTCGAAGCTGTGCGTGCGAGCTGCGAGCTGAAATAATAACTTGCGTGCAGAGAGAGGTGTCGACTCAGTGTGCGCTAGCTGAGAAGGAGAAAGGGAGGGTGCTTTATGCGGGCGTCCGCCAGACCTCAGCCAGTTGCATGCTGATAGGAGAAGAACCCACTGACGCTCAGAGGCGGAACATCCCCGACGTGTTGCTAGAAAGACCACATCTACATATATATGCATCCAGCAGCACACCACCACTTGTCGGCTACCCGGGCGTAGCTTTGAACATAGTCAGTAACACTACCTCTACCTGTCGATGGGTGTCAAGAGCCTTCATACTCTTCCTCTCGAGTAACTTCGATTCGGTGCCGTATGATGAACAACAGAAAACCATTGCGGGATGATCTCCGACCGACATCGAGGAGTCGATCCCGTTCAGCACGCCATGCATTGTCGACGGGGAACGTGGGTGTTGCTTCAACTTGCAGTTGGTGCAAGAGGTTTAGGTCGAAAACGGCTTTATCGTAAGAGTCCGAGAGTTGACCCGGGCCGGAGAGATGGCACCGGTCGGAGAGATGGCACCGGGGTGCGATATAAAACCCGAGAAAAAAACATGTACAGTATTTCGATTTACGCACCAGGGTCAGTGAGATCGCACCCGGTGCGATCTCTCCGACCCCCAAATCCAAGATTGAACTCCTTTTCAGCTGCCGGAAGGAGGCCGGTACATGTGCGTACCTTTTACACGTGGGGACGGAGTCAGCGGAGCGCCACTCCTTGACGTACGATTGGATGGTCGCGGTTCACTCGGGATGCCAGTTGTTTTCGAACCGTACACTCAACCAAACACACAACGGCGACAAGCCGCACCCTACCCCACCATACACAACCCGAAGCTATTGTACTTCTGCGTACGTACTGGTATCCGTAGAAGAAGACCGAAACGAAAGCGGGAACCAATTGATACCGTGTGTACTGGTACCACCTCAGATGCCCTATTTCGCCGCCTTTTTTCCGGCTCAGATATGCGTGTGTGTGCAGAAGACCGTGTGCGTGCGTGGGTACCTACACTGGTACCCATCAATACTATGGCAACGGTCGGGGAGATGGCACCGGGGTGCGTGCATACAACACCTTTGTACATTTCATCGGGGATCGCACCGGTCGGAGAGATCGCACCGGGGCGCCTTGAAAATTCTGAACGAAAAGATTTAATTGCATTCCGCACCGGGGTCGGAGAGATGGTACCGGTCGGAGAGATGGCACCGGGGTGCGAAAAAAAAACGAGCAAGAAACACTTAAAAAACGATCGCACCCGGTGCCAACTCTCCGACTCTCACGGTAGTTCGATTAATTGTCGGGAAAGGCCGGGCTCATCGTGTAAGAGAAACGCTTGTACAAGGAGTAGGGCAAACGCACCTCGGAGGTCGTTCCCACGAAGTCTTAGCTCCACGATGCGACCCTGGCCGTCGACTTTGATCCCGTTGTTTATCTTCCATATAGTCCCGCCGGCCGAAACAAAAATTTCCACCAGCGCGTCACGATCCGTCGCAGCCATTGCAAAGCGAACAGGATACCTCCGTGGGGGAAGGGAAGCTGAGGGAGTGTAACGAGGAACGAAAGCAAGCATGATTGATGCCGGTACATAGTGTGTTCATGTGGCCTCACGATTCCGTTTTCGACGACAAAATTGCTTCTCGATGGACCGTGGCGCACGATGTCGCGAAGCCCAGACACAAAGACACTTGGGATACTCCCACATGATTTTCAATTCTACCTGACATACGGTAGTTATCGCCAACCAGAGAGCGGCAGGCACTACTTTGTGCGGTTGGGAGCTGTCCAAAAGAGAAATGGGCTGAAGGAGAGCATTCCGCTGATCAAACGAGAAATATTTAATGTCTATATAGTCTACGGGGCTGCTTTCAACGGGGCTGCTGTACATATCCCTTCAACCAATAATGCACTGGTTGGGTCACCATTCATACAGACACAATCACATGGACTGGACCAGTCAGTATCCGGAACGTTCTTTCGAGAACTGAACTGTTGCGACGAGTCTGTTTCAGAAAAAACTTGTACCCGGCCGTTACACGACCAGCCACATCAAGCATGAAACGATGCTGGACAACGGAAGCTGACGGTGAAGAGCGCAAGGATAGACGCCAGCGATACTTCTCTGTTTTTGAATTTTACTGCTTCATACTCTGTTGTTGAATCTAATAAAAACTTCTGCAACCTGCTGCAGGCTGCGGTCGCTCGATCCCGGAAGGTAGATGCAGGGTAGGACGTATGCATAGGACGCCCATTACCCCGCCTCCGCACCCATACGAATGCGCCCGATATCGATAAGCAGGCAACGCAAAAGCTCGCCACTGCTATGATGCAGAGCAGACGTTCGCTCGCCCGTGTGTCTATGTCGCTATCTCGCACTGCCGCCTCTGCCTCTCCACTCGCGGCATTTTGCCTCGCACAGAACCTTCACGGCGAAGGAGGTAGGAAACACGATCCAACCTTCAGTACAGTAGACCACATGCGTCCTGCCAACACGCCAATGCACACGACCCACCCCCCCCTAACCACCCCACCTGAACGTGCTTGACGTGCAGGTCAAACTTGAAGTTCGAGATGACAAGAGTGCAAGCGCCTTTAATTCGTCCGATCCGCTGGGTGTTGTGAACTGCAGCCGGCGGCCGGCGCAGCTTGCTGTGCGGCAAGTTGTGGGAGGACATACAGTACCTGCCCGGCGGGGTTTCGCAGAACGCCTCGCGAACCGACGGGTTCAAGTTTCAGATCCCGTCCACTGCTTACATATTTTTCACAACGAATCCATAGCTACCCATGGAAAATAGTCGAAGATATTGTAGGTAAGCAATGGATTAACGGCGTCAGTGGGAGCTACCTGTATTTCCAAGATTTCCTGAGCAACATGAGGTGATATATCTTCCCTGTGGGTAACAGGCACAACAAGACAGTTTGTTTGTGGATATTTTGCGTTCGTCCAAATATAATCTTGGGAAATGGACAAAAGTGTGGGTATACCCACCCCTTTCTCGGACAAAAGTGGATACTCGAAAATCCAGCGCGTGCACCCTCCATAGGCGACCCCCAAACGACTCAAAACCCCTTCTGACACCTGGGTGACATAGCCAGGGACCATACACAGCACGGGCATCGACTTTTTCCCACTTTCATGCACACCTTTGGCCCTAATGACGCCAGGGGCACGCAAGGCCTCACCAGAGTGCCCACTTCTGACCGACGTCGTGGTGGGTATACCCAGCGGCGAACTTTTTCATGTACGTACCCACTTGTGTCTGTATTTTGACCCACTTTTGTCCAAACTGTACCCACTTTTGTTCACTTACGGACAGCGGAAATCGACCTCAACGATGGATACGGTGTTGGGAGATTCTGAGACGTTCCGAGGCTATTCGATGTTCTGCCGTGCGGTGATGTGGAGGTCCGTTCGATTTCCGCTGTCCGTAAAAGTGGACAAAAGTGGGTCAAAATACAGACACAACTGGGTACAGCAGTAGCTTCATGAAAAATTTCGTAGACGCCGCTGCGTATACCCACCGCTATGTCGGACAGAAGTGAGCACTCTGGTGAGGCCTTGCGCGCCTCGGCGGTGTTAGGGCCAAAGGTGTGCCGGAAAGTGGGAAAAAGTCGCCCATGTTGTGTATGGTCCCTGGCTATGTCGCCCAGGTGTCAGAATGGGGTTTGAGTCGTTTGGGGGTCGCCTATGGAGGGCGCCCGCGCTGGATTTTCGAGTACCCACTTTTGTCCGAGAATGGCGTGGGTATATATATCCATTTTTTTATCTATTTCCTTCCCTATAATCTTCCCCGAGAGTGAACTTTCGACCGTTTCGCATCTTCCGCAAGTTACCTCTGTACTCGTCGTAGAGGACACCGAGAGGACTCGAGGTTGGTGGTGTTATTGCCGTTCCGTTCTCTCTGCCTACAAGTAGCACCTTCTTCTGTCCGTACTTGACGGCCATCAGGGCGGCACAACAGGAACCCACATAACACACGTAGATCTGGGAGATGTTCCGAATTCTTCCATTCACAATGTACTACCGTATATGACACAAGATAACACATCCCCTTGGCCGATTTTCAAAGCTCGATTTCTCAACAGCAGGAAGAGTCACAGCGCCGAAAACGGCGGCGTTGGAACCGTCTCGTCGAGAGCTGTTCGAAAACGTATTGTTTCATTTATTCATCCTCTTCGTCGTGGAGTAATCGAGCTTTGAAAATCGGTCCAGGGGGTGTGTTATCTTGTGTCATATACGGTAGTCTATGCATACAGCAGTTTGTTCGGTCTTCGACAACAAACTTTTATTTTATTTGCCACAACCTATCGTCTCTTTTGGGCTCATGCATACTCACAGCCAACCCTCTTCATACCAAGACTCCGCTGGAAAGCCAAGATAGTGTACTCATGAAGATTAGCATCGTGTCCTCGCACGTGCCACACACGTATACAAGGTGCGGTGGTGACAAGCGCATGTGGTGACCTGCACTGACATACGAACATTCCCTGGAGCATGGCATGGAGCTACGGAACTACATTTTCAACATACAACCGTGACGAGATGTCACCCTTCCTGCCTGCCGTATTATCACATAATTATTAGTCGATGTCCTCCACAACTACACCTCCAAGTCTCATTGCGGAAGATCAAGTTTCGGCTCCCGCACAACATCTGTCTGCATGTCGACACAATCACTCACTATTACTGTATAGTCTTGGCCACAGTCATATGTCATCGCCGCCCTCTACGAAACACAGTGGAAAGGACGGCTGCGCCGGTCCTGGGCACGTGAAACGGACAGTGTAGCAGCACTCTCGCCAAGACATAAATCCCGATTGGTCAGGATCTCCAGACGGGCACCCGTCAAACAAACGTGGGTACGGAGCGGCATAAACGCCCTTCGAAGCCATCAAGACTCAAAGGGCCAGGAGTCCCAAACTCCTGTTACGTGGGCGTGTGGGTGGCAGGAATATGTCTTAGCCCACCCCCCGCACCATTTCCCCATCCATCCGTCGTCTACATTTGTGCCTACGTGTGCACCAACAACAGACCACCCTGTGACAGCGCTGGCTGGCAAGTTTTCAGCCACAATCATGCAAACGAGTGCTGCAAGAACTCGCTTCACTCAATGCCAAACATGATCTTGTTCTGTTTTTCGAACCAGCAACACCGCAATCCCCAGGCAACTACACGGCGTGGACCCCAGCAGTAGACGGGTCTGACACGACACCCTCCTCTCCGGAAATCGCAGTGTGTTGGAAGAGCTGACGGGCTCCATCGAAGCGCCAGCTTCTGCAACGTAGTACTGTAACTCTGTCACGAGCTCCAGTACTGAAAACAGTGCAGAGATCCCGGCCACACCTCATAGGTCATCATCCCACCCTCCCGACTTCACCGAAAGCGCCAAAAACAAAGTGTCCACGGCCAACGTTTCGCCCACGGCCCTGATCATGACCATGGCCCTCCTCGAGACGCCCTCGGATTCGCCGCCTTTTAAAACGAAACCACTACCGAATAAAACCCTGCCGAGCCAACAGAAGGGGTGCTCGGCAACCCACTTGTCTATAGCTCCAAACCCTACCCCAGCATGGTCTGCGTCTTCAACCTTTGCATCTAGACTCATGCCCAACATCCGCCAAAACGGACTACAGCGAGACCTCGATCCCACTAAAACCCACAGGGCCGAATCCAATAGACGCCCAACGAAAGTACCTTCAGGTGCATCGCCCCTGCAGTTCAGTTGAGCGAAGAACCGAGCAGCCGTTCTCCAATGGGGATTTACACACGAGTCCCGCCACAACCAGGGCAATGAGGCAGATCCACCAAAGGGGGCTTGAAGCGCCGGCGGTCGATACCAGTAACAGCACGTCCGTGACGTCATCGACCACCGGAACAGCAACACGCCAAAAATTGGTTATGTTGCCCAACACTAACACGATCCAAGGCTTTCGTTCACCTGCGATTTGAATAGAAAGGGATGACAGCAGGTCAAACCATACAAGCCGGCGGTAATTGGACCACGCTACACGTACGCGGTTGACGTTCCGTTTGTGTTATGTCCAGCACTCGAAAAGACGGAAAGTTACATTGGCACACATACTACATGTGCCTAGCTGGAAATGGTAGGAATTTGGTCGGCATTGTAGATGCTGCAGGAGGCTTACCAGCCCCCGTTGCCCCTGCGGACCGCACTCTTGACCTCTCATTGTGGTCGGGAATGCCGGCCCAGTCTCGCATGTTGCGCCCGTACCTCCTAGGAGGGAGAATACCTGTTTCAAGCCCACGATCTCGACAGTTCGCATGGCAAGCATTAAGAACGATGGTTGGGCAAGTCGAAGGGTTGAAAACTTCGCCCAGCACCCTCTCAAGCAGAATAGTTGGAGGCAGCACAAAAACCTGGAATAGATCGGAGATTCGATTTGCTTCGTCATATAGCATGCTGTCGCTGTGCTTCTTGCGGAGCTGCACATCAGTGTGAGGGGTTGGGAAACATTCCAACTACAGTACGTAGTCCCCGGTTGGAGGGGTTTCATGGGCATATTTATTGGTTGAGGAAAACTGTTGTTCGGGATTCCACGATGGGTCTGCGAAACGAAAAACTTCCAAACAAGTTATTTATATCTTCAACAAGTGAGTAGGTTACAGTGGTATTTTCCCCCGCACCATTCTACGATGGCATAGACAATTCGCACATCTGGACAGAAAACTCAAGGAGTTGTGACCGGAGCGGGTCCGGCCGCGAGATTCCGCGGTCACACTGTTGTTCGATAGCGAATCACCTCTTCTCTCACTTCACGACCCCCCCAACGGACAAAGCGACAAAAGTTCTGCACTGGCGCTTGGGAAGACGGATTGATCGTCTGGTACACATTTTCGACTGCAGCGTTAAATTTGGTACCCCTTCGGATGGCTTTCTCGGCGATGTAGCCTTGATAAATGAGTTTAATAGAGTGGGGGCGATAGATTTCCCGACAAGACCTTTTTCGCGTTGGTATCGAATATTGACTTCTGATCCTAAATGTACCGGATCACCTTCGCCCCCCCAAGTTCGGCCGATAAGTTGCCAGCACATCGATAAACCGGGGGGGAGGCAGCAAGGAACAAGGTTCCCCCTTCTAATGTTCACACCCCCCCGGTACATAGGATTGTTCTTCCGACAAGAGCTCCTCAGCGAAATATTGATAATCACACTTTTTCGTGGTTTGGCATCGTTTGGAACAGAGACAATCGTGCTTGGGGCCCAACACACCATATTTACTCCTCACATGATGGGTGAGTTTGAAACGATTGACTTGAACTTCGGAGAGTTTGTTGACATTGCTGGAGAGGTTGCCATTTTCCAATGCTGAATGCGGAACCGCATGATGTCAAAGCACCCGCGTCCGCCAGCATTGACACCATATGCCTCAGAACGTGCGCTTGTTGTCAAAAAACAACGGAGGTTGACGCAACGTTGAAACAGTCAGATTGACATAGCAACTGTAGGGAGAACCCGACTGCACGGGTAGAGGGAAATATTCAAAATATAAAGGTCACGCAGGACACGGAACAATGCGCAGCAGTCCCCGACCAACTCTTCATGGATAAATACGCATGCCCAACAACGCGAAAAACTGAAAACAACAGGGGCGAAGAACTGTGTCCTTTCCCTCATGAAGTTTTAACCATACAGTGTGTCTAGAACGGCTTGAGGCGGTCCACAGAGAGCCGTGTGGGTGCATGAGATTTTCTAGCATTCCTAATTTCCCCCGGGGTACTGGTTGAAGAATCCAATGTCCCCCTCACAAAACAGTACCCTAACCGCGTCACCTGCCCCCCCCTCTTAGAGGTGCAACTTTAACCGGAAAAGATTCCCCTCTCGGGGAGAAACCAACAGGGTGTCCTGTATGTGATGCGCGCCCGTGTTGCCATATCATGCCGCATTCCTTTCGTTCAAGTTTGGCGAGTTCGATAATGTCGGAAAAACTCTTGGCCTGACCAAAACCTACCTCGTCGGATAGGATTGGACCGCGCTCTCCCAGCTCGATCTCTCGACAGCGTTTGGTGTGGCCTCCAGTATGGTGACGTCATTTCAGGGGAAATTCCTCTACCCCCGGGACACGTAGTATGTTTGCTGTGGATCACATAGGGCACGTTCAGCTACGAGGTCCTTGTGGAGCATTACAATTGCCAGAAATGTAAGATTCCCAAATCCTGTACAATGCGTTCGAATTAGCTTCCCGATCTAAACACACCGTAGAAGTTGAAGAAAGATTCCCGTCTCTTGCCTGTAACATTGTTCCCGCGCAGCGAAAGGGACGCCATCCTGGTCAGGGTTCCCAGCTCCTTAGGAATAGCCCCTGCGCAATTACCCAGCACGTGGAAGCGTCCCAACGATAGTCCACAAAGAGATTATTATTGCGTGTTTGCCGCCATGGTTTTTACGGAGATCGAGATGATAGAAACAAATATTAAAATCTTGGCGGCATGATGGATATCTATTTCTGGCCAGTCGACATGCGTCTGCCTCAGGTTCCACACCCCGGCCGGGGGTCGACCTGTGCCCTCAGCAACATCACAATCACACCATCGTCCACACGCATTGTGAATATTCTCGCGCTCGGTTACACGTGATCTCAGGAACGCATATACCACGTTCACTTCAGTCGACGCCCACATACCTCGCATGCGCTAGGCGAGACTCGACCTGCAGGCGTATCTTGCTCAACGACACCAGCCTCATCGGTGAGATCCTACCTCATCCAACCTTCGGAATGGAAGCGTCCGGTGCACGTTGGAACAATTTGCTGGATCTCAAGAACGCGCCAGACGCACCACCCCGGCTCTCCATGCCACTTACCTGTTAGCTCGTTGTGGTCGAGGCCAAGACTCCTGAGGTTGGTGAGGGCACCCAGCTCCTTGGGGATGGAACCTGCGCGGCCATGGCACCGGTAAACGCTTGGACATGTTGGAGACCTTAGAAAACACCACTTTGTCTGGCGACGCATGCGCCTGCTGTCAAGTGACTGAATATGCAGCACGAGGTCGCCCATTCATGTCTTTCCAAATTTACCCCCTTCAGATGTTTCCTCCTTCTCGTCTCACTTTGCAGCAAATCAAGGGTAAAGCTCTTACACTAAACGAACAGTCAGCCGTACCACATGATACACCTGTCTTCAAGTCGCTCAGCAAGGTCAGGTGACAACGTGTGTTCCAGAAGGGGACAAGCCACAAGCTCGTGTGCACTCCTATATGGGGCCACTCGTTTTATACGGCAGACCGATAAAGCGTTCCATCGATCACGTCGATCTTTCGGAGGGTCGGTTGGGACAGTATTGACCTGCGATACCAGCCTGTGAGACAACTCGTACAAAAAGAGCAAGTCTGCCGCCGAAACTCATCGGACAAATTGCAAACAAACGAGAAAAACGCACTCTAGAAGTAATCGAGGGCGCACCACACACACCCAAACGCATTGCGGAGTGGAGACGCGGGTATCGAGCTATCCCCTGGCGCATCGTGCTCTGTTAGGCACAGGCGGTGTCGAATCACACCAGAGTCAAGTGTCCGTTCTGTGTACTACAGGTCGTCGAGTTCCCAGGGCATCAGAACCAAAATGGGCACAGTATTGTCATGGGTGGAGCGTTTTCGTGTAGGTCCCATTGGCCCGCTTTCTATTCGCCTCGCCCTTCTTGGCCGTCAAATGACGTCGGGCACGATTCTGGCCCATCTGGGATTGACAGGTTAGGGAATACCCATCTTGCCCCGCATCAGGTCCATCGTAACGTGAAGACAAGGACGCCCTTTCCATGTTTCCGAGTGGATGAATCACGATTGTCCTTGGCACTGCCGGTTGGTGAAGTAATCGTGATCCATGGTGCTTCCAACACAACCAGACTCAACTCCGCAGCCGCTCGACAGCAATCGAACACCCACACGTATTTTCTTGAACGACACCATCCTCCGTGGTGAGATCCTACCTCGTCAACGCTTGGAGTGCAAACGTCCCGTACACATTGAGAACACTTTCTGGGCCTGAAGGGGAAAACACGGTGAACGTGTCGTAGCTCACGCCTCTTCCCTCTGCTTACCCGTTAGCTGGTTGTGGCCGAGTAAAAGGTGCTTGAGGTTGGTGAGGGCGCCCAGCTCCTCGGGGATGGAACCTGCGCGGCCATGGCACCGGTAAGCGCTTGGACATGTTGGAGACCATAGTAAACACACAACTTGCCTTGTATCACACGCACGCTCTGTCAAGTGACTGAACGTATATCCAGCACTAGCAGTATGAAATTGCGCCCGTTCGACTTTACCCCCACACAGTTGTTTCGTTCTCGTCTCACATCGCCACAAAAAATGGGCAACCATCCAAGTGGTGGGCATGTACTGAACGAAGGGTGAAGCCGCACGTAATACAGGTGATTGTACTTCCACTAAGTGTGGTGGCAATGTGTTGTCGAGAAGAGGCCTAACCAAGAGCACGTGCGCATTGCATTTGGATTAAACAGGGTCATGGATAATTTTTCGGTAGATCGGTGACGCGTTCGATCAATCATGATGTTCCCCGGGAGGGTCGGATGGGACATTATTGACCGGTGATATAGTGCTCCCCGAAAGGGTCCCTTAAGACATTATTGACGGTCTCGGAGGTCATTTGAAAAGGAGCGAGTCTCCGGTCCGACGATGGAAATGAGCACACAAAGGGAGCAAGCGCTCAACTCACGGTTTGGAGGGCACACACAGTCTACTCCCCATAGCGTAAGGGAAACACGGGCATCGAGTTAGGCGTGGTTTTTCGTGCTGTGCTAGGGGTTATCGAATCATACCAGAGACAATGTCCACTGTGAACAAGTCTTGATCGTGTTGCTAAGGCTTCACAGCCCGAACAGACAGGTTTAGGGGAAAGACGGTGGTGTAGTGGGAGACCGCCGTTCGTCAGATTCATGTTCTATACACTGGCCTCTCTTTGCCATCGGGCAGCGCGGGACCCGATAAGTTGCCCTTCGCAACAACTCCCGACTCTTCTCCGTTTCTTCTGGCTCTAGAGCCCCGTTCCCATCCAAGTGTTTGTGTCCAGCGTCTCCTTGGCCGCTTTTCGAACTTTCTCCACGAAACAAATCAATCGTCATCACCCAAGAGATGCCTGTAAACATCAGAATCAGGTGTTCCGCGAACAACCTGTCACCCGCAGAAACGTTACACATTAGTCATGGTACGAGTCCCTTCCTTCCGCGGAAAGGTAGACGGCACTAGCACAAACCAAATGCACCGCATAGAGATCTCAAAGAGACCCATATCGTCGATCCCCGCCAGTGACGGCAATGCCGTGCTGTTGACAAAAGCTCCGAGCGATGGTGTAGCTAATGAAGTTATGGCAGAGGCAACTACGACTGAAATCAACAACGAACGTGCACAAGACGTTTGGTGTTGATAGGAGAATAGCTGGCTGGTCGACGCCTTTTTTATCCCTGCCAATTTCCGAAAAGCCACGAAGGACGTCCTGCTGAAGGATGCCCTCCTGAGCTACGTTTCCCCCAGAACTGTACCTTCGTCATCGGGGGTGGGGGCATACACGACCTCCTCCAAGCATTGGTGGAGGAAGTGCTAACGTCTAGAGCATTGGTGTTTGTTGATAACGCCAATATCACGTGCCGGTTGAGAAATCAAGGGGAATTGACAAAATGGGGCATACACCGCGTGCTCAGGCGCAAAATGGGGTATTCGTTTCTGGGGAGGGGACGCAACGCCTGACGCCGGGTGGGCGTATTCAGGCCGCTTGCTGGCGCTTCAGCCGAACGCCCCTGGTCATCAGGAAGAACGCTCAACTTTCCGTTTGTTATTGACAAGAACAGAGTTGTTATTGCCCCCCTGAAATATGGCCTACAAGTTGTCATCGATGAACCGGGGGGAAGGCAACAGAGATCAACATACCCCCTTCCCCTGTCATTTCACCCCGTACCAGCGTTTTTCCGACAAGAGCCACCCGACACGAAAAGGTTGAAATCATCGCCTACAGTACTCTCTTGTTGGCTTTGGCATCACCTGGAAGCCACCATAATCGTTCTTGGGTCCCAATACACCATCATTGCTCGGCTTGGTGAATGAGCGTGAAACTGGCACACAACTAAGATCATGTTCGGAAGCCCTTGTTGATATTGCTGGAATAGGTGCCGCCGTTGTCGAAAGCTTGAATGCGGAATGGCATGACCTCAAAACAAAGACGCACAAGCATTGACACCAAATGCCTCCGGTACATTATGTTGTTATCAAGTATCAAGTACGGGTGGGAACAGCCACATGGACACAACAGCTAGGGGGTACCCGACTGCGCGGGTAGAAGAGAAAATAATGTGTGATTAAGTTCTAAAGGGTGCCGAACGACCCGCAACAGTCCCCGACCAACAGCACTTATGAACAAAACACCGGAGATGGACTGCTTCCATTCTCTCATCAAGTGTAAACGATAGATTTTGCCCGCTTGAGGAGGTCTTCAGAGAGACGTATGAGTGCGAACATTACATTACATTCACGTTTTCATGCACCCATGCAGATCACCCCCCGGAGGTCAGGCAGTGGTTCAACAAACAAACGTCCCCTCAACAAAACACTATTCCCGCACCATGCCAATCCCCAAGGGGTTCAATTTCAATGGATGAAGGTTTCCTTCCAAGGGAGGAAAACTATAGGGTAACCGGTATGTGAGGAACATCCGCGGCAACGTATCGTACCGACCTCCTTTCATTCACGTTCGGTGAGTTCGATTTACGTGGAAAATGATGTCGGCCTGAGTGCAAACACAAGTTCCAGGGGGTACGATTGGACAACGCTTTCCCCGCTTGTACTAGAGAGTGGTTTATGCGGGCGACGATACAAAAGGATGTGTACATGATCAAATACATTCAAACCTTGATTCCTCCCCCCCCGGGACACACAACACGTTGGCTGCGGCACGTTCAGCTACCACGTCATTGTGCCTCACTAGAAGCATTAGAAAATATGGTATTCTTAGCCCCGTACAAGTTGACCGAAAATTGTCTCACGATCTGACAACACCCTACAGGTTGAAGAACGATTCCCGCCTCTTGCCTGTAATCTTGTTCCAGCCCAGGTACAGGCTCGAAATCATGGTCAGGGTGCCGAGCTCCATAGGAATAGACCCTGCACAACAGCAAGCAGTTGTAAGAGTACCACGTTTTTCCACACTTAGATTCATTTTGCGGTGTGTTCCGCCAAGATTCTACGGAGGTCGATGCACTAGAAAAAAAATAGTCGACATCTCGGTGACATGATGGATATTGAATTCTGGCCCGTCGACAGGCGTCTACCTCAGGTTCCACACCCCGGCCGCTGGTCAACCTGTGCGCCCAGAAATATCACAATATAATGTATTTTCTTGCGCTGCTCTTCACATACCACGCTTACTTTAGTCCAACTACACGCAGGTCCACATCTCTCCCAGGCGTTCGGCTCGAATTCAGGCGTAACTTCCTCAACGACAACAGCCTCGTCGGTAAGACGTTACCTCATCCAAGTTGCGGAACAGAAGTGTGCCGTGCACGTTGGAACAATTTGCTGGATCGCAAGAACACGCCAGACGCTTCCACCCCGCGCCTCTCCATGCCACTTACATATATGCTGGTTGCCGCCGACGCTAACGCTATCGAGGTTGGGCGCGACCACACGTGCCCGCTGTTAACTGACTAAACATACATCCAGCACGAGCTGTACGAAATTGCGGCTGTGTGGCTTGACCCCCTACGATTGTTTCCTCCTCGTCTCACATCGCCACAAACACGGACGGCCATCGAAACGGTAGGCCTACAGCTAGACATGACCCAGGTATCTTCAAGTCGCTGAGTATGGTAGCAACGTGAATTTGAGGAGGGGACTAGCCGCGAGAACGCGTTCATTCCATTGGGTTTCAAAGGGGCCATTCGTTTCTTACGGTAGAATGGTAAAACGTTCCATCGATCATGATGCTCCCCGGAGGGTCGTATCGGGCATTGTTGGCGGTCTGTTAGCTGACTTGGAGTGGTCGAAAAAGAGCGAGTCTCCGGCGCAAAGATGGGAACAGAGAACATATACTTGACGACGCACAATTCACGTTTACGAGGGCGCACACCCCCAAGATGCGGACGGGAAACACGGGTATCGAGCTATACCCTTGTGCATCGTGTTCTGTTAGGCACAGGCAGTTCGAACCGCACCAGAGTCGGTGTCCGTTCTGTGTACTGGTCGTGGTGTTTGCGAGGGCATCCTAAACGGAGTGGATTCATTCAACTCACGGGTGGTGCGTATTCTTGTAGACCGCATTTGTCTGCTCTCTATTGGAGTCGCCCCTCTTTGACGTCAGACGACGTCGGGCACGTCACTCGCTGACCTGGGCTTGAAAAGCTGGGAAAGCCCCATCTTGCCCAACACATGTTCCAACGTGATGTTTAGACGACGATGTCCTCTCTATGCTTCGAATGAATGGATCGGGCTGGATTCGTGTGTACGCCCCCAGACCTCGGCGAGTTGAAGGAAAGCAAACCGAAGTGAATGGTAGGATCCGCTGGATGGGCCCATCGAATGAAAAGAACATTCGCGTCACTTGAAGGACCACATGCATCCAGGCCCTCGTGTACACCGCCACTTGTAGACTGTTTTCAACAAAATGCATGGCACCTCCTCTGACGATGGGTGCGAACGTACCACACCTCTACCACACAACAGGAAGAAGCAATATTTCACCGCAAAGTGCGGACTGCAGAGTCCTGCGGCGTGCGGAGTTCAAAACAGTACCAGGTAGTGGGCAGCAGTAGGGAATAACGTCGTGGGTAGTGAAAAGCGAGCATGGAGGCGAGCGCTGGAGATGGGCTGGAAAATTAGGCGGGGAGGGACATAGATATATTTTTTCGGAGAATGTTGCACTCCGTGTGGAACGTAGTGCACGAGGTCTCAAGGCTGTGCGGGCGAGCTTAGAGAATGGTGTGTGCGCAGATAGGTTTCGACTCATTGCGTGTCGGCTGAGGTAGAGAGAGAGAGAGAATGAGGCGGTGCTTTGGGTGGGCTTTCATTGCACAAACGACAGAGCGAGGCAGACAGACCGACAGCCAGACGGACAGGTAGACAGAGACAGCGAGAGAGAGAGACAGAGAGAGAGAGAGACGCTGCCCGACCTCGCCAAGCTGCAGGGTGATAGGACAAGAACGCCCTGTCAGAGGCGCAACATCGAATACGTGTTGCTGGAAAGACCGTGTGGAAACTCATCCAGCTACTACACAACCACTTGTCGGCTACCTGGTATGCTTTCAAAATCATCAGTAGCACTCTACCTTTCCATGGTATTTCACACTCTTATCGACGAGCACAGATGCGGTGGCGTACGATGAACACCAGAAAACCATTGTGGAGACGATTCTTCAAGCGATATCGAGGAGTGGATCCCGTTCAGAACGCCCGAATCAATAACAACGGGGAACGTGGGTTTTGCTTCAACTTGCAGTTGGTGAAAGGGGTGTAGGTTGAGAGAGGGCTATACTTGGATGCATTGTCAGGGAAGGCCGGGCACATCGAAGGAGAGCAGCGCATATGCAAGGAGCAGGGCAAACGTACCTTAGAGGTTGTTCCAGCGAAACTTTAGCTTCACGACGCGACCCCGGCCGTCGACCTTGATCCCGTACCATCTGAAAAGCTCGGCCATCGTGTTCCAGTTGTTATTGATCGCCCAACTTCTCCCGCCCGTCGAATGAAAGACGGCCACCAGCGCGTCACGATCCGTCGCAGCCATTGTCAAGCCAAAAGGATACCTTCTGGGGGGAGGAAATCTGGTGGCGTAACGAGAACGATCACGTGGCCTCACGATTCCGTTGTCGTCCAGAAATTGCTATCTGGATAGACCGTGGCGAACGATGTCACCAAGCCCAGACACACCATGAACTTGGGATATCCCCACATGATTATTCAATTCTCGTCTGACATATGGTAGTTCAGACGCCAACCAGAGAGCGACAGGCATTGGTTTGTGCGGTTGGGCGCCATCAAGAAGAGAAATGGGCTGAAGGCGAGCATTCTGCCGAAAGAACGAGAAATGTTTTATGTGTCAGAGGCAAAACAGGAAAACGTTTGGGGATATTCATGCAGATGCAGGGATGTTTCTCTCCGTTTCCGTGAAAACAGCAAGCACGTGTTGTTTTGTCCCGGCTTCTTCACCCAATCCGGAGATTTGGCAGAAGGATTCGGCAGGCGGACCGCCGGCTCTGTAAACACCACCGAGAACGCTAGCAAGACCTCACAGGCATCTCGAACAAGGTTTGTGCAAGCTTCTTGCAATTTGCAGGGGCACCACAACCATAACAGCAGCACCACGTCCTGCGGCCAGCACAGGAGTGTGCATCCATCGCGTAAACGGCGACCGGGACGACAAAAACCGGTGAAAGCCGACTCGAGAAGCGCGGTTCGCATAGTTCTCCGGTTAAGCTGCCAGAAAACGGTATGGGTGATCAGAGTGGGGCCTGCGAGTCAGGTCCCGAATCTTTCCTTGTGTACCGTATTTTTCACCCAACCCCTCCCCCCCGATATACCGGTTTCTGTTGCTTGCCCTTCCACAATCGGGTGGGAGAAAACAAATAATTGTAGAATAAGCCCCATTGCCGTGGGTCTGAACCACCAAATGGCAGTAAAGCCTTCATGATGCTCAAGGCAAAACACGCCTTCACGGTACCACATCCGGTGGGGTAAAGGTTTTGCACAATGAAAATGTCGCAAGGCAAATGCACAAGACAAATGGCTAACAAACTTCAACTCCAGGGTCGACGCACAACGGGACGGCTGAATCCCTCTCGAGACAGCAATAGAGGCAAGCACCGGAGGAGGAAAGGGACGAGAAAAAATAAGGTGCCGCCCATTCGCCCTGCGCAACGACGACTGGCGCGCCCACACTTACCGGAACGTGTTTATCACGACGTTACATTCGACGGGATGACAAACCCACACCGAAACTCTAAACTCCGGCCATTCTTCAGTACGACTACCTACATGTGTGAATACCGTAAGGTTGCGAGTCAGCGCACCCCCGTGCGGTCGTTCTTTGAACATTTTCGCCATATGATTTGCATCGCACCCCTGTGCGATGACTCCCGACCGTGCGGAGAACACGGACCCTGTGCGGAATCGACTTATGTCATTTGATTTTTGAGAGATTGCTCACACCCCAGTGCGATGACTCCCGTGTGTGCGATCCTGAGTAAAGCCTGAAGTCGATACTATCAAGAAATTTTAACGCACACCCCCTTGCGATACCTCCGGTATGCGCGGTGCTCGAAAAATCTTTGCAGACGCACGGGACATCTCAATTCAATGCACACACACGCCCCCGAGTTGAAGTATTTTAGAACGAATATTTTGCGAGCGGTAGAATTTTAATGTTGGAAGTGCGACCCCCTTCGTGCACGGGACAATGAATGCACACACACGCCCCACAGGTAAAGCGAGGTGTACAACGTCCGGCCTACGTCCGGAACGTACAAGCAACACGGCTGACACACCATGGAGCATGGGGAGCGTCCCATGAGCGGCTGGAAAGCACGCCTCAATACAAGACGCCGTTTGAATGCGCACTCAGACTGAAGAACACAGAGCTTTTTTCCGGTTCCCCAAAGTTCCCCGATACAATCATATATAGACTACAGTCGTGGGCCCGGTTTAGTGTTTCCCTGTTTAGCCGGATGCCCTGAATAGCGGCTATAAAATCTCGTGGCACGGCTGCACCCCGGTTTAGAGGTTACCGCTAAACCGGTCGTGCCCTCAATAGCGGTTATTATTGGACATGTTTTCAGCCACCAATAACGGTTATCGGTTCAATTTTTGCGGGGACCTAGTGCGCTTCGCTTGCACATACTCGCAGCACAGCGACATGGGTCAGCCTGTTAGCTGGTCGATGCTCATGAATGATAAAAAGGACACAGCGACACACACACATTGTGCAAGCGTCGCGATGGGGGTAGACTATGCGATGAACCGCGGGGGACGGTGCACGAGAGGAGGGTCGGAAGCAGGAAGCCCACTTGTCGAGGAGGACAACCGTGTTTGGGAGGAACGAAGACAATCGTCGGGTCTTGAAAAGATAGGGCGAAGCGCAGAGTGCGTTTTTTTTTAGGCGGATGCTGCGAGACTGAATGGGAGGAGGCGGGCCCAGCGGGGGAAGGGCCCCCCATCCGACAGCGGTGTTGTTCCACATGATTTTGATAAAATGTCGGACCAGCCGCCACCGCAACGTCACGGTACGCGCCCCGCCACGTCTAGACTACCCGCCCAAAACAGATGGAACTGCGGGGCGTGTGCGTGCATTGTACGAAGAGCCACACTTGAACGTTTAACATGTCACAAATTAATTCGTTCGAATTTCGAAAGTACTTGAAACTCTGGGGCGTGTGATCTTCCTATTGGTAGAGCTGAGGAGAGCATCACGGCAGGCGTCACGAGGCCCAAAATTCTGACGTGGACTGGACCAGCCTCCGGAAGAGGGGTGCTGGAGACTTGGTCGAAAGCGGTGGTTGACGGGAATTTTCCACTGGAACTTCCTGGCTACAGTACACCACCAGAGTTGATGTATCCCGAGAATTCACTGGTGGGTGGGTGGGGAGGAGGCGGAAAGATTTACCCCGATGGGTAAACGGCTTCCCCGGTGCGCTGTACCATGTTTTGCACGGCTCAAAGCTATGGCATTGGAAAGTGCTACTTCACTGTACCAAGCAAGCATGGGCCGAAGCAAGCCGCGGCGCTTTGCCGCGGCGCTAGGTTTTGCTGAACGGTGAAAACGCTAGGTTGCTGCACCGTTTGCGTTCTAGGTTGCGGCTGTCCCGTATAGGCTAAGCCGCGGCGCAGGAGGGGGCAACGGCTAGGTTGCTGTGCACCGTCAAGGGCTAGGTTGTTGTGCACCGTCAACGCTAGGTTGCTGTACGGTGTCAAGGCTAGGTTGTTGTGCACCGTGAACGCTAGGTTTTGCTGTACGGCGGTGAAAAGCTAGGTTGCCGTGCAGGGCTGCACCTACCCAAGGAATGTTCCAATAAATGGTATCCCGACATGGAGACCACTGCTATTGGGCTACTGGTCCTACTGGAGGCTGGTCCGGAACGTTCTTTGTCCCGAATCAGTTTCAGAAATAGTTGCTCCGCCAGTCACTACTACAGACAACGGCATCTTATTAACCTATTTATAATGCAAAGTTTGAAACGAAGCTCTGGACAACGAAGCCGACATGCTGAACAGCGCAGGATAGAAGCCGACGATCCTCTGTTTTTTAATCTAGCTTGCTCTGTTTTTAATCTAGCTTCAACCCCCTGTAGACTACCAGGTAGACGTAATGTTAAGCTCATCGTAGTGTACATGGAGTCTGTAGTACGCTCGCACGGCCTGTCCCCCTCGCGTTATTTTTGTCTCTCTTCGCAGAGAACGTTCCAGACGAACGATGCAAGAAAACAAAATTCAACCTTAGACAATAACGTGCGTCCTGCCAAAATAAATGCACATGAGAGGCGCCCCCCCAACTACTGTACCCCACCTGAACGCGTCTGATGTGCAGGTAAACTGGAAACTCGAGAAGAAAAAATTGCAAGCCCCTTTAGTTCGTCCTCTTTGGGTGTTGTGAACCAGGCCCGCTGTTGCGGGGTTGCGGACGGACATACTGGGTTTCCCAGAGCCCAGAAAGCCTCACAAATCGAAGGTTTCATGGCGGTTTTAATTTTTTTATCCCGTCCAGCCCGCCCAAATTGATGCGCATCTTCGCCAATTACCTACAGGAAGGTGTCGGTACCGAGAGGACCCGAGGTGTAGGAGAAATGTCACAGCCTGTCACTCACGACTCGACTGCCCGCGTTTACGTCCTAGACTATGCTTGCAAGGGTACATACTGTAGTTTGAGTTTGTTGCAGAGACGCGGGTATGTACGTCCTATAGAAGCCGAAATCAAACCATTAGACTAGTCGATGATCGTCCGTGTGAACAGCAGCATGCCTTGTGACAACCTCCAGTACCTCGCATGATTAGAGGCTGTTGCGCTTCGCTTGCTTCTGCGTCTAATTGTGAAAGTTTTCTCTAGTTTCGAACCCGCCGTGTGGAGCTCGGGATCGCACCCCGAAGCCGCTCTATCAAGGTTGTTGTCCGGTCGGTGGAACTTTACACAGATCTGCGCCCACTCTGACGGGTAAAACATGTGGCAAGGGAATTAATTCCGCGAAGAACAGCGAGCTTCATGCATTCTCATCACAGGCTGACACTAAATTGTCGATGACGCAGGAAATTTGAAATTTGTTTGCAGCTTCCTCCATCGGCGGCCTCTTCTGTATTGATTGCCTGATTGCTGTTGTTGTTGTCTTCACATTCAAAACCGTTCCGATCTCTCTCTACCCAGTACCTTCGTATGTCCGTACTGATGTCAATCCCGAGTTGGTGGAGACCGCATCCAGCAGCTGTCGGGCGACATTTTTGTGTATTTACGTGTCGTTGTACAGCAGTATTAGCCATTCCCTGGTACAGTCCACATAGCCTACGTGTACTGTGGTGTAAAACCCGCCCAAGTCCAGACAAACCTTTCCCAGTAGCATGTCTTCTCCCTTTTGTCTTACCGGAGCACGCTGTGTTCTTTACACATAGTGGGTCAACGAACGACAAGATTTGGATATTCACCTACTGCCCAACATCGAATCTTGTCGAATCCGGATAAAAAAAAACGGTCGGCGCTGCTATTGTACTGGGCTACTGGACTCGCGTCGAAGCAACTTCACATCAACAGGATGCCCCCGCTTCGCGCACACCATTCTCTACGACAGTTGCTCTCAGTTACTCTGCACTCACTCGTGGCCACCGTGGCCACGATAACTTGGCACGCGAGCAGCTGGGATGATACAACGTCGGTTTGGACCAAAAACGTCGATCCTATGATAAGAGGTTGCATTACCTACACGCCGACAGGCCGCTATCAACAGTCGAACAAAGGTCCGGACAACCGCCGGAAAAGCCATTGTGCCTCGATCTTTCCTCTGACAAAAAAAAATCATTTTCTGCATGATGACAATCTGTGTACAAAAGACAGAAGAACCCACGTCGGCGCGGTATTGTACAACGGGAATGGGGCTCGCTCTTTGGCCCAACCAGCATCTTCAACCGGCGTGTTGCTGTGTTCAGGCGGTAAATCATGCGCAACAGGTCGGCGGCACGACCCTACCCAACCCTCGGTCGGCCGCTGATTTCATGGCGCTGTCTCCATAAGAACGATCCGCACGCAAAACCTGCTGCTATGTACCACCAGGCGTTCCCACGACCGTCACGGCCACTTCCCAAGCGGAGTCTAGCTGCGCTGCGTTTTCCGATCATGCTGCACCTTCAGTATCATCGCCTTTTGAGTCGTCCGACCCTTGGTTCGTAGTGTCATCATCGTCTATAGTAGACATGCCTGGGCAAGGTGGAATGTTCCCTGTAGTTTTGCATGACGAGTTATTGGATTCAACATGAGCCGCTTCTTGAAAGACCGAAATCATCTGGCTGCTGCCAGCATCATCTACAAGAACAAGATTCTGTACATCATGCCTAACAGACCTTACGAGGTGGCAGTGGTGGAGTGTGGAACTGGTGAAGGCCATCACGCATGCCAGCCGCAGATGTGGTGGCCCTTACGAGCTGAAGCCCCGCAACCTTTGAAGCAACTCCTTTCGAAGCTTGTCTTATCACTGCCTCTTTGGTGCATGATTTGGGACGTTTCAACACAAACTGGTGGACCTTAAAAAGAAACAAGACAGAAACTTCTTTCCGTCGAAACAAAAGGTGCCATCTACTGTCATCCGCATGCACTCATACTTACGATACATGGAAAGCCTTGCAACAACCATGGAGGTAATGAAACGCTGACACTGTACTTCATACTTTGCAGTATTCTACTGGGGCACCCCGCTTGCAAACTTCAGCGACTCTGAAAAAAATTGTCAAACATGTGGATAGTAGGCCGTTGCTGCATCTGCATCGGCGGGTACTGCAGCTGTTGCGGTTGCTGCATCTGCGGGAGCTGCAGTTTTTGGTGTTGCTGCATCTGCGCGTGCTGCAGCTGCTGTTGCTGCTGCATCTGCGAGTGCTGCAGTTGTTGCTGTTGCTGCATCTGCGGGTGCTGTAGTTGTTGCTGATGCTGTAGCGGGAAGAAGTGCTTGCCCTGCTGCAGTCGATCAGGGGTCCTTGCAAGCTGTCCGTATCCGTCTCCAGTGGGTGCAGAGAACTGGTACCTTGGAGGGTTCATCCCTCCCACAAAGTGCTGTGGGTGCGATGCTTGCTGCTTCTGTGCTGCTCCGTAACTCAATGCAGCAAAGATTGCCTCTGACGGATTGGCGCTGCAACATTGTCAAACGTTTGTGCAAGCGAAAGGGAGTGGGTCAAGGGTACATGGAAAATAAATTCCGGACCCACACTTCCACTGTCTAATTTCGGGCCGGCCGCGGGGGGGGGGGATCTACTAATAAGATTTTGAATAGTGAAACGAATACAATACTTGATAAGAAGTATTATAAAATAGGTATTATACTGAATCGTATTAGCCTCTGAATTGTATATGATATAGACGGTACTGCATGCTTGAACGAATATTAACACGCACGTAGTTCTGCCACACTAGCACTACAGTTCACAACGTACGGTCACGCAGAATCGAATAACCCCATCAGTAGAAAGATGACCCACCGGGGATGGATGTATACATGATCCTTTATGCCTGGTGTCTACTTTGGGGTAACATCTTCAGCACCAGTCCGTCTTGGGTGTACCTATCAATGAGGGTCGGTGATCTGCGACGACGACGGTCTCCCATCTACTGCGGAGGCTCGACTTGTGAGAGGACGAGCTGACCACATGCCCACCTCGTACACACACATATATTTCCAAACGTTCGTGGCCGGAGAATGGGGCAGTAACTGCTTGGACACAAGCAATCTCCTTTCTCTACGTAAGTTGGACTCTTTCTCGCCGACTGCCTGCTCTGCTGCCGTTCATTTTTGACTGTATTAGAAGTAGGACAGACAGACAGGTACGTGTGCCGTCGTGAACGTATGTATTGGCGTTGTTTTTTGCTACCAAGTTGCATGATGCGTTTCGATGGACACCAACAGCGACCGCACGATGGTTTAGATCCGTTGCGTATCGTTTGGAACATCTTGTTGATCTATTAACGCCCAAGAGGCTTTGAAAATGCGAAACAGCTGTTTTGCCTGTCTGGTTTGAGAAAAAAAAAATAAGAACGGCTGAGGGAGGTGGGTCCAGAAAAGAATATATCGTGTACCGTTGGGGCGGGTGAGCGAAGTGGGACCATGCATGGGGTTCGCCAGACAGCCACGCAAAACAGAGGTGAGTATCACTGCTGTCATGGAGTACCTCGTTTGGAACGTCACTATAACCCTTCTTGGGGTGATTCGTGGGGTGCGGGGAGGGGGGCGCTCAGGCCTTCGGTGGGCTTTCCCGTTGATGCGTTTACTCTTGACCCCGGATCCGTTTAATCATGTTTGTCGTTTCTTCTGGCGCCCGCGGGGCGTCGGCTGGCATCTCCGTTGGTAGAATCGTTTGATGGTTGACGTTTGCTTGTTGTGGTACGGTCCGCTCGTAGGACTTGCGTAAAATCTCTCGTTTATTGGTTGGTGTGAGGTGGGTACAGGTTTTGGACACAGAAAGCTACAGACCGCTTGGTCAGCACGAAGCGGCGCCACCGAATAGAAATCAAACACATTGTGCGTTATTTGAGCCATGTGCTTCGTCATCCAGAAGGAGTGGACGCGGTTGTTCATGACACACACTCTTTTTCTCCCCTGGAGGGTGTGCGTGTGGCTCTCCGATGGCCGACGAAACAAACCATGACCGGACACTAACCTTACGCTTTTCCACAGCGGGCCGTGTTGGCATATCTGTCGTGACCTGCATGCCGCAAGCCGCAATCACGACACCATCCAGTTTCAGCCAGGCGGCAATACCTTTTCACAGAGTTCAAGCTGGCACCGGACTCTATTATGTACAATTTTGACACTATTTCTGCAACGTGGTACTTGCAGTTGCGGGGTATAGGTTCCTTAGGTCTGACGAACGGGCACATCGTACTGTGTCGAGCGGCCAACGAAAAAACAACGTGAAACAGTCAGATGGAACAATCAACAGTAGCTGTGTCTTCGAGTCACCTTCGTGCGTCCGCAGCCTGCCCCTGGTGAGGTGTCTTCGAGGTGCGTCGGTCCGATCCTGAATCGTCCTCGTCGTCGGAACTCGAGCTACCTTCATCGCTGGATGCACTAGCTACGGCTCGCCGTTTTCCTCGAGACCTGAACAGTGCATACGCGTTCCGTGAACTCAGACAGCAGTGAGCTGGGGAATCGTGGGGATAACTGGACACGCCGATAGAAAAGGCATAGGAGGCCGAGTTGACGTGTTCCATTGTCCTTATCCTGTGGCATCAGCCCGGACAACACTTCCGCCGCTCGGTGGGAGAAAACACGTTTGCCAACTTCGAGCAGGAGACAACCGTGGACGGAGTTCACCGAGCATACGATATCGTGGGAAGGCTGATTGCCTGATGAAATAGTCCTGGTAAATGTATCAACGTAGATAGCGGCGTATGCGCATACTTTCGCGGTGGGGGCCGCATCATGAACATTGTCGGAACATCTGTCCCTTCCCATGTACGAACTTCTTCAAAAAAACAGCGGTCAAAGCGAGAATATGGTATTCCTTGTGTGCTCCCGGGACACGTCCAACCCCATGGACAGGTGTCAGGAACATTCCGCGGAAAGAAAAGGTAGGTGGGAAAATAGGCTCCTCGTAGAAACTTGACTCAAGTGACTGAACTGACTCAAGTGACTGAACTGACTAGACTGACTGAAGCGAGATCTCCCTATCTGTGGCTGTAATTCTCTCAGTATTGCCTTCATCCCAAATACCATACCATTTATTTTGGATTTTCGGTCATCTAATACTTCGTGATACCTGGACTTCTCGGAATGGCGGGCGCGGGTGCGGGTTCGTGATGCCTTTTTTTTCCCTCGGGTTTCCCCTTGATCTGACGAGTCATCGCCATCGTCATCATCGCTCATTTCAGGAGACGACGCTCTCCGTTTTTGGCTAGAACGGCCCTCCGTGTTGTCGTGGTCGGTATTGCCGAAGCTGCAAGTACCGACGCCCCAGCTGTACGAAGCGAGGGCGGAATATTCAGCATCAGAAAAAACGACAGCTTAGTACTCCGTGAGTTTCATACTACGAAGCCGTACTGGAAGCGTGCATGAGGCTCCATGTCCAATATTGGGTCGGCTTCTTCACGGAGCATGGCAGCTTCCTGCCACCTCTCACCCTGGCTTTCGAAAAAAAGCCGCCATGGAGAGGTGAATTCTTTGTTGCGGTGCAATGAGATCGAACACACCAACGAACAACAATGGAGGCATCTCGTTGAGCCCCGCCAAACAGCGATGGTATTGCGCCACCTGATCACGGTGACTTCCGACATTTGGCCGCCCGAATCATGAGTCGGCCCGCTTGCTGATGGGGTAACGAATTTAACAACGCTGCAAGTACTGCAAATGTAGAATCGTCGTGCGCAGGTAGCCATTACCGTCAGATGCCACGGCGATAAGCTTGTGGCGATCGCGTGTTTCATGCATAGTCAACAGAACCTGTTGAATTCAGCGCAGGGGCAGTCTTGAAAGCACAAGGGAAAAGAAACCTACGTAGGCAACCGCTGTCTGGCGACATGACCAGACCAGAACGAGTAGAGATTCGCCTGCATATCAACGTGTTGTAGAATCCCACATTGATGATGTCGGTAGCAGCTGTTTCGCAATGTGTTCGATCAATCAACGCGCCTCACGTTGATATTGCCGGCTACTGCTCAGACTGAGCATGGCTCGATGGGGTCAAGAACGATACGAGACCCAGAATCACGTACACTTTTATTTTTCCTGCGGATGAAGCACGGGTTCAACACCGGAAGCAAATCACACAACGGTACGTAGTCAAATGCCTTCTTCAATGCGGTCACAAGCACAGGCGGGGGTGGAAAAGTTCCTGTCGAGCCGTTTGATATAGGCCACTACGTGCATCGCATCGTCTTCCATTCTTCGTGAAAACAAACCACAGCACAAGAGTGTTTCACAAGAACAGAACTGGTGGCAAATAATCCCTTAAGGTCAAGACCTCCACTCGCCTGTAGATTGGCGGACGAGATATTGCAGCTGCCGACGCTCCCTCGATGAAGCTGCTGCGGAGAGCTCGTGGCACCTCTTCCCGGATCACGGCGCGCATCTCAGCCCGAATCTCGGCCCGTATCTCATCGCTCAGGAGTGCAGAAGTGCCAACCCCGCACGCAGCGCGGGAGGGTTGTTGTCGCTGTACCCCATTCTCTTGTGCCGACATCTCGGAGCGTATCGTCTGGGTAACACTTTCAAGGTACTCTTTGTTGTCTTGCCGAATTTCTGCCGAAATGGAGGCCACGACCCGCCTCTCGAACTCTTTTTCAGGAGCTTCGGCAGGGCTGCCCCGCTGGTCGTCCGATTTTAGAGCTGCCGAAGCTGACCAGACCTGCGACAGTTCACGTCATGTGTTGTCGATGCGTTGATTCATCACGGTTCGAAAAATATGAACAGAAATATTAGTCGAGGGCAAGTGTGTACTGGATCGATGCCGCGCACTGGAAACAAGGTTCCCTTGGGGACGGACTGGAGGACCAATGGGGGACGTTCAGCATACTGGATGGTATCGCCAAATCGTACACCGGTTTCGGTGCGTGCACGGACACTGAAAAATACGCAGCGGCCGGCGACTGTATCGAAACTACGGATATGAGAAATACAGCTAAGAAACAAAGTGAAAGCTTGCTCCTATCGTACAATGCCAAAGCTATCGTTCACGAAAATCAGTTACCTCCAGGAAATGGAAGAGTCTGAAATAGCTTTGCAAGAAGCGGCAACAGTGGGTCATAGAGGTTGACATGGAAAATGGGACGTTTTTACATATGAGAGGAGTTGAGCATACTGGTTAAGAAATCAATCCTGTTTTTGGGTCAGCGATGTGACTTTGGAACCAAAGGTTTGGTTGCTACACAACGAAAAACGACTTTGTCGCGTTCATATTGCCTTACATGCCCTCAATGCCAACAAAGTGCCCCAAACAGAGTCGGAGAGACGTCGTGCACAAAATTTACCACGTCAGCATGTAACACAAGTTCGCCGGTCCCTCATCAGAGCAGAAGCAACAACGTCGGAAATGGTGAGTCCAGAAATATGCCGTTCTCGTTGATATTTTCCCCCCGAAATTGTAGTATGTAGTCGCAAGACTTCGCACGCGGCACACCGAGCTTTCTCCTTTGGGCACTCTGCACAATACCTCGCAGAGTTTTTCGACGCTGTTCACGAGGGCCCTCCGACTGCTGACCTCCTTAACCGCAATGTTCTCAAGCGACGTTGCCGCGCACCCAATCGCCTGGCGTTTGCAAATGCGTAGAGGGAGGGGAGAGTAAAGAGAGCGGGGACCGTGGAATGAGATCGTGTTCGTGGAATGAGATCGTGTTCTCGCTGCTGAGGACCAGCAGTAGTACTGCTTGTAGCACACGGCAGAAAAAACGGGGTTCCTGTGCATCACACCAGCAAAGACTTCTGCCTTCCATGTCAATAGAGTGTGTGGAGGATATCAAAATATCCGGCATACCCCCGATGAGATAGTTGATGAAACAACAACAAGTCAACTGTGTGGCACCTCGATGGCTTGCCCTTGTCTTCAACCACCTCACCGTACGGATGGATACCTGAACCTGACTATCGGGGCATTCGCCAGTTGCCGCGACACAAATGCATTGGGAGGAATATTTCCAACATGAATCTCTTGACGATTGGCTTCTAGGTTGGGAGTTTGTAGCCCCGTACGTTTGTCATTGTCAGCAGCATGGGCTCAAAGTGCTCCACAGAGTGCTACTTGTATAGGCAACAATGTTGGCGCGTACCATGCCCATGGCGATAGTATTGCCGCGTTGACGTGGACATCCTCTTCGAGGGTGCTGGTCCGGTTCCGACCAAGTATCAACGAATCTAAACTCCAGCACAATCACGGCCGCACTACGGGGGCGGCAAACCTCTTCTGGTTTATCGAGGAGACGATTGCAGATATTGCTGTAAGCATGCATGCGGCAGACCTCTAGCAAAAAAAAAAAAGCAAAAATATACAGCAGTAGGGTCCATGGCCGCTAGATTTGAGGCACCTTCTGCAACGAGTCGTTGTTGAACAAGCACAATAGGTGTTAGAGGTCAAATATACCAGCAAGGTGTTCGATGGGCCTTCCCTTCCCTTTCCCGGCTACAACTTGCCATTTTGCTACCGGACGGCTTGGACCGTTTCCATAGGGTTGGGTTAACCCCTAAACCATGGCCGCGCGAAGGAGGTGAGAGGTTCACTAAGAAACGTGGTCGATACTAGCCGTAAGGGCGCCTAACGGGGTTGTCTTGGTTGGAGCTGATGATTGCTGCAATCTTGCCACAACCCACCAGATTGGTCCTTGCTTGTTGTAGCGCACAAGACTCGTCTAACATCTGCTCATTTCAATTGCTCAGACCAAGCGGCCTTGGATCCCAAGTCCTACATGTACGCGAAACAGCATTGCAGACTCCCACCATACAACTTCGATGGCGACATGCACTCAAGGCAGACTGTTCGGAACCAAACATCCAGCCGATTCCTTCGGTTTGTCATAGAAGATCTGCAACACCTACATCGAGCCTCGATAGATGAACCCCGTTGGTATTGCTTTTTCACCCAAAGCTCAAAACTGATTGCACCAACCTACAGCATTCACATTTACCGAGAGAAACCTGCAAGGCCGGCCGGCTCTCGTTGACGCTTGACACCCAAACCGAGCATTCGACACCACAGATCTTGAGAGACTCTCGCACATTCGTATCGAACGGCGGTGACCAAACCCCGTCACCAACAACCGTAAATAATAGAGTCATCCCGCACGCACCTGCGTCGCCCCTAAGAGCTGCGGCTGGATGCTCTCCCCGTACACGGTGGCGGCGTGGGCAGCGGTTTCGTTTCGGATCTCCGTCTTGTGCGCCCTGGTCATCGACCCCAGAGCCGACCTGCAGAACGCAGAGACGGCAGTCTCGAACTTCTTGGACCCGAAAGCGTCTCCAAGAGCGGCCTCGAAAGCTTTCGTGCGCATGAAGTCGGTCACGGCCGGACAGATTTCTGCCCGCACGTGCGTCGAGACGGCACGGCTTAGAACCTCAGCCTTTTCCGCCTCCGACAAGACCTCACGTGGTTGGTCATCAACGGCACCACTTCCATCTGGTGCAGAACACACCGATCCAGCCGTAGAGCTGCTTGAAGCCAAGCGGCTTCCATCTGGTGCAGAACACACCGATCCAGCCGTAGAGCTGCTTGAAGCCAAGCGGCCGCTAGGCGACGAGATGCATGCATGCGGGTGATTGTTGACGCTCTGCGCCATGTTGGCGTTGTTTGCAGACGGTCTACTGCTACCGCTTGGTCTGTCGGCGGTGACGTGAGTATTCATGGCCGAAGATCGCGGGACGAGAGGCGGTATGCCCGAAGGAGGTGTATTTCCTGCCACCATCAGAGGAAAATGGGGAAATCAGTGCAGGAGACACGTTATCAAGTGAATCGTGGTATACGCAAGACATCGCGCCCGTAAGGCATACCGTGTATGACACAAGATAACACACCCCCTTGGCCGATTTTCAAAGCTCGATTTCTCAACAACAGGAAGAGTCACAGCGCCGAAAACGGCGGCGTTGGAACCGTCTCGTCGAGAGCTGTTCGAAAACGTATTGTTTCATTTATGCATCCTCTTCGTCGTGGAGTAATCGAGCTTTGAAAATCGGTCCAGGGGGTGAGTTATCTTGTGTCATATACGGTATTTCCTTTCGTCTACACGTGGATCTTGTCACGGCTTGCCCGTAAGCTTGCTGACTTTCCCCCTTTGCCCCAGTAACACCCTTGCCCTAGGCGCGTTTTAAGACGAATAGCACGCCCCCATCGATCCCGGGGATGGGAATTTAATTAAGGACATTTACCCGCTTTCTTGACACTTTTTTTAAGAACTAGCATGACTGAGTGTCCTTTCAAGCGGGGACGATACATACAGGACCTATCATGTTGTATATACAAGGTCTCCAGGCGCCGGTGCCAGGCGCCGGCGCCTTCAGCTCAGCATTACGCTGAAAGGAAGGGTGGTGGGTGAAAACTGGTACAGCATACCAAGGGCACGAAGCTGGAAACGAGGTTCACCTGTATATGATGGTGATATACAGCAGCACCTACCTTCAATACTACTGCAGCATCGCTGACAGTATTAATACAGAAGACAAACTTGCGGGTCCGTGAAGGAGCAATTTTTCGCGTGATGTGCATGCATGCATGTATGTCCGAACTCATCAAGCTCAAAGCACACGCTGTGGCGTACCACAACAATCAATAAACAAACAACCGTGTCCAATTCCTCAACACAGAACGGTGTGGTATCCACGAAATGTGATACAGTATGACTAAAAATTGATCCTGCCGTTCGCCAATGAAAGACAAGCAGCGATATTATGTGTTCGAGAAACTCGAAGCACAAGCAGAACCTGTGGCGTACCACAACAACAATATAAAAAGAAACGCACCCTGTGGATTCCTTCCTACAGCACTCTTGCACTTGCAGGGTGTGTATTTTAGGCATATATACGTTTCCGTCATGAGGATACACGATGCACACCTACGTGAGGACTTGGAAGTAATTACTTCAGTTTGCGTTTCTTAACGCTTGAGAAGGCGACAGCATGCATGCATGCAGCGTGGGGGCACCACCTACAACACATGTGAAAGGTAAACTACGCGGGGTGCAGCAAGCACGTTCTGGACGTTACTTGGGGCACTGGGTAGTCGGCCGTGTTAGGCCGAGAGAGAGAGATTGAGAGAGAGTTGGAGAGAGAGTGGGAGAAGGAAACTTGATTGGAGAGAGACGGTGGTGGTGGTGGAGAGAGAGAGGAAGAAGTGAGCGCAGCACGCACGCAAGCTTCATCGCACCAACCACGCCAAAAGGGTCCCCGTGACTGCACCGATGGTACCCTGCAACACACGAAATTCCCAACACGTATCCCCCTGGGATCCTCACGACCAGATACTGCTGCGAGTATATCTAACATCCCCCCTGCTCGCAACAGTTACTCACTGAAAACTTCGCGAACACTCGATATCTCAACCAAAATACATCTCTCCAAGAACATATGCCATCAAGACTCGACCAGAATAACATAAGAGGGAAAAACAATTCAAAGGAACATGAATACTGCATCGCGCGTAACAAATACTTGGCGCGGGAAATGAAAGAAAACGGGAAACAAGACAAAACCAAAACACAACCCATCAGAAAAACAATAAAATGTTCATGCCAAATTCATTGCAAAATCACGGTGAGACTCGAAAGCGTCCTTCGGCAAGCTCTTCGTGAGAAAATCTGCACGCTGGTACGGAGACGGCACGTGGATCACCGAATTTTCCTTCCTCTCCACCAGTTCCCTGAGAAAATGGTGCCTTACATCTATGTGCTTCGAGTTCGAGTTTGAGATGGGGTTCTGCGCTAGTTGAATCGCCCCCTGGTTGTCCTCGAAGACGGGGATACACGGCATGCCGACCTGCGGCAACATGAAACGCCAAATCTGCCTCAAAAACAAAATCTCCTTCACTATGTCACCAAGCGCGACGTACTCTGCTTCTGTCGTCGAAAGCGTGACGCACTTTTGCGTTCTGGAAAACCAAGACACAGCGCCTCCTCCACACGTCACGATTCCCCCTGATACCGACCTACGGTCTGCTGCCTTGCTTGCAAAGTCCGCATCAGCGTACCCCTGCAAGCTGAATCCTTCTACTGTACCCCTCTGAAACGAAATACCAAAGTGACTCGTCCTCCTCGCATAGCCTAAAATATCCATCGCTGCATTCCAGTGTACCAGCTTCGGAGATGCGCAATACCTAGCTACTGCCCTTACAGCATTCGCAATGTCTGGCCTAGTTTGAGTCGCCAGCCACATCAACGATCCTACCAGCTCACGAAACGGAAAGTCTGTCGCCACCTCATCCGCATCAAAATCAGAAAGCTTGACCCCCGAAGACATCGGAACGCTCTTACCTCCCACTACTCCATATTCTGCAGCTAGCTCGTCCGTGAAAGTCTGCTGAGAAATGGTCAACCTTCCGGTCTCCTTGTTCCTCTCGAAAAAGCACCCAGAATACCATCTCAACTCTCCCAGGTTCTTCACTGGCACGGACTTGTTAAGGTCGGCGCCAAACTTGTCACATCTCTTCCTCTCTCCCACAGCAAAAATATCATCTACATGTACTACCAAAATCAAAACAACACATCCATCCTCAATCAAACGAAACACACAAGCATCGGCCATGCACTGCTCAAAACCTAACGCCACTAAACACCTCTTCAGCATTGCATGCCACTGCCTAGATGCCTGTCTCAAGCCATACAGACTCTTGCCTAGTGTTACAATCATTCCAGATAGAGCTCCACATCCCTGTGGCAAACGCATGTACACGTCTTCCTCCAACTCCGAGCGCACAAAAGCTTGCTCAATATCGAAATGACACAATTCGAGGTTCAACTCGCACGCCAACGCAGCCAACATCCTAACACACGGAACAGAAACGGTAGGCGCGTACAGCTCTCCAAAGTCAATGTACTCTCTCTGCATATCACCTCTCGCTACAAGTCTCGACTTCACCTTAGTGGGCCATCCAAATTCATCTGCCTTCCAATCGAATACCCACTTAGCGTTAATTGCGTTCTCCACTAGTTGCTACTTCGCCGAAGTAAAAGTCCCTGCTTCCAACAAGCCATAAAACTCCCTTTGCATAGAGTCGCTCCAAAGGTGCCGGTGCTCCGACGCCATGGCCTCTTTGTAGCTCTTGGGGACACGAAGGTCGCTGGCCTGGCAGTGAGGAAGGTCAGGGCGTTGCTCCGGCGGGCGCTGGTCTCGCAGCGTGGCGTCGATGTCTTCCCGGTTGGCGAGGAGCGTGGCAAATGCGAGTGGAAAGCCCGCTCCTCCAGCCCCCGGGTCCACCGCTGCGAGTGCTCCCGCCTGTTCTCCGGCCCCCGCTCCCCCCGGCTCTCCGGCCTCCGCCCCCCCCAGCTCCCTGCGCTCCTCATCCACCGCGCTCCGAGCCTCCAGCATCGACACCATAGTGTTCTTGTCTAGCATCGAGATGAGTCCTGTGCTGTGCCTCGTGCCCGATCTCGTTCGGCTTGGCAGCCGCGGGTCTATCATACCCTCGGCCTTTGTACCCGGGCGAAGCTGCCGCATGGCGTGAGCCGTAAGCGGGGGCATCGCGGGGTCCGGCGGCGGCGGCTGGTCTGGATCGAGGGTCGCCAACGGTGACGGCGAAGAGGCAGAAGACGGCTGGCCAGGGGTGGGGGTCGCCGACGGTGGCGGCGAAGTGGCAGAGGGCGGCTGTGAAGGCGTGGGAGCGGACGGCGGCGTGGTCGCTGGCGGCGGCGTTGCGGCAGGTGAAGGCGTCGGTGCTGGGCCAAAGTTGATCGAGACGACCGGCGGCGTGAACGGGGGGGGTGTCGGTGCAGCGGTGATACCAGCGGAACCCCCCTCGCCGGCTGGCGCCGACGTCACCCACGACACGTTGTTGGTGTAGACGACGCGACCGGTGGACGCCTTGAGGACCTTGACGGTGCCGCTCGGGTGGTTGTCGCCGCCGTTCAGGTAGAAGCAGAGGGTGGCCTGGTCGTCGAGCTTGGTGCGGCGATCCTCGCGCATGAAGCCGGGCTGGAAGAACGGCAGCACGCGGAACGGCCCTTGCTCGCCGGTGAACATCTCGTGCGGCGAGCGCCGCCCGGGGTTGGCCTTGGTCGCCGACTGGTTAAGAGCGTCGGCGGCCCACTTCGCCGATTCCATCCAAAGACGATCACCGCGCTCGTCGAGGCCGGGGATGGAGGCGAAGTCGACGTTGAACACACGGCCAGCGCTGCGGCGGGCGGCCATGCCGGCCTTCATAATCCGCCAGATGGCGCTCTCGACGACGCCGTTGTACTTCGGAGTGCCAGGCGGGGTGAACTCGACGCCGATGCCGTTGTCGTCGCAGAATTGCCGGAAGTCGCCACGGGTCCACTCGGTGCCGTTGTCGACGCGGAAACACTCGATGCGCCCGAGGTCGTACCGCCCCACGTCCGCCAGCAGCCTTTTCGTTGCCGCCAGCGCGTCGGACTTCCGCCGGAGACCGTAGACCTTGTTCCACCGCGAGGCGCTGTCGACGGCGACGAACAGGTAGAGATTTCCGCCCAGGGAAGGCACCAGCGGTCCACACAAGTCCAGGTGAACACGCCCGAGTGGCTTGGACGCCCGCGCTCCCGGCCCCCGCGGCACCGACCCTCGCCTGCCCTTCGCCTTCATGCAGTCCGTGCACGGTTCCAGCTTGCCGGTGAGCACGATGCCTCTCTGCTGGGCGGTTTCTCTCAAAAGGGGCTCGCAAGCGTGGGCAAGGGAGCGGTGGAAGCGGTTGATATCAACGGACTTTTCAGTCGAACCAAGAGCAAACGGGGACACACCAGGGCCAAGCGCGGCCGCACCCAAGTCAAAATCAGCACCCCCATCAATGCTATCCAAAACAGCAGCTACATTCGCAGCATCAGTCTCAGGGATAAACGCGGGGAAAAACTCTTGATACGGGGTGTCATCATAGCCATGCATGAGCTGCTCGTCGGTGAGCACACTCGTGTCTCCAAGATCCATACCCGGAAAAGTACCCACACAAACAAACTCGGACGCCGAAGAAGGTACTACGCTAGCAGAGCCGGAGGGAAACGCAACACGGACACCAATGATTCCGCGGAGCCCCCTTTTTGGGAAGGGGAACGCGTGGAGCCAATGGCGGGGGCGGAATCGGGGGCAGTAACGAATGCAGGCAAAAGCAGAAGAGTCTACTATAGTTGCAGATGGGTCGTATGGTAACCGCATGGCATATGCTGCAGACGCTTTTTCCTCTCTAGCAAATAGCAGTCCATTTTGGAGGGTTGCACCACGCTCGTCGTGCAGGATTTGTTGCTTTCGAGAAACTGCATGCGTTGAAAACAAATTGAAGCTCAGGTTCTCTACTACAGACACGTCAGTCAGCTTAACACACATCGTCGTTTTTTCACAGTTCTCATCCTCCTGAAAGAAACTAAGGTTGATGCTACCGATAGCTTGCACTTCTAGCAGTCGACCATCACCTACGACGACATACTTCCTATTGGCGGGGATCTCCTGCAGATCGTACATGTGTAGACTACTGTTGGTAAAACTGTTGCTTGCACCTGAATCAGCTACCCATCTCTCGCTACCAGGCGGCCCCTCACTAGATTCCACACTCAGCAAAGACGAAGCAGACGCAGCAGACTCAACTCCAATCGTCACTCCTATCCTACCAAAAAAATCTTCGGGGTGAGACTTGCCTAGGGGCACCGATTGTGCCGTGCAGAGGTGGAGGTAGCCCGAAGATGGAGGCGCGCCAGGAGAAGGGGCAGAGGACGAGGAGGAAGCGGTGCTGCTGCTGCCCGCGGGGGGGGGCTGACGTGGCTGCTCGGATGATGAATCTTGACCGGCGGGAGGGTAGTAGACGTAGTGGATCCCGCCGTCAGATGAACGGCTGTCTTCGTACCCGGAGGAGTAGCTGTAGCTGTCCCCGCCGCCGGCGTAGTGGGCGTACCCGGCGTCGTGGTAGCCGTCGTCGTAGGAGTAGCCTTCGTCGTAGTCGCCGTAATCTTCGTAGTAGCCACCATCATCGTGGGCGTAGTACACAACGTACGCCTGCTCTCTTCCGTGGCCAGAACGCGCGTGCCCCGGGCCTCTCCCTGCCCGATCTCTCTCGGCACGCCCGTCGCTGCTGTGGCGTCCCGCGGGCCCACGACCCCCCGGGTGACGCCCCAGACGACCACCAGGCCCACGTCCACGAAGAGGTCGCGGGGGAGGTGAGGCTTGGCTCCAGCCACCGCCACCATGACCGGTGTGGTGCTGCTGCTCTATCCTCACCCATCGCCCGCCACCGCGGCCGGGTCCCGGGGGCGGTCTACCCCCTCGCTGGCTACCGCCGCCACCGCGGCTGCCGCCGCCCGAGCGACGTTCCTCGGCGCCCTCTCTCGAACGCGCACGCCGCAGTTGCTGCTGGAGACGACACTGCTCGTTGGTGTGAAGCTCGGACTGGTGGTAGCGGCAAAATCCGCCAGGGTCGTCGTTGAACAAGTCACTATTTTTCTTCTCTCCGTCACGATTTTGGCCGCCAGCTGCTGCCTGACCGCCGTCTTGACCCCAGGATGCCCCCCCACTGCCCCCGCCGCGCCGGCCCATGCCGGATGCGGCGAGAGCGAGCTCCACCTCGCGCCTCTCCCCCTTGCTCCTCTCGCGCTCCATCTCCACGTGGGCGTCCCTTACCACAGTCTCAAGGGTACGCAACGTCAGGACATCATGGGCAAGCAGTATTCCTTTTTGCACGGCATACAACGAAGAGGGAAGGCCACGAGCAATTTCTTTGTTGGCATCTGTTTCATCCTTAATCGTGCCTACAGATGCGAGACGCAGGCGAAGGGCCTCTGAGCGGGCAATGTAATCCTGTGGGCTCTCGGACTCTTTCATCTCCAACTCCTTCCAGTCCTGCTCCAACCTCGACTTTTCTGACTGCTTTTTCTCCTGATAGAACTCGGTCACTATTTTCCAGCCCTTTTGGGGACTCTCACACGCCAGAATCAAGCTCTGAATCGGGGGATACATAACCTTGCTTATGAGGATATTCCACAGTTTGAAAGACCACTTCATTTCCAAAAAGTCTCCGAAGGTCTCCTACATTCACACCCCTCTTCCCGACCTTGACCTCGACCTCCAGTTCCAACGCATCATGCACACCCTCCTCCTGAAAATATGAAATCATTTTACCACGAAAAATATCAAACATAATGTACAAGTCCTGCTCCTTCTTTACATTACCAAGCCAAGGTTCGATTTCTGAGCCTGGATTGACACGTAACGTGCCTGAGCGGGCAAAGCCCTGTTGTTGAGCGATGGCCTCAGCTGTCGCCTTGGCCGCTTGCGCCACGATGTGTGCGACGCTGCTGGGGTCGTTGAATGTGGCTGGTGTACCCTGGCTGGAGGGTGATGGTTGGTTGCCAGTAGGTGGGACTGGGTTGCCGGTTGGAGTGGCTGGGTTGCCGGCTGGTGGTTGGGCAATGGTGACTTCACCCTCGTTGATCCTGTTGGCTTCGAGTTCGGCTTGCACTCGTTGCTGGACGATCTCCTCCACTTTTTGTTGTAGCTCTTCCCCGCTGAGGGCGGAGAGGTCGATGTCCTCCATGATGTTTGGTGTTGTGGGAGTCTACCGATTGCACGTGACTGCACAACCCCCGGATGGCTACGCCCGCGCGCAGATACCGTGATATCGCACTAGTGTGAAAGGTAAACTACGCGGGGTGCAGCAAGCACGTTCTGGACGTTACTTGGGGCACTGGGTAGTCGGCCGTGTTAGGCCGAGAGAGAGAGATTGAGAGAGAGTTGGAGAGAGAGTGGGAGAAGGAAACTTGATTGGAGAGAGACGGTGGTGGTGGTGGAGAGAGAGAGGAAGAAGTGAGCGCAGCACGCACGCAAGCTTCATCGCACCAACCGCGCCAAAAGGGTCCCCGTGACTGCACCGATGGTACCCTGCAACACACGAAATTCCCAACACGTATCCCCCTGGGATCCTCACGACCAGATACTGCTGCGAGTATATCTAACAACATGCCACATACGGACAGCAGTCTGTCAACATCTCCTGCTGTACATGTACATTATGCAGTAAAGACCACGCGGGGGGTTGTCCGAAATCTTGTCCAATGGGCTGCGTTCTATAGAGTGACAGTCCCTCGCGTAGAAGCGCCCGGATGCAGGAGATTTAGTCGCACATCACGGTGCTGTAACTCGGCTCGCCCTTGGAGTCTCGAGCCCGCGACAGGGGCGCTGTGATCGTAAGATTGGCACGCCCGCGTGGACGAAGACGGCCGAAAAAAATGTTCAAACACCATTAAAACAACTAAAACCAATTAACCGCACCGCAACGTCTAACTCAATGACTTAATTGTTGCGTGCATTCACCGTGCTGTAACCCTACTCGCCTTTGGAGTTTGGAGCTCGCGACAGGGGCGCTGTGATCTAGAGACTGTCCCGCTGCAGCGCGCAACGACCGCCGGAAAAAAACGTCCAAAGGCGACCGCGGACTGATGCACCAAAAAAAATCGTCTTACTTTTAGAGTGCAACAGTGGTTGAACTTTCGCGTTTCAGGCTTCCGACATGATGTT